GCCTAACAATGCAAAAAGGAGCAAAAACACACCTACTCTTTGCGGGCAGTCAAATTCTGGAATTCCTTACCGACTGCAGAGAGGAAACTCGGCACATTACTAAGGACTGGAGAGATTAATTTATTATAATTTACAAATATTCCCCTTTTACTCATTGAATATACCGAGGTTCTTACTTGCCAGCGTCGGCGACCCAGTGCTACTAGATACGGAAGCCCGTTAAGCTAAATCCTCTTTCGTTCCATCCAGAACCATTTAAAATACTTGTCTTTATGTTTTCACGATGTTGGGCGCCATTGCTTCTGGTGGACATTCCATAGGTTAGGCATATGTCAGCTAGACCGACTGAGCAGTTTTCGTATGAATAAGTAGACTGCAGACAAATGAAAACATGTTATTATGTTACCAGCAATATCAATTACTCTAAGTGTGTTTCCCTTTATTTTTCGCGTAGACGTTTAACCTATTTTTGAGCGACTATACATTTGGAACTTGTTGTTACGCCCGCTTCAATGAAAGTTTTATAGGATTTAAAAAATTGCAAGATATCAGCAAATAAGTTTACAAAAATTTGTAGGAACTTCACTTACGCGAGAGGGAAAATGTTCACAACTACTATCAAGCTTCAATTACCAGAATGTTACTGTCAATGTTAATAGACAGCTAAGATGGTTGTTCCTGAACAAATGCTTTAAGTTTTGGGATGATCTTCAAAGTTAATTTTTTGAATTCAAATGCAAAATATAGGCATAATTATGTAGTTTTGTGGACTAGGCATACTTTATGTTAAAATACTGGAAAGAATAATCAAAAAGGCCATAATGAATGTCGCAGAAATAATTGACTCATGAACCAGTGAACGATGTAGGTTGAGAAAAGGTTCATCATATCCAACAAACCTCATAGCAATTAAACGATCAACAACTTCACTAGATAATTCAAAACCAGTGGGTGTCGTCAACGTAGACTTTCGTAGAGTATTTTATGTGTCCAACAATAGACTCCTCTTAAAGCTTACAAAGTTTAAGAATTGCCAGATCTCTTCTATAATGGACTGCAGATTTCTTGAGGGGTGGAAGACAGGAAGTAGGGATGCTTCACCCAGGCACCAGCACTTGGTGTGCTACCACAACGATACTTTCTAGGTCCTTTACTTTTTATACCATAGGTGAATAAACTCCCATATATCGTCAAGCCGCCGATGATAGTTTGTTCTGATGACCTAAACATTTGGTGATAAACAGCTGGGGATGTGGATGTAAGTGGAGTATAAGTTAGTCTCAAAGATGTCTGATTCATAACAAAGAGGCCAAGTATGTCTACATACCCAGGGGAAACACAAAGACAACTAGGTACAACATTGGGGAGGAGTTAACGTCTATATTTCAGTTTCACAATGATCTTGAGGTATCAGTAACCAACGATTTTAAGACTACAACTTACTGCAGGACATTTGTAGCTAAAGTCGGAACTGTCAGTCTGTCTTTCTGAAAATTAGCAGGTGATGTATAAAATGCTCAGAGTTAGTTTTGGACCTCATTACTTACTTTCTTTTTCTTCCTACCAGATCAAGACAACTTTAAAGGCACTGAAGAAGAGCAAAAAAGCCAAAGAGGAACAAAATACCCATGAATACAAGTTTTTACACCGAATCATCAACTCGTGAAACCTGTTGTTCAAAGGCTAGGTTTAAGCGCCTTCTGATGACTCGTTCAAAGAAATACTAGACAATCTCAGAAACTGAGATCTAGAAGGTTATCATCGAATTGGAAGGAGGGCTTAAGACCTGTTCTATAGCCGTCATCATCTGACAACGTAATAGAGCATTTGATGTTCTACGCTGGGAAAAAATCACCGTTAATGTCTTCAAAGCAGTGGATCGAAAGTAGCTGTCAGTAAGTACATACTATTATATCTTCTGGTTGTTGCTTATGACATGACGAATTTAACAAGTTGCGGTGGAGGGGGAGTTTCGTTATGACAGAGATATCATCACACGAATCTGTAACTGCATTTTTGACTAAATTTATCTGTACCATAAATAACCAGATGTAAACAATGCCGATTAAACCTACAATACCTACAATTTGAGGTGAAAAGCTTACATGACAAATAATTTTGTTTAGGTCCTAACTTGTTCAGCTGGTAGTAAGAGATAATTGTGGCGTACTACGTACAGTGATGTCTGCTAGGACCGAACGAGAGCTTACAACAGATTCAATCTGAATATCAGACAGATTTTACGGACCGATGGTTGGTTTCTTCGATGACCAAACCATTTGCAATGAAGTGTGCTCTGGCTAATCACACTGGCTCGATGTCCGAACATACATTTGTAAATTTTCAATGTGTGCCGTATACTTTGCAAGGAGGTAAACTTCCGCTTGCAGATAATCTAAAGACAGTATAATGAAACTTTTCTAAATCGGTTAGTTAAGCCTGAAACGTTTTCTGTTCATTGAGTAGTTATATATTTCTGCTGATGCTGATCATGTTTGTTGTGGAAAGGTTTATTGAATGCCATCTGTCATCTGAATAAACACATTTATTGAAAACTGGCGGTATATCATTTATTTGCATTCGGACGCTTTGAGTTACTCAGTTTCTCCAAATGCAATTATTCTTGTTCGTGTTGTTATTACTAATCATGTGAAGGTATCGCACATATCGAGAGCTTGAGAACGCTTTTGTCTGAAATACCGAAAAGGATTTAAAACCAAGTCAGATTATAAGTTAGGAATGAGGAATTTCGCCAGTATTTTTCTTGACTTACCAATGCTCTGTCTAGTTCATCATGAATGGTTAAACAGTGCTCTGGTTATATATATATAAATATATACATATATATATATACATATATATACATATATATATATACAATTGCCTCGTTGATCTTTTTTTCTTTTGTCTCTCTTTTGTCCATTCTCAGAATCCTATCCTCTACGTAACAACCATAGTACATCTACGCGAAAGGCACCCTACGTTCGCGCACATCCATGTCACAGATTATATCCAGAGTCTTTCAGTCGACACTTTCCAACAAATTTACTAATGAATTATGTAAACTACCCAAGAACTCTACTGTGTACCTACCTTATTTGTACTCGCTTGTTTAAAACGTAACAGCATCATACGGTTCCTGTCGGTGATATGATGTAAATGTGTAATCAGAAACAGAGTTTTATTTCTAACCTGACTGCGCAACCTTTTACAGTAAATATGGTAGCCTTTATAACATTTTGATGTAGCCCGTAAACTGGCATGTCTCTTGTAACACGCTGTTGTTTGAGAATAAAAATTATTATTATTGTGGGTGTGACGGAAAGGATATAATTTCAGCTTACTAGTTGTTTTGAGGGACGTGTAGCATGGCGAATTTAATGGTGAATGGGTATGAATGTTTGACCAAGCGCCCAAAGTAATGCTGATAAGGTTGTTGAAGCGTGAAGGTTACACGTCCAAACCAACTCCAGATCAGAAGATTGTATATGGGATATCAACGTTTATTAATAGAAAATCGAGTGATATTAGAATAATATCACGTGTTCAGCTTGTACAATCGATGATTACACGAGACGATCGTTAGATCCGCAGGGATGGCGTGGGTGGCGCTCAAAAAGTGACTTTTAGTACAAATAAACAAATGATATACAATAAAACAGTTAATGTTACATATGTTCAATAATAAGTATTTGTACGTCAGTAATCGTATTATTTCGACGAAATAGTTCCACTACAAGGTCATTGTTAATGTCTAAGATTAACAAGACTACTTCTTTTAGGGACTTATTTACTGACAGTTAAGTAACTCTAGAACTATCTGACATTCATCGTTCTTCTATAAACCACCAAAAAATGTTACATTTATCCTTGAAATCTGCGAATCTCCCTATTTAACGGCACGTCGAGATTAAATGTTCTCAGTATAGATAAATAGCAACAAACATGAACTTCATAGGTTACTAATAAACATGGATAACGGTACAGGACTTAGGAGTGATAGTGACAATTAAGAAATCCATGTCTCTGAATTTCCGCATTCGCCATCAATGCCAGTTCACTATCATCTACGGAGGACTCCCATGAAGTTTATATCACAGGATTATGCCTGAAGGAATAAAGCCAAAATTGACCACACTTTAAAGAACTTGAAGTTATCTCTGAATATCGTGACTGTCAGATCATGTAAAACTGAAGTGTTTGTCTTGATAATTTTGGATAGAACTATGACTCATTCGCTTCCTTCGTATATTTCTATAGTTACTCTTCTCCTTGATCCCTTAAGATAAATTTGTGCCTTCAAACTAAACACATACCGAACATATGGACTATCATCTCCCTCGTGGACCAGCTGTACCGGATGAATATCTTGAGATCTGCTGGCTGTTACTATTGTCGTCTCTCCGGATCACTAACTCAATATGTATTGCTTATTATCTCTGTTTCCTTTCTCTCGCTTACACTTCGGTCCTCTAGCAAAATCTTCACTAACAATTAATACACATAATTATCCATTTATTTACTTAGTTTTGAAATCTTATTATTGGCAATAGACTTTTCTCCTTATTATTTTCCACATTACGACTAGCTAATCGCCGGCCTGGTAACGTTATAGCTAATGGTATCCATAAACCCTACTACCCTGAAGAAAATATACTCATTCAAATCATGGGACATAAAAACTCACAAATGACTTTAATTAGTGCCAACTAACATCTAGAACAACATCCATTTGATATTACCGAATACCTGGAACGTATCGAAAGAACAAGAAATGAGTGCAGCGAAATCCATTGGTTTATAATAGCTCGGGATAAAGATCTTGGATACACTGAAGGTCACAAAATCTCCTTTTTGTTGACTTCGTCAAGAGATCAGTCACTCGCAAGACTGGCACACATAGTCAACATTAGGCTATTACTACACAAATCTAAAATTGGAAATTCTGAAATATAAAGTTTGAAGTTGCTTCTGCACAGCGTTATCTTTGTTAGCCTTAATGGGAGGGCATTTTGGATGGTGAGCTACTTTCCGTTCCTGGTCTAACTAAACACGTTTTGCAATGATACTTGATAGCCTTTGCGGTAAAATATCAGATAAAATCAATAAGCTGTTTTGTGAAGCTACAGGTTAGTCATCTTACAGTCTAATGTTATTATACATAGGATTGGATGAACGGTTAAAAACTGGCCATGAAATCTGTGATTGTTTAGAGGTAAGTTTGTATTTCATGGTACTAAAAGCTTAGAATGCGGCAACGGAGAGAGAAATACAGGATTTAACATTCGTTATTCACGACAAAATACAGTATTATTTGATGTCAACGATGCCAGATAACCTACAAGAGTCTGAAACACAACAGCTTCGTCGTTTATGCCTTGAGATCATCCAGAAAATCCCAAATGGTGATCACTTAAAGCCATTTGCTCGGTCTCTTCTCGAAATGTTGTTTAAACTAGTAGAGGTATGGACCTTTCATTCACTATTTTACACTGTAGGTTGAAAATGAAGAGAATGTCCTAGTTTGTTTGAAGTTAATTTTAGACATTCATAGGTCCTATCGACCATCATTCTCAAACGATGTGGGTTTTGGTTTGCATTCTCACTATTTAATAGGTCTCACGATTTTTGGATTTTGTAAAAGAGGTGTACAGTGATCTAAGATTTCGAGCCAACAAGATTTTTGAACCTAGATCGAAGTTGGAAGTTACTGCAATATCTGATATTGATCTCGAGGCAGAAGTTCTAAATACATATACAGTTACAAGTGTTTACACACAAGAACTTAAAACTGATGGTTCTTTCATGATTGTAAGTATCCAAGTTGAATTAGTTATCGTCGGATTACAGTACCACATTCTCCCTAAATCTAGGTTTTCTTTAAAAGTCATACAAGAAATTCCTATTTTGGTGGTTCTAATGTATCAGCTATTCAAGCAACATATTCATCAAGATGTTACTGATTTTATCCCATTAATAATGGATTTTATCAACCTTAAACCAACAGAAGAACAAAAGTAAGCCACGTTGTAACTATGTATATTTTCCTATCCCCATGAATTTTACTAACTTCACATTAGCTTTTTAATAACTCCTTGAATCTGCTACAACACCTGTCCCCTGACTTGTTTGGGTTTCAGGAAGCGTGATGATTAATTTTATAACAAAACTGATTCTATATCTTCATCTCAAGAGTTGTATGCAATTTGACTTAGAGTCAGCGTATAGTACTTATTTTGGGGCGAAGTATTTGTCAATAGCAAAAACTTTTCAGCCCAACAGTCAAAGAAGTCTCAGCGACCTAAATGCTTGACACCATTTGTTGGTTATCTTTCCTCGACTATCTATCCAACTTGTTAAACAATCCAGTGCAGCGTTCCACAGTATTTGGTAACTGCTTATGTCTAATTAATGTATGAAGTGTTCTTAAGTGGTCGTCACTTTCAGTCATACCTCACAGTAGTATTTAATGAATCGATTGAAATAGGAGGAGTGAAGTTAACAGTTATAGGTTGAAGAATAAGTAAACAAGGTTAAAAATGAATGTCTTTATTGCTTGGTTTTTGTCGTGTTCGCACGTGTTAACCACGTCACATTAAAAAAGTGCAGAATCAATTTATCTTTCCATAAAACGATACTGGTGACCGGTACACCATTCGAACTGGTGTTAAATGCATCTCAAACAGGTTCTCTACACATTTTTCCAACCATACTTTTCTTTCAACTGTCATTGTTTCCTTCATTATACTTTTTAGGAAGAATGCCAACTTTTGTCAAGAAGTGTTTATTGATTTTATGGCTGCTCAGGTTAAGACTTTATCGTTCCTCGCCTATGTAATTAAAATATATCAAGTACGTTTATCAATTTTAACTGGTCTAAATAAAAACGTGTGTTAGTTTCGTTGTCAATAGACAACAATAGAATTGCTGATATTCTGAGTAGGCGCTAGGAGAGGCCAAACCAAAACATTGCGCTAATCCATGAACTGGACTGAACCATGTTAGTAAGTGTGGACTACCTAGTTGATGTCCGAGAGACGATGAGTCCATTCTTTGTCTCTTCTCAAATTCTTATCTTCTGAATTCCTCACAACCATGTTTTCTCTTTTTAAGTTTACCTCACTGGATTATACCCCTCGAATCACATCTTTAAACTCTAATCTTTTCTATTAACACTGGTACTTCTACTACCTCTACTACTGTGCTATCTGAATCGACAATTCGATCTGTGTGCAAATGTGTTATAACGACTTGAACTGATGTACATATGTACCAACTTCTACGTTGTAGCTGTTTGTCTGTCTATTCTGAGCAAGATTACCATTCGTTTATTCTTTTTAACCGCGTCTTTTTTGCCTTGTTTCACGTATCCGTATTCTCTTCCTTTGTATGGAAATAATTGATTCGAACTTAAAACGCATTGTTGTTCGCTTAATACTTATTTTAGGATTTGGTCGAGCTACACTCAGTTGGCCTTGTACAGGGTATGATGAATTTGTTGGTTAATTGTCCTCCTTCGGTAACCAATATGCGCAAGGAGTTTTTTATTGCTGCTCGTCATATTCTTAGTGCACAGGAAATACGTCCTAGTAAGTTTTCTCATAAATGTTGACCTCATTAGTCAGATTCAGATAACTATGATTAGTATATTGAATCTCTCACATGCAAGTAAGGATTACTTTTTCCAAATTATAATCGAGACACTCTTGGCTTACTATAATATGAGTTTTACGATTCATGTGATATGAATTCTGTCAATTCCCTCTCTCTATGTCCATACGTACGTAACAACTTTTACTTTGTAGCTGACTAACGACTGACTGACGAATTGTGTTAACTTGGTTCTATGCATATGTGTGTTTATGAATGACCGAGGGAATTTATGAATACATGTATAGTGATATATTATTCATTTAAGCTCTCCATCTGGTCCAATCTTATCTACTTTTAGTATTGTTATGGTAAATATTATGCATTTGACTAATGTACTGGTACGCACATCTCATAATTGAGTCTCACTTGTTTATGTTTCATCAACAGTGTTGGTATTCATATTTCAAGCCCTGATTCGGTCTGCAATTAGAATTTACTATTGACCACCGGTATTACTTCTAGTAATGCTTTTTTAATTCCGAGTAATCTGACTTATCACATTAATTTTAGCGAAATCCCTTTTCAAAACGATTATCGATTAAATATACAGAATGTCTTCTTTAGTGATTAACATCATCTGCGGAAAACCATTATAAACTAGTGATACCTTTCATCGTCTGACTTTTGATGAGTTAACCTATCAGGAGATTCACTTGCTGACTTAGAATATGCAAATGACAAAATTTCGTTTGGCAAAGACGCTGAAAAAATGAAGTCTTCTGACCACCTTAAGCAACAATGCAAGTATGTTCACAATGCGATTCTCCCCTTGAAACGCGAAGTATTGCTTCAGGATTGGCTTGCGTTGGCACCTAAACTAGTGATAGGGAGTGAAGTATTTGGTTGTGTCGATCGCTTGACTTATATTAAATCTCCTTCATTCCTAATAGCCTAGTGTTTGACGAAATCTTGGCATCCATACAGAAGGCTCAACTGGCTTTTGCTGAATTGCGTCTCTTATGGCGCAGGTGAGATATCCCTCTATTAACCAAAGGACGAGTTTACCGCATAATAGTTCGCTCCGTTATACCTTACAGGTGTAAAACATGGTCACTAATAATAGAGGATATTAACAGGTTACTAGTACTCGACCATAAATGTCTTCGAACCATTGTCTGTGTACTCTGGGACCACTCAATAAACAATCCCTGAGTTAAGGATAGGGCACTAGGTAAGGATGACAAATCGATTGATGAAGTAGTGAATCTTCATCAACTGATATGTGTTACGTGTTTTCAATCACCAACTACCTCAACGGGCGATACTCTTGTGTAGGGGTAGGTTGGGAGAAAGTCAGGGGCGGTCAAACCAAAACATGGAACCAGTCCATAAATTCATTGCAATTTAGACAGCCAGGTTAGTACATACAGAATACCTGGTTATTGTTTGCGAGACTATAGTAACTGGTGGTTAAGGATTTTGAGTGACATGATTCAAAATCGTTCGTATTAGTGCAGGTTCATCCATCCTTTTTCGCCTCTCAAATTCTAATCGTTTGCATTCCCCATGACGATTTTTCTCTCTTTAAATTGGTTTTACTGAATATATTTCTCGAATCATATTTTCGAACCATAATCTTTTAATTACCGCTAATACTGCTACTACCTCTACTAATGTGATATTTGAGTCGACAATTCAATGTGGCATGGCAACTTGAGCTGATCTACGTACGATGTTGCAGTTATTTTACTAGTTTGTTTCGTACTATATAGACCAGGCTCTCTACAGATCAGTTTTAAATTCTTCCATCTCTATTTAGAGTTTCTACAGGTTTTGGATGAACTTATGAATGAAGAAATCTTAATTGGACAAGGATATACTATTCGCGATGCGTTAAGGTAATACATCTGTTACATAACATTGGAAAAATGTTTCTCATTCAAACGCTTGTTAATAGATAATATAGCTTCATAAATTAATACTAGACTAGGTAATAAACTGGGCGCACTAGGTCATGTGATACACACCAAAGACTCCCAATGAATGGGTGAGGGACAGATTATAGATCAAACTGTTTTCTTAACAAAAACGCAAGCCGTTTACTCAATGACACCTAGAGTAGAAATTAGAGTTACAATATGATAGTTATACCAAAAATTACAGACGGGCTTTCTTTTTCTTCTCGATAACCAGTCGTGACTCGTTTTCAGGTGAAAAATTAACGCTAGATGTTATTGAATACCCCAATGTTACACAAATAACCGTTTACTGTTATTGAGGAGGACATAATAGTTCGATGTTTCTGATGGGAATTAGTTACTAGGGTGTAATACTTTTTAAAAAATGATAATTGCTTTTTCTAATATAACAAATGTACAGTGACTACATTTCAGTGGTTAGTGCCTGAAATCAGTAGTCACCACTGATTGTGAAGCCACTGATGTATTTTAGTTTTTGATAACCAGTATACCTAACATTGGATAAATTTTTCAGAATAAATCCTCAGTTAAGCCAATCTCAACGCTAATAGTCATTTTGGGGTTTGTACTCTAATTCGTAAATATTAACGTTTGTTTGCAAGTCATTTTTTCATCTTGAAACTGAAAATAATCCCTGAATGAATTCCAGTTTTCATTTTATCAAGAATGAATATTATGTAGTAAAATTTACCATTTCGATATCTTAGTGTTTCTTGAAGCTTACAAACTTCAAATTAATGAAATTGTATTATAAAGTTATACTATTCAACAATTATAAAAATGTACAGCTCACTTAGGAATAATGTTTCATCACTTCAATCATATCACTTGATGTTTTCATATAAACTTTCTTTTTAGACCTTTAGCTTACAGCACATTAGCTGATCTTACTCATCATATCCGTAGTTCTCTCAGTCTGTCTAAAATCGCTCGTGCCATTGATGTTTATGGTCGCAATATGCATGACTATACACTCCCATTTTCAATTCAACAAATGAGTTTACGTTTGATACTAAATCTGGTTGAATGCATAAGACAGCGAGCAGTTTCAGCTACATCTGCAAATCAAGGGGCACCAGCAACAAATACTGACGACCGGAACAATGAGTTTTTTTCCGGGACTGCAAGACGTCTGCTTTTGCAGACATTACGTTTATGTGTGCTAAAAGCTAAAGTTGTGGCAGATCACTACATACCTGCATTAGAGGCTACATGGTGAGTTCTAATCTTTATTTTCCATGAAAATAACGCGCTAATTTAATAAAATATATTTCAGGTAATTTTTTGAATGCTAATTTTCTAATAATAAGATACATTTATAAACATTTTTAATGCTATGAGAATCTGATCGCTGCAACCTGTAACTTTTCAACTTCTAAATGCTATTTTTCCTCCTAGTCTCTTGATATACATCGTGCTATGATATCAAAGCTACTCTCGATTTATTAAAATATACCTCCACTGAATTAATAATAGGTCACCGTTAAATACTGAAGTTTCTTTTTTACATACAGGCTTTGGATTCATTAGATTGAATCTCATTAGTTCCAATCATTTGAGTTACATAAAATGAAATCAGTGTGATATATGGTCATGTGTTCAAATGTAACATCATGGAACTTCGTACAAGTACAGTAAATAGAATTGAAACCATTCTCTTAAGGATAAACAAAAAAACATTAGAAATGCAAAGGATCACCAAATAAACAAGAAATAGCATGTATGCCTAGGCATACAAACTATCAGTGATGTAATATTTTACAAAGTACAATATTCATTTAGATCTCGCTATAAGATATGACTTTACTAACACTACACATGAATTATTACCTTGATCCCTAAAAATCCACAGTTAAATTACGTTTATTTATTAACTGTTACTCATTTTTCTGCTTTAGTGTATTAGAAACAAGTGAAGAAGTAACGCCCAGTTCAACTAAACAGCGTCCAAGGTCTATAAATGCTTATCCTTTTGCCAATATTTCCTCTTTTTCGAGCGAATTAAACGAAATTGGCTCATTTACTGATAAAAATGTTCCTGCTTCCGATTTTACAAGTATTCTAAATTTGGGAACTGATGCATCGAAAGTGAATGAAGTTAGTGTTTCTTCCAGTATATCAATCCTTTTTAGAATAATGTGTTTATTGAGTTACAATAAATCAGAAAATTCATTCAATTTTATTTAGTTCAATCCATTAGAAACCTGACTCATTTTTAGTAACTACGTTTTCTCTGCATACGCATGTGTTACATATGCCTAACCACCGACTGCCTCGTCCAGCTATGTTTTGTGGTGTAGAAGTAGGCGGGAAGAAAGTTACGGGCGGTCAGACCAAAACATGGCAGAAATCCATGAAGTCACTGACAAGTGAACTGAGTCATGTTGGTAGATGTAGGCTATCTGGTTGGGGTCCACGAGACGAAAGTCACCGATGGTTAGAGACCTTGAATGACATGGCTCAGAATCGTTTGCAATGGCGCAGGTGCATCCACTCTTTGTATTCTCTTTAATTCTAACCTTCTGAATTCCTCATAATCTCTATCTTTCTCCTAAATTTATCTCACTGATTTATATCATATCTTCTCTCCCTAATCTTCTCCATTGCTGCTAATAATTCTACTATCGCTATCACTGTTGCATTTGAACTGACAGTTACGTCTCTGTGCTGATGTGGTATGGCAACCTGAACTGATGTACTTATGTACGAAGTTTTGCGTTGTATCTGTCTGTCTGTCTGCTAAGAAAATAAAGTAAATGATTATTTTTTTAGTACCACCTTAGAGCACTTGTGAAATGTATTTTCTTTATGATGTACTTCTAACACCTTTGTCCTAAAGGAAATCCCCATATTCTGAAGAAAGATTACACTACGCTCATTTATTAACCGTTTCAGTAACGTAGTGATGTCAAGGTTTTAAGGTGTATTTATAAGTAACCAAATATAATATTTAAATACCGTCAACTTGAGCAAAAGTATACCTTGGTGACTAGGATCTAGTTAAAATGAGTTTGTTTCTATTTCGATCTCAGCAGCATCCACCGATCTGATGGATGCCCGAAAACTCATCCCACCTGGCTCTGAACATGACGAAGAACGAAGTCAACTTAGGCGCAGACTTATAAAAAGCCTACGTAACGATCGCGAACAGTGGTGGGTGGCGAAAGCAAAAGCGATGGAAAAGGCAGCGGCGATCGGCAACAGTAGACAACTTTTCCGCCTTATTAAAGAAACTGGAATTAGGAATCCTAGTGTAAGTGAGACTATCTCAGAAAATGACGGGACTCTCATTTATTCTCAATCCAGGAGACTGGATCGATGGGCAGAACACTTTAGGGATCAGTTCAACTGGCCTCGAGCCACTCTTCGGTTACCCACGATCTCCAGTCATCCTGAATGGCAAATCGACCTAAGTCCCTCTAGTCTTAATGAAGTTGAAAAAGCGTTAGGAAATCTGAAGCGAGGACGAGCTGCAGGTCCTGATAGACTGACCCCTGAGATATTTAAGGATGGTGGTCCAGTTTTAGCAGCTAGATTGACTGAGATCTTAGGTAGAATCTGGGAACTGGACGTAATCCCATCCGACTGGTCTCAATCACTGATTGTCCCAATCTATAAGAAAGGACAGAAGTCTTCTTGTGACAATCACAGAGGAATAAGTCTAACTAATATAGTATCTAAAATATTGGCCTCAATAATACTTCGACGCTTAACGAAAGCTCGTGAAGAGCAGACTCGAGAAAACCAGGCTGGTTTTCGACCTGGACGTGGTTGTATAGACCACATATTCACACTCAGACAGGTCCTGGAACACAGACACACATTTAGGCGTCCTACAATAGTTGTTTTCCTGGACCTTAAAGCGGCATTTGACTCAGTGGATCGTGAGGTTCTGTGGCAGTGTCTGTCATCGAAAGGTGTACCAAAAAAGTACATTAACCTTATACAAGCTCTTTACTCGAACATCACTGGTCGAGTGAGAGCTTATGGCGAACCGTCACCAGAATTCTTTACTTCAAGTGGTGTCCGTCAGGGATGTCCACTTTCTCCATTCTTGTTTAATTTTATCATAGACATGCTCCTAGAAATAACCTAATCCACGTCTGAATTTTCCGGAGTAGACCTTTTACCAGGTGGCTCGCTTATTGACTTAGAATATGCCGATGACATAGTCCTACTTGGTGAAGACGCTGACAAAATGCAGAGTCTTCTGACTACCCTAAGCAACAATACAAGTATGTTCGGGATGCGGTTTTCCCCCTCGAAATGCAAAATGTTGCTTCAAGATTGGGTTTCATCGGCACCTGAACTAGTGATAGGGAGTGAAGTGGTCGAACGTGTAGACCGCTTCACTTATCTTGGGAGTCTCATCAGTGCTGATGGCCTGATGACTGACGAAATCTCAGCTCGGATACAGAAGGCTCGATTGGCTTTTGCCAACCTGCGTCACTTATGGCGTAGGCGAGATATCCGTTTGCTGACTAAAGGACGAGTGTACTGCGCAGTGGTTCGCTCCGTCTAACTTTATGGCTGTGAAACATGGCCAATGAGAGTAGAAGATATTCGTCGGTTATTGGTTTTCGATCATAGGTGTCTTCGAAGCATTACTCGTATATCGTGGGACACCCGAGTGAGCAACGCTGTTATTAGGAAACGGGTACTAGGTAAGAATGGCAGATCAATCGATGAAGTGGTGAAACTTCATCAGTTGAGGTGGTTGGGACATGTGTTGCGTATGCCTAACCACCGACTGCCTCGACGAACTTTGTTTTGTAGTGTAGGAGTAGGTTGGAAGAAAGTTAGGGGCGGCCAGACCAAAACATGGCAGAAATCCAAGAAGTCATTGACTAGTGGACTGAGCCATGTTGGTAATTGTCGACTACCTGGTTGGGGTCCGCGAGATGATAATAATCGATGGTTAGAGACCTTGAATGACATGGCTCAAAATCGTTCGCAATGGCGCCGGTGCATTTATTCTTTGTGTTCTCTCAAATTCTAACCTTCTGGATTCTTCAACACCTCTAGTTTCGACTCTCTAAACTTTTCTCACTGAATCATACTTCTTAAATAATATCATCTCATCCTAATTTCCCCGATTACTTCTAATTCCCTTATTACCTTTACTATTGGATTTGAATTGACAATTATATCTCTGTGCTGATGTGGTATGGCGACATGAACTGATGTACTTACGTACCAAGTTCTACGTTGCAACTGACTGACTGACTGACTGACTGTTTCTATTTCGAAGTTTTGCCTAGTCTATCTGTTTGTTCCAATATATAGATTCCTTTCTGTTGGACTACAAACAATCTTCACTCTAAACCATAGGTCTCCTAAACAGTTTTCAACTGTATGTTAGTTATAAAATGCACTCATAGAATTTGTTAAATTCACCTTTTGACCATTTTATTGAGAATAGTTATAAATTATTAACTCATTGATTGTATTAGATTAGTGCAAAGTAATTTCAGTCTCATGTTCCTCTGGTACTTGTTCACTTAACCTATAATTTACCGTTAATGAAGATCTTCATTCTTAACTGCATTGAAATTTATTTTACATTCCACATAAAGCCTCGGATTGTTGAACCATTGGCCAAATTGCAACTTAGCTATGCAGATGTTCGAACTCTTGTCAAAGCACTTATCACCGGTATCCGTACTGTCGTGACAAGCATGATCCAATGTCCACATGGTAATACGCTTCAGATGAATAGTATCACATCAGTTTCTTCAACATCATCGAAACAAACTATTTCCAATCGAATTCTTAGTCCAGATGAGTTAGTTGTCTTAACAGAATATTTCTCATATGGAATGCGAATGATAGACATTGTACAGTTTGTGAATCGAGACGGTCGACTATATTTAAAAAGGTAAGAACTTTTGAATTATTTTACATTAAAAACCACGAAAAATAACTGTAACATTAACTCAGTCTCATTTATTTACCCAACTGTATTCATTCTATTTTGTTATATTTCCTTTGTTATGATACAGCCAACCAGGTACCAAATCTCCTGATGAACGCCTACTTATTGAGACGTTTGCTTTAACATTTGCTCAGTTGAATCCAATATCGTTTCATGAAATTTTTTCCTGTAAAATCCACGTGAGTTATTCCGTGTACTGTAAATTATGTATGAAAGAGCCTATCCTATCCTTGTATATAATACTCAAAATAAAATTTGAAGTCCGAAAGAATTATTTCCTTACTAAAGGATTATTATTACACAATAGTTATTTTGTCTAGTCATGTATATTACATTGTTTTAAATGGATCTTTTAATTGAAATCCTAAGAGATTATGCCTAGAATTTACTACTGTTCATATAAATCTCACTATTGCTTTCATTAATAAGGTGTATTGTTTCTTTTTTCAACTTCTCGTAATATAATTTGTTATTACTATTCACTTTGTGAATTCTTAGTAAAGTTCACAACTAATTCTAACATGTTTATGTAGTTGTAATGAAGATTTAAAAAATAATTGCTTTAGCATTGGGTTCTTTCGATAAAGTAATTTACTAACTAAGAGTTCCATCATCTTTATTTGAAATGACATTAAAAGAAGATTGCATCATTGGTTAGTCAATAATATCATGAGTAAGAAGTAGAAGTCTTTATCATGACAGTAAACTTTGTCTGTTGTATATCAGAATGAATTATTCCACCCAGTTGTTTTTAATCTTACTACTGATCATATTTTCTTGTAAATATTGTAAACCATTGGATGCCGGCCCAGAGGTTCAGAGGTTAGGCGTTCACACGCAAGACCAAAGGTCCTGGGTTCGAATCCTGCGAGAGTCGTAGACGTGCACTGCTGATGATGACGAAGCGGCCGTCCAGTGCTTCCAGGTTTCTAATGGTGGTCTAACAATGATTGATGATTTCAATGTGTAACTAAACTTAAGTTAGTTAGTTGAAAGAAAATTTACAATTATTAGTACATTTGGTTAATTTTACGTGGTTTTACACAACATTATTCTGAATAAATGTAAATATGAATGTTTTTCTACAATGCTGTCATCAATTTTGTACATTGGTTTACTTGGAGAAAAATTTCTCATATTTTCTATATTTAATTATTTTATTGATCGTTCCTAATGTACACTTTTGTTATCAGTCTGAAATTTATGTATCATACCATTTAGCTCCTGAATCTCCTTCCAGTTTTTTGTGCGTTTGAATTACTACTGTTAAGATAAACACATTGGTAAGGATACTTTTTGATGATCTTGGTTAATAGGTGATATAATGGATAAGGATTCGGCCTAACAGTTAACTCATTGAAGAGCGAATCTACAAAACTGATGATACCTTGATAAAATTTATTTTTCTGTTAATATCTTTTGTGTATAAACATTTGATTTTGTTAGCAAAAACAGTCTTCTTGCTAGTAGCTTTTAACTTTAATCATAGTTTATTTAGGATCTTTCTTTCTACAATAGTGTATAATGTTGTCACTATGTTCTCTTCATTATTTATGTTAATATGTAACTATATTTTGTCGAATTTTACAACTTCCCTATTTATGTATGATCATTTGAACTTTTCTTACTGTTTTTTCTCTTTACAGGATTATGTTGTATGGTGTAATCGCAGCACATCCTACACAAATATTGCATTTCACTTACTCTCTCAACCAAATAAAACATCATCCTTTGGTTATATTTTGTTATCTTATCTAGTTGATAGATTAGAACGTTTGGGAGGTAAGTAACTAACATTCCAACTTATCTTTTAGAATCAATCGTTTGATTATCATTATAAACATTGTCCTTAGCATAGTTTTACGAAACATTACTTCAGAACCTGTAAATTACTTGAAATCGCATAACATACTTATTGGAATGAGGTTTTATTTCGTTCCAATTTGATTTTAGAAAACTTATTTTATTTTTAACCCTGATACTGAAAGAATGTTATTTCAATTTTGTATTTAAAAACGTAGTAGTTAATTCTTATTGTCACGTTATATTAAAACCGTATGTAAGAACGAAATGGTTTTAGCGTTTCTTCAAAAGTTCCTATTTAAAATAGCTTTTATAGTTCTAGATTGAAATGCTATTGATGTTGTAAATTCCTTACGAAATATAGAATTTACGAATGCATAGGCATACACATTTTTTATTTTGAAACTTTTGTATCGACGTAATCAGTGGTTTTCACGAATTTCGTATTGTTTTATCAAACTATTCTTGGAATAATATAGTTAACTAACCTTTATCATTTTGTACATTTCAGATGGTACTAATGAATCTGCACTTTATATGCGGCTACTAAAGTTATGTTTCAGTTCAGTAACTATGTCTGGCACAGAAAATGAATTAGTTATGAAGGTATTTTATATTATTTTGGTATTTTATGAATTTATTTGTTTTTTTCTGAATCTATGGAATTAGATTTTGTGTTTAAAGTGTGCCATTAGATGTTATAGTTATAGATAATGATTTTTGTATACAAACGTCTCCTAGAAATACCAATTAGTTTAGTGGCTAGCAGTACATATGTTCTGCTGAGCTACATATTTTTCTCGAATATAAATAGATAATCATCAGTATTTCATTCAATGCTCACAAATGCTGAAGTTTCATGCTCTGATATGAAGAGTTTTCCTATGGAGTCGACCAAATCAAGAATAAAGACGAATTTCTGCTGTCTACTTTATCAACAGTTAGGGGTGTACTATAAAAAGGGAAAATGTAACCCATTAATTGCTTCATGTCCATAACGTGTCTTGAGTTTCAGATTTTTATCCCGTGTAGAATTGACCACGTGCACTTTTGGAGTAGTCTCAGACCATGAGAAAACGATAAGTCAATGTTAACTGGTTTTCTACAACGAAAAACTTATTAAAAATTATCTTTATTTTTCTAATTTATCCACAGCCCTATTCTGAATCATATTTTCGCATCAATAAAACTGGAATTCATTATTCATGATTTATTTATCTTATAGCTTCATTTACGTCGTATTGTTCAAGGCAGTATGCAATACTGCCTTACAGCTAAAGAGCCTACAGCTTATCTGACTCTATTACGTACTCTCTTCCGGTCAATAGGAGGAGGATCACATGACAAACTTTACCGTGAATTTTTTCCTTTATTGCCTGAAATGTTAACTACTTTAAATCGTTTACTGCGTTCGCCACATCGTTCAAATGCTCGTGATCTATTGGGTGAATTATGTGTTATTGTTCCAGTTCGTTTGTCGACATTACTGCCCTATTTATCTTTGTTAATGGAACCGTTAGTTTATGTACTGAACTGTAATACTGTGAATCAGGTAAATTTCGTTTTGTTATTTTATTTATTTACTGTCTATTCTAAACTGGAATAAAATTAAAACATAGTTTCAAAAGCATTATTATTGGCAATAGTTAAATGCACTTTTCGCTCTCACAAAATGCTTAAATGTTGTGTTAAAGATGAGTCTATAGCTGTTGCTCTTCTTCACTTGTAAAGTTTCTAGCTATTGTTCAAAAATATTTATAAGTTTCGTAATCTACTTATCGAGTTTAGGTCTTAAAAATTTAGGCCATGAACTTCCTTTCCGGTATATTGAAGAGGCTTCTATCTACCTGTAATTGCGTAAATTAATATCGAATTATAGCTTTTTTCCAATCCTTCCAATTTCCTTTAATGTTCAAGTTTCTATTACTGAAGAGTTTTTCCTGTTAGGGTCCTATGGTCTTTTATTAACTGCATTTAATGTTCACTAACCTTAGTGCAATAATACTTTCTCTACAGCGATAGCTGAATGCTTGAAACATTTCACTTTCTGTCACTGGTTGCAGATTTTAACACAGTTTTCATCCGCTTCAATTCAGAAAACTGTTGGGGATGTTAGATCCCCAGAACTCGCTTGATAAATATCTTTATTTTGGATTGATTTCATGAACCGATCAGTTGACCTTGAGATCACATTTCCCACCAGGAAAATCCCTGGCTCTGATTGGTTGCTGTGTCGTGTTAGTGTGCTATTTTTGTGACTGTCCCAAGGACATCTCTGTAGGGTGTAAACAAACGCAATTTGAGTGCTTGGATTCATTGTGTGCTGGCTGGGTGTTGTAGAATATACTTTCTACGCTTAGAGGCGATCATAACAAAAACTAAATAGCATTGATAGTCATCACAAAGAATATGGCTGAACGTGAAGGACTGTAGCATTAAATCGGTTACTTCATAACTTTAATCTCATGAGTCTGATAATTAAATAATCACATTTTAATTGTCTTCCATATATATTTTTTAAATAAGTGGAGAGATAGACTGTTGCTTCTCAATCCTGATGTATATAATCAATTCACTATTTATTTTGTTATTCTATAGGGTCTTCGTACTCTTGAGCTTTGTGCTGATAATATGCAACCAGATTTTCTTGATCATTTATATCAAGTACGTGGGGATATGTTATTAGCATTGTACAATTCACTTCACTCACCTAGTGAATATGTACAAAGAATGTCATTCAAGGTTGGTTTGCCATTCACTTTTGATATATGTTAATAATGTTAATAATAATAATAATAATAATGATAATGATAATAATAATAATAGAAAACTTGATACTCCTTTCATTTTAAGTATTACTGCTTGTTTATATGTATCATTTTTACACATATTCATTCTTTTCTTATTGCTTATTACTTATGAAAATACTGAATTAGAAATATGGATCAAATATATAAGATGGTTATATGGTTCAATCATACTGCATATAGTACTATTATACAAATATTCAACTGAATGAATTTGTATATTTTCACAGTTCCCTGCCAACCAGAAGTTTTCAGCTTTTTTTGTTTCTGTTACAAAACTAACCATTTTTAAATATTTTGGTGTATTTATTGTAAAAATATTTCTTCTTATTCAAAATGTAATTAGCAAGAAATCCTTTATCTGCAAATTATACTGTTTACCTAACCAACTGCATATCTTTTCACCTTTATGTAATCCGAGTTTATTTTCTTGTGAAATGTTATCGTCTAATTGATATGATGACATTTTTGGATTGTGTATGTTCTGGTAGATTTTGGATCCTAGAGCTTGAGTGATACGAAGTCAGAGTGTAAATGACGAATATGCTAATGTTAAAAACTCCATTTAAAGTTGTATTCTCATGTAGCAAAAAAGATAGAATAATCAGAATTTAGTGTGTCATTTAACATGAGTTGTAAATACTCGAAAAGCTACAATTGAACATTTTTCTATTTTCTACAGTCCTTTGTTTCACCACATACTTTAATGAATTATAGGTTCAAGACTTATAACTTCGTGATAATAAGAGTTTTCACTGAATTACATGAAATAGAGTGGTTATATTAATGTCACCTGTTTTGAGCAAGTCTCTAGCATCTTTGATACCACTTTACAGTTTTAGCCCTCTCAGTCGACGACTATGATTTACTTGATTTCATTCTGAACGTTTTCACTTTTCTACATTGGGTCAAATAACTATTCGATACTCTTCTTTTTATTTTTTATTTACTAGGTACTTGGGAAATTAGGTCGATTTAATCGTACTAACTTGCTTGAAACACAACGTTTACGTATTAATTCAACGGAAGGTGAAGCTGGTCCACAACTACGTTTTCACATGAATGAATTTCGAAATCAGCCTATTGATATACCGGTTAGATGCCTTGTAGATGCTGCTGTGGAAATATTACAGGTAAAATTTCATTGTTCCCAATCTTTGTCGGGCGAGAGTGTCACGAATCTTTTCTGAACACAAACTGAAGTTGAATGTTCGAATTCCTATGGCTTCTGCTATATGTAGAAGATGAGATCGAACTCCGTTGAAAGCTAATGGAGGTGTACGATAGATATTCGAAATGATTCAGCTTTATCCATATTATGACCACTTTCAATCAGGTGTGCCAACATAGAGCTGCTTATTGTTTTATCTGACCCTTTCAAATCCATGCTAGATGTTCTTTCATTCGATAGTTCAGTTGCCTGGTAGTACGCCCAACATGGCTATTCACTCAGGAGCAACTGAATTTTTCAACACACATTAAGGAGGTCAATACAGGTAACTTATCCGTCGTTTAAGTGGACATCACTGGTCGACTAGAGAATGTCAACAAAAGATTGGCTGCGTAGGATGTCCTACTAACTACCTTCGCTAATCTATCATGCAAGATATCGCTAGCCACATTCCAATTGAATTGTAGTTTTAGTAGTGGAAGTTTCTTTCAAATGACCAAATTCTCTGACTTTTTTTATTGTATACATGCAGTCAACACGTAGTCAATCTCGGTCAGTAAGCTGTTAATAAACCACAACTCTTTCCTTAAGGTATCTACTGAGCAGATCGTTTTTGCTTTGATTGTGAAACATCTAACTAAATTTTATTTTGTAGGGGATAGGTGTAAATTATAAAAGTGTGTGTATTGGCAAGCAGAAGAACTCTTTCTACACTCGCTTCTACTTTCCGAGCGTCACTCCGTCAACTTAGTGAGATCTCAAGAAAATTAGGTTTTTTGTCACACTCGTCCTCACCTATGAAAGTGATAGTCCAGTCTACACTGTTGGAATGTTCTAGGAATTCCTGTTTGCTGGTATTGTGATCTACGTTAATGAATTTGTCGTCGATATAGCGGCAGTATAAGTCTAGTATCTTAGTAACCTCATTAAGGGGTTGATTAAGAGGTTTTCTAACTTTGCTAAAAAGTGGTCGGCTACAATTGAGTCTAGAGCTGAGCCCAAAGCAATGCCATCTATTTGTTTGTATTAAGTGTTTCTAAAGACAAAACGGATGTTCAGCATACACCTAAAGAGCAGTTCTTTTAGACTATCCCTAGCGAAGCCAATGTTGATTTGGTTTTCTGATATTTATTTACTTATAAGCTCAATCGTTCCGACTAGTGACACATTGGTAAATAAAGATACGACATCTAATGAGATCATATTTTTCGTACTAACATCCTTTTTTCCACTTTGGAAATGAAGTTGAAGTCGTGCTTGATGCTCATTCTTATCACTAACTTGTGCAAAGGCTCGCACTAGTCACTTTGCGACTTCGTGATAAGGAGAATCGTATGTATATAAAACCGGGCGGAGAGGAAGACCCGACCTATGAACTTTATGAGACCGTACAGTCGTGGTGTATTTGATGCAGTCGGTCTAAGAGAATCATGAAGCTCTGACGAAATTATCCTCTTTTGCTCTAGTTCCTTTTGATCCAAAATTATGTCAATCACCAGCTTTATATTTTATTCCCGTATCTATTTTTCAAATCAGGACTCCTCTTCTGATGAGCCTAGTAAGCTTCGCTCTTGGGAGTTTCTTCAGTCAATTTGCGCAGCTGCTTTAGACTTAAATCATTCGCAACAATCAAGGATTGGTGCGGAAGACTTTTACAATTGTTTTCTTGGAGATACAAAACTAAATAATATGATATTGCATTATATTGGTGATATCTGTTCGACGTCGTATTCGGAAAATCTTGGCATTCAGTTAACTCGTCAGAGTTGTTGCATGGCTGATGGTAAGTAGTACTATTAAACTTTAAGTTCGATGTCTTCATTCATTGTTTATTCCAAAGTATTGTTTTACTAATTTTAAAAATGAATTGTTCACTACTGTCTGTTAGCCCAACGGTCACTGCATCCATTTTTATCACACAAATTGGTATTGTGAATTCTCTATGGTGAATCTTTTTTTATCATAGTACTCACACTTGTTAGTACACTAAGTCATATCTGTTATGTATAATGACTTGATTCTAACTGCCTTAACAATCACCAAAATTCTATAACACTGTAGTGAACGAGAACACAGGTGGAACAACCGGATTGTATTTAACGAAAATTACAGAGTTACTCAGTAACATCGGAAAACCATATCGTAAATCGTTAATTTACAAAATATCAGTTCATCATATCGAACTGGACTGTTCCTGTTGCAAAACATCAATCTATTGTCACTATTCATGCGTTTCATAGAAATTCCATTGTTTTCTAATTCTTCCTTTCTTGATCTTCCCCCGTCTTCGGCTGCCAGACAGTACGTTGACGCCCACGTCATATACTACTTATAAGTAGCTCGCACCACAACACTACTGATAGTCAACATTAATGAACTCCCAATATTATTGTATGTTACAATTTACTGATATGCTTGCATTATTTAAGCTGAATAATTCTGTATCACTGTTAAAATAAGCGAAATTTCAACACTTTCGTTAAATGTAAATTATCCTGTCTATAATATAAAACAATGTAAAATTGTAATCAGATTCCAGCAAGTCGAGATCCTTGACAGAAGTTCCAAAATACTTCTAACTATATCCTGTTTTAGTAATTGGATTTCGAAGACACATCTGAACTCTAATATAAGAAAGCCTTCAGTATATTTACATTTATATTGCAGAATTTTGTTTGGTACTCTCAACTATTTATAAATATTTTTACGAATCTAACTTTTATGCTTGATCGTGTGGCGTATGCAAAGGAGTTATTTGAAAAGATTCTGAACTGTAAATATCTGTGTTCTGGTGGTTTCATATGTACCTTGAAATCAGTATAGAAAACTTATGAATAAGTTTTAAGTCTTTAAGATGTAAACCTTTAGTTGTTTAGCTTTCCCCACAACCTGTGTTTCTGTTTGTAAGTTCTTAACTATGCTAAGTTGTGTTTTTTGATCAACACAGTTACACATGTACACAGGAAATTTGAAGTTTCACATCGATATGCTCATAATATGGTAATTTAGAACGTGAATTTAGTTCTTGTTGCTTTTTTGAACCCTATAATTATAAAGTAAATGAATTTGATTTATTGATTGTACAATCACAGACTATAATCTGAAAGCATGTTTTGACAAAGTTATCTCATCATTAAACCAGTTAACTGTCAAGGCAACTTTTTTCGATTTATACCTTTGTAGATTTATATCATCATGTTATGATAATGACTATGGCTGGTCTATTTTTGGCTGGTCTAAGCAAAGAATTACAAAATGCTCATGGGGATTTTATCGCATTTCTTGTTAGACATGTAACATTTCTATCAATTATGCAACAGTTTACTACACCTCATATGGAGATCAATCGTGATCATATTCCATCTCCAAGTACATCATTCAAAACAAAAGTTGATACCACGCCTAAATTACCGTTCTCTGATGATACAATTACTTCATTAAAAATTTCCGATGATGATCATTCTCAAGAGGTAAGTAAGTTAGCTCTTTTGTTCAAATTCTGTAGAATAATGTGAAAGTTTGCGTCTTCATTGAAATCAACGAACCTGTTGTCAGAGACTAAAAATTAACTATTTAATCGAAACCTCTTATGTGAATATTTCAGTTAATCAATTTTTGAGTCACATTCATACAAGTATTACTTCGATATAAATAATCTGTCGTTATTGACTTTTGTTCGTACCAGGTAATCAAATAATAATCTCGTATACATCTCTTTTTTTTCAAATTTTTTCAATTAACGTTTTGGCTTTTTGTGCCCGTTCCTTGACGGAGTAAAACGAAAAAACAAACACACCTAAATCCAACTATTAAGTGATAATCACAGTTGTGCAAAAATGCTACCTCCATTTTTAATTTGTCCTGTTGTTATTTATTTGCTTGTTCATGTGTTGTTTTGTACTATTAGTATGTGTGAAGAATAAGACATTGGTGCATTTCTACATGTATATGCTTACCAGATATTCAGTAGTTGAAGTACAGAGCTGACTTGTAATCTCCCAATTCTAATCGAAGTACACTGTTTGTGCTAAAAAATTATGATTTTTTTAGTTTCAATTTGAAGAGTATATAGAAAAATTGAGTGCATTAGCGTTTGCATACTTTCTATCCACGCAACGAGCGCTCATAAATCACTATATTACAGATGACTAAATAAGGATAAATTCTTCAGTGCATCTTAAAACTGTTCTTCAAATTCATTGTATTGGTTGTTGATATTGTTGACTACAGTTAATCGCTTAGTAACTACGTGTTGGGCATCTGAGTCGAGCGGTACTGAGTTCGATCCCCGGTGTGATGGTCAAAATTGAGGTGAAGGTATATCTGACTGTCAAATCTCAAATAGTACGAAAAGTTCGTTTTAAATTTTAATCCTGACTGATATCCAGCTCTATGTTTTTTAAAGTTTTTCTTCATTGATTTATATGAAATTAGTTATAATCCACATTGTATTGTTGTTCCTTTTGTACTCTTTATGTTAATTATTTTCTAAATTTTATTAATTTTTAGCTTGATATATTTAGTATAAGCCAGGATCCTGATACACTTATTTCTATTGTCAATGAATCTCAATCATCAAATCAAGAATTTCTTTCGAATAACTTATCTTCACATTTAAATCCGAATTTAATTATTGATTCTATCATGTTTGTTATGGGTCATGAAGTGAAACAACTCACTCGAAATATGTGCTTATTACTAGAAATTATACATAATACAGCGTTTACTATATTGTTCGCTGTTACTAAAACATCTCGAGAATGTAATGAAGATCGTTTTACTGCAGAGATGATTAAAAAAGCTGTTGCGAATCTCCAGATTTTTCAACATATTGGACATGTTATTGTTAATATGTTATATCATTCGGCTTGGTAAATCTTTTATTCAGATCTTTTTTTTGTTTTTACTGTTATTAGAATCAAAGTGTTTTTCCCCGTTACTGTTTGTTATTTATTAGGATAATGCTGTTATATCATCCATTGGAGTTATAGTTCTCTGTTTCTCTGTTATTCCTCCCTTTAAATTGATTCTTGCATGATCATATTTGTAACTATTTATCCGTTACTTCGTCACTAACTATGCCTGAAACTATTTCGGGTTCACCTTAGTCGATAAACTAGGACGAGACAATGAACCAGTGTCCAGCTAGGCTACCTTGATCCGAAACGGCTAAAGAGAAGTCTTGGTATAGCGTAGAAAGTATATTCTACAAACACCCAGCAAGCACAATGCAATCAAGCACACAAATCTCGTTTATTTATACATCATAGAAACGTCTTTGGGACAGTCACAAAAATAACACACTAAAATACACGGCAACCAATCACAGCTAAGGATTTTCCTGGTGGGAAATGAAGTCTCACGGTCAACTGATCAGCCCATGCTCGCAAACATGAAATCCCAAATTAAGGCATTTATCAAGCGAGTTCTGAGGATCTAACGTCCTCAACATTATCTATTTCACCTAAATAGACGCACGTTAGATTGAATGAAATAATAAACTATTTTTCCATTTTATCGTCTACATGTATATGTCATTTTGTGCACAGTTTGAGATTACAATGTACTTTTGAAATAATGGTTATTTAGAAAGCTTCAGTGATCAATAAGCAAGTAAAAAAGCACTTCTTAAGTCTTAGATTGACAGCCTTCATAAAAAAAGTGTCTAAAATTATTCACCTTTTGTTTCACTGATAATTGTTCGATAGATAGTGGACGATATGCTTTAAAAAGGCTAAAATGTTTTAAATTTTAGTTTACAAAGTTTTCAATTAGCATTCCATTGTAGCATTGATATTGATATCTATATAGAATTAATCCTTATTTATCCAATGAATGATAATCGAATGACCACCAAGTTTTTAATGCTTCCAATAAGTAGCATTATTTTATGTTCTATTTATTTCTTAAATTGATTCCTATTCAATTATAGAAATATGAATTGAAGCTAAATATTTTGCTTGATTGATTTGAGAGAAACTAACCGACTTTCTTTCAGCATCTTACATGCTTGATTTCTCCCCAGTGTAATACGTTTTTGTTCTCTCTACTGAATAGTCCTAAAAATAAGATAAGTTGAATTGTCCAATGTTTAGAAATTTTATTAAGATATTCATAGTTTAATGGGGTAGAGTGGTAAACCGGGAATACTTCAAATAGGTTTCTATCTCGGTTCTGCAATAGTTAGTAGTTACCTTTTATTATGATTTGAATGATTTCTTTTAGAACTAATTCGTATTGTGTCACTGTAAATGCACTTAATTCATATTCGTTGATATAATAAAATTGTATAAATTGCCATGAAGTCTATCAACACGACTACTAAAACAACAGCATTTGATCATTCTTTCATCATGCACAATCGTTCCACTTTGATTTTGGTTCCTTTATTGTATTAGAAGAATTATGTGCTATAAATGACATTTTAATCATCCTAATCACCAACCACAATAGCTACATTTATCTATTTCAATGGTCCGAAAATATAGTTGTTAACCTTAATGTTGTGATTTGATATGCTGTAAGCAGAGAGTTTTTCGGAAATTTCTGATATCTCAAATATTTAACATATAATTCAAATAAGTTAGTCAAAATATCATCAATAACGCACTTATAAAATTCACAAATGTTGTAACTTGGAAGTGATATCATATCTTGTGCGTGAGTTACCCAACTTTTTCTCTTCTTTTATAGGTATGTTAAATGGGGTGCTTGTGCTTCCATTCTTTGTCTTGCCCGCTTCATTCATCCTTCATGGTTCTGTTCAAATCTCATCAGTTTGCTACGTGGCCTACTTTACTGCATTCACTGTTTATCAAATCAAATGAATCAAGGCGCTCTAATGATGGCTCGTGACTGTGCACGTGTAATTATCAGCACAGTTATCATAAGTTTAAAAGATTCCAATGAAACTAATGACACTTCAAACTCATCTATTGTCGAAGATGAAAGCAAATCCACTACTCCAATGTCCACCCGTAAACGCTCTTCAATGACTTCACAACGTCGCACAGTTCAAGTTAGACGTGGTCGCAGTGCAAGTAATGCAACTTCAGAATCGTCCACTAATGAAGCATCAATCAATATGCTTGATGAACCAATGGAAGTCGATAATCAAGATAACGAAAAAAGTTTTACTCCCAAGTTCTCACCTTCTCTAGTAAGGGTCGATTGATAAAACAATTTTACATATGTTAGTATAAGTTGAGTAAAATTCATTAAACGACATTCAAACCAAGATTATTCTTTTAGTGTCAGTATTATGAACTATACAACACATTGTTCAATCCTAATTTCTGGCGCTAACATTTTTACCGTATATTAGAGTGAGATATCTTTATTGAAATAATCTTTGTTTTCAGTTATTTTCTTTCAAATATTGTATTTTCATGTACTACAGTTATTATTATTATTATTATTTACATTTTAGACACTTTTATTGGATGCAGTTATTGCAGAATTATTAGATTCACTTTTAAGTGAAACTGATCTTGTTCGAGCTGAAACACGTTGTCTTTTAAGGTTACTTGCTTATACAGTTGGACAACCATTATGTAAGCTGTTAGCACCACATTGGTATAAAGTTATTGGACATGTTTTACCTCCAAAACAACCATATCGTTTATTGGATTTACCTATTTCAACTCAACTAGCTGTGCTGGTATGTAAAATGTGACTGTAATAGTCGTGTGATTATTATTTTATTGTTATAAACATTACGCCTATTATAGTTCAGTAAAAATTAACTTATGTTTTCCAATAGTTAGCATTATCTTGTTTGTCAATATTAGCTAATAGCTGTAACTTGTTGGGTAACTTTAATAGATATTCTTCAGGTGACCTTTCATAATGTAGCCCCTTACAAAAGATATTTAAATTTGGAATATATGTAAAACAAGTGCCACTTCCATTACACAGAAGTTATATAAGATATTTTACATTTTTCTTGTTCATTGTTGTATATTCATCAAAGGGTGGATGAACTTCCGGATCTTTTTTATTTCAAACAGTCATATGTGAAACGTGGAACCTTGCACATTGGTTTTAGTTACTTCACCATATCAACACGACAAAATGTAATCATCAAGATGATTGTCAGAAGAGCAGAAGAAGTAATGATGTCAGTAGTGGTGCATAATATGGTTCAAGAGAAAATAATAAATGTGCGAAATAGGAAAATATGAGGTTAAAGCCTATGATGGAAGGAAAAACAAAGCTTACATTCATCTGCACTATAATGACCGATTCTTGGGCATATTGTCCAACAGCTCTAACACACTAATCGCGTGACCGTTAACTTGGCGATCTGCGCCTACTAAAGACAGTTCAATCTAATACTCAGTGTTTCTGTTCTAGATCCTATGCTATGTTTGTCATATAAGATATATTGATTGTAGGATCTTAATACACAATTCAGATTTCGTAAGTTGAGCGAGATTTAAATATGCAACTTGAATTGTAGGACAACTGACTACTCCGTGAAACCACATTTTCAACTGAAATTTAGGTACATCATGCCACTGTAGCGATGGGATGTTAACATTATGTAGAATTGTTTTTTTAACTAAAATATTTTCTTTTTTTTTCAGGAAGCAAACTACTTTTTTAGTCAATCAGAGAAACCAAAAAATCCATCTAAAGTTTTAGATGACTCTAAACCTTTCGACTTTGACATAGATAACAACGATGACGGAGTAGGACTTCTACGTTATGATCTTTCAAAACGAGATGATTGTATTTTTCTATCCGATGTACGTTCACTTCTTACCCAATTCGAATCGAATAATGATTCCACTGCCACTATTCATAATTCTACAACTACTAACAATATATCTGTTGGTAGTGGGTCTGTGAACACTGGTGTCAACAATAATTTATCAATAAGTTCAGATCAAGAAAAACTTCCATTCAACGGAACTTATCCATATTCCAAGTTTACATCGGCTAACTCTAGAACTGTAATACCACTTTCTAGTAATTGTATGAGATTAATTAATCTTCGTGTAGCTGCTTGTCAAGTATTATCTGTCACATGGTATTTAGATGCACAGAAAGCAAGAAATTTAACAGCACTATTCAAAGGTTAGTAGTTAGTGTATAGTTTATTGTTTGTTGTCGTTCACAACTTTGATAGACGATGGCCGTTTTTTTCTTCTTCTTCTTCTAAAACAACCATATTTATTCACCATTTAGAATGAAACTATACACCGGTAAATCCATTATACTACTGAAAACCATATGTTTGATAAATCAATTCAATATTTTAAGTGATAATCATGTTTCATCAAAACGAGTTTCATATTTATCATTGATAAATTCAGTAAGTTATAACGTGTAGAACTTGATATTTTACGTACACTAATACAAGTCACCATACCTAAATTTGTACTGATAAGTTCAGTAATTGATATCAATTATAACTAGTTATTACAGTGAAGTGTTTCTATGATTGTATTTTGAATGGAATGCTTATCAGTGTTTGTTATAAACATTTAATTATAATTAGATGTTTTGATTTACACCTGCTTATATATGCTATCGAGAATGAAATCATTTCACACTAATGATATATCACACTATTAGAGTTATGAATTAGATTTGAATGATCTGAATCGATTTTCGATTGTTAAAGCGAGTGAATAAGTCATTAATCAATTGATAATATGTAATTAATACGATGTGATTGACTAGTAACCACTTATGACACCGGATTATGGAAGTATGCACCTTTAATTAAACATATATCATCAGACAAAACGGTTGTCAAATAGGTTTGGCTTTTTATGTAAGAAAATAATCTGTTTATGTATGAGTATGAACATAAAAAAACATGTACCATTAGATATCAAAAATGATCGAGTGAATTAAATTTTGTAGATCATTTGCTCTTGCCGACAAAATGGCATGTAGCTCAAAACGTAGGCTGTTTAATCGTTTAATATTAAAATGTAGTGTACGGGATGCTTACTCAAACTAATGATTACATTTTAACATGGTCGATAACACTGAATTAGTACTAAGCTCTCAATAAACAGGATATAGATCAATACTCAGTCAAACAGCACATATTATATATACCCCTGCTACATTTTGATTGTCTACTTCAAGTTATTACATAATTTGTTGCCCCTTGTTCATATATCATTCACTAGTTTCTATTTTCATATGACATATTACAGGTATGTCTTGTAAAAATGAATATATTCATGAAGCAGCTTTTTTATGTCTTCGAGAATTTATTAGTAAGACATCAATTGATATTGAATTAAAACATGCTAATATGAAACAGATTGTACAAAATATTCGACAAAATTCCATACGATGTATTCATACAGTTCGACAATTAGCTTATTGTGCGCAATTATTTCCAAGTACACTTAGTGAAAGATTGTGTGATGCAATTTATGTAAGTCAATCATTATAATCATTATTATTACCAATATTTATCTGTTATTATCCATTCTATAATCACAATTCACACAATATCTTATATATATATATGTTAACTATGAAAAATTTTCAACAAGGCAACAACATCAATCCTTGTTTAGCAAAAAATAAATTTGTCTTCTTGATATTATGAGTCGATTACTGTTAGACCACCATTAAAAACCTGGAAGCAGTGGACAGCTGTTTCGTCCTAGATAACACAACATAGTTTGTCGAGGCAGTTGGTGGTTAAGCATTCGTAACACATGTCCCAACCACCTCAAGTTGCTTTGCCATTCGTACCTAGTACTCGTTTCCTAACGACAGCAGTGCTTACTCGGTTGTCCCAGGATACACGGACAATGCTTCGGAGACACCGGTGATCGAAGACTAGTAACCTACGAATGTCCTCCACTCTTTACGGCCATCTTTCGCATCCGTATAGTAGGACGGAGCGAACTGCTTCACAGTACACTCGTCCTTTGGTTAGCAAGCGGATATCTCGCTTACGCCATAAGTGATGTAAGTTGGCAAGAGCCAATCAAGCTTTCTGTATCCATGCTGAGATTTCGTCAGTCACCCGGCCATCAGCACTGATCAGACTCCAAAGATAAGTGAAGCGGTCTACACGCTCAACTGCTCACCTCCCTATCACTAGTTCCGATGAAGTCGCAAGCCTATCCTGAAGGAACATTTTGCATTTCGAGGGTGAGAACCGCATCCCGAACATGCTCACATTGTTGCTCATGGTAGTCAGGAGACTGCATTTTGTCAGCGTCTTCACCGAATAGAACTATATCATCGGCATATTCTAGATCAGTAAGCGACTTTCCTGGTAGAAGGTCCACTCCTGAAGAGTCAGACGATGATAATGTTAACTCGAGAAGCGTATCTACGACAACGTTAAACGGGAATGGAGAGATTGGACAGTCCTGACAGACACCACTTGAAGTAAAGAATTCCGATGTCAATTCGTCATAGGCTCTCACCCGAACAGTGGTGTTCGAGCAGAGTGCTTGTATAAGGTTAATGTACTTCTTTGGTACACCTTTTAATGACAGACACTGCCACATAACCTCACTTTCAACAAAGTCAAACACTGCTTTAAGGTCGAGAAATACTACTACTGTGAGACGTCTGAACGTTTATCTTTGTTCTAGGACCTGACGTAGTGTGAATATCTGGTCTACACAGATCTTATTCCTCACAAATCAAAACGTTTTTGTCTAGGACTGATTCGTTTGTGTACTTCGTGCAACATTGCACTGGACTATTTAGCTTATAATGCTTGTAGCCTAATTGCAATGTCAAGTCAATCCCCGCACAAGATGCACAAATTCTAAAGAGATTGATCAATCTCAGTTTTAAACTTTAATGGAAAGATTCAAACAATAATACAAATGTATATTCAACTAACAGTTTTTATTTTTAAGTAATCGCAACTGGTAAAATTTTCACTCACTATAGTTTTGAACAATAAGCTCAATGCATTTATTTGTGAACATTTACATTCTAATTCCACGAAGAATTTTCGCAGCTTTCACTGACATTTTTATGTTAGTCAATCAAGTCTTTTAATATTTCGATTCATCGTTTTAATTTCTGTTCTTGCGTTATGTTTAATTTACTGCTCAAATTGAATAATGAGTTGAACGCCGCTTGAAAAAGAAAGTACCAATCAAAAAGTGTGTAGCATGCGGAGATATCGCTAACCCAACTCTCATTAACTCCAAAAACCTTTAAACTCAGCTTACTGACAATATTGCGAACTGTGAAAAAATCAACTGATACATTCTAACACGAAATTGTATATTTTGTTATATTTGTCTGTTATTCTTAGATAATTAATTATCTATCTTTTACTTTCTATTTATATCTAGTCGCATTTAAATATAACTTTAGAAGCTGCAGCTAACAAACAAACCTCTTCATCAATCTTCACATTCACTTCATTTGTGAGTACTCTGTATTTTATGTAGACTTTTGTGTGCTGTAAATATTTTCATATATATTATTGAAAGATATCAATCCAGGTTTGAAAAACTCATAACAATAATGTTTGATAGTTGATACTGAAGATAAGTGTGAATCACATTCACGGAAAAAAATATAGTTCTCGTTTTCTGTTCATTCCGATGTTTGAATAATGAAATTCATTTTTGTACTGAAATTGCATTTTGTCATCGAATAATGGCATATAAAACTCTAGAATAACTAACAGTATCACGTGAGTTTTTACAGCTGCGTTACATGGAAGATTTTAATAGTAGCTTTGCAGATTCTAGAATGACTTGAATAGTTTATCCAAGAGGAATTTATGAAGCTAAAATGTAGTCGCAACAGAATAAATATTAAATTGAGTTAATGAAAAAAATATCTTTTTAGTTTTTGGATAAAGTAGATGGTTGTTTTCGTCATTAGAAGAATTTTCGAATAAAATTCAAGCTAATAATAATATCTGAGTATTCTCTGAAATTGAGAATACTAATCGACTCCTAAAACATGGTATTTACTTGCTTTTGTTATGATGATCATGATTTCAATTCTTACGTCATATACCTTGGCTTATGTTACCGATTAGTGTCAAATTCATACATTTTAGTTTTTTTCTTCTAGAAAATACTTACTACTTTAACCTATGTTGTTGTTTTCGTTTTAAATTTCAGAATTTGGAATTATGTACATTATTGTTGGATTTATTTCATTTAATTCCTTTGGCAACTTCAAAATATGTTTCACTTTTAATTGAATCTGTAGTGAACGCTGAACGATCATTAAACATTGAACCTACTAGTTGTTTACGTTTACCGTTAACACGTTTTCTATCGCGTTATCCAGCAGAAACATGTGCGCTCTTACTAACTGGTTCACGATGGCCTTATAATGCACATGCAAATAGAATATTCTTAGTAATTATTTTTTTATTAATATTTAATAAATAGTTTAATTGTTTTGTTATTAACATTTTAAAACCTTTTATCCATTTGACCTGTTAAATTAGCTTAGCTTAGCTCACGATTTTCTATTTTCTTGTGATATTTTTTTTAATAGAAAAGAAATTGTAACAAACTATTGAATTGTGGCTTTAAGCCAACTGGTAAATGGTACATTTCGTCTAGACTCTGACATTTTAACAGTTAGATCAGAAATACATTTTCATGATATTGTGATTTCGTAGTATTTTCAACATTTATTGATGCTTCTGTGTACAGAATTGTTGTGCATCTAACTAATAACTTATTGTGATGACTTTCATAGTTCTCCATGGTTCCATTCCACACAATAGAAGCTTATATGGAAAATCCTTACTGTAGTTTTGGTTGATGATTATTTTAAGTTCCAGATGTTCTCCGATTGTACAAATATTTCCCTTGCTTCCCTACCTTCACATCTGCATCAAAATTCACCTTGTTTATCAGTGATGCTGTCCAGATATGTACAGGTTTTCACCTCTTTCAAATCCTCCACATCAAGTGTGATTTGGTTGTTGCATGCAGTGTTTTATCAAAAAAAAGAAACAATTTATCGTTATATTACGATTATTTGCATTACTAAAATCAAATTAGTTATTGAATAGATTTTCATATAACTCAATAGTATTTATTTATCATACCTTATTTTTAGTCTATTATTTTTTCTCTTTTACTTATTTTAATCCATTTTGTTTAAAGTTTGCTCTTAGTTGTCCACAAGGTCAACCTATAGTGGATTATTTAAAAACAAATTATCATATACTTATGGATCTTATTCAACCAGATGAAATCACTGATCAGAAAAGTAAACAATTATTATTAATTATTATGTTTCATATTCATTATTTGAATAAATATTATAAAATACATTAGGATTTGTTTATTGTAAATTCTTTTTTTTTTCGTTTATTGTCCCCGATTTATGCTTTTATCAACATAAATTACCTTTTTGAATTTTCACAAATTTTTCACTGATCATAAACTCAAGTTATTAGTGATATTAAACTTTCTTTTGTAGTTCACAAGTGTTTAACATCTTCAATCTTTGAATTTCCTGTTATGTGACTTTTAAAACAACATATTATTGATGAGTATATTTTCATGAGCCAATTTTCTTGTATTCAATTCAAACCTGTCGGGTGTAGGCAGTAACTACCAAAGACAATGGGTGAGGTCGCTCAAAATCCCTAGATCAATCATAGTTCAACATTAACACCGTTGGATGCCGGCCCAGTGGTCCAATGGTTAGGCGTTCGCGCACAATACCGAAGGTCTCGGGTTCGAATCCCGTGAGGCGCAGGAGTCGTGGATGTGCACTGCCGATGAGTCCGATACCAGGACGAAACTGCCTTCCAGTGCTTCCAGGTTTCTAATGGTGGTCTAACAATGATTGATTGATGATTTCAAATGTGTAAAACAACTAATCTCCATAACTCTAATTGAAAATATATATATATGTTAAATGTGATATAAAATAATAAAAATTACATTGTATTTTTCCATACAAAATAAGAATTAATTCCCTTATGATTGTAACTGATATAATCGTAACTACTTTTGTTCAATACTACTAATGAAAAAAACATGCTAAAATGATGAGGATCAAGTTATGATTCAAAGTCTATTTTTAGCAGCAGAAACATCTTACCATTTAAATATGCAATGAAAGAATATTAATTTCAATTTGAAATCGAGTAATTCAAGTTGGTTACTTGTTCACACTTTTGAATTTCATTACGTGGTGTTTATCGACCGAATTTGTAAGACCCTAAACTTTTAATTATTATTACTATTAGTAGTAGTAGTAGTACTAGTAGTACTGAGTGTATTTTTTTCACTTGTAGATGATATAAATGAACAATTATGTTTACCTCAAGTCGGTACTGTACTAACATTTGCCTGCCCAAGACATTTAGCCATTCGTACAGTACATACTATGCATCAATTATCACCGAATTGGTTAATTGGCAATCATCATTCATTGAATGATCTATCGAAAACTAATGCCAGAATTAAATCAAATCTAAATAATATTGAATGGCAGACTAAATATCATCCATTAATTTCATCTTTATTAATATATTGGCAATCGAATTTATTTGTTCGACGACAATCTAATTTAACTTTAGTCACATTGTCTAAAGATCCAATTGAAAATCATTCATTATTCAATGAATATATGACAGATAGATGTGAAACAAGTGAATTGAATTCATCAAATCTATCGAATAAAATAAATAACATATCCATTGGAAATAAATCAACTGTTACTGTTGAAACCGATAATTTATCTTATGATCCTGCTTCATTAATCACTTCAGGCACATCAGATCATAATCATTGGGATGAACCAAGACTTTTATTAGATTGTCTATTAGATTGTTTCAAGTGAGTGCGTTTTATTACGTAAAATGTGATTATTTTCTTTTTTGGTTTAGAATTTTGTTAAGGGTTACTGTGTGATGTTTCCTATCTCTTCTATAAATATCACAAGAATAGGCTTTAGTTTTACGCACTTGTTCACTATTTTTTCTCATTACCTTCTTCTGTCTTGTCATAGACTTTAATGTTATGTATATTTAACTCCAGTTTACGGGATTTTCGGTTCGAAACCTATCTCCCAAATTTAATTTCTTTTTCAAAAATTCATGGAAAGAAAAGCGGGCTATTTTTCTTTCAAGTTTATCGGAAAATTATACCACTAAAGTATTGTTTTATCAAAATGTGTTATTTTAAAATTGATAAAATCTTTGTAACAGTGGGTTTTTTTTCATTTTACAAAAAATCATTAAATTTTGCCCATTTTTATTTTAATTTTATATTTATGTTTGAATTGTTTACCTCTTCTATTTTGTTTGATGTATTTTTGTATTTTTTTTTTATTTAAGAGCTCATCCAGATGATTTTGATCTATTGTTTGTTATCACAATCGGTGTGACACGTTTACGCTATGTGGCAGACCTTTATCCACTACGTTGTTTATTAGTTCAATTGATTTCTGAATCTGATCTAACATGGCATCGTCAATTATTCTTGCATTTTATCACTGTTGTGAAAAGTCGTTTAAATTATATGAATCGAAACAATTCACCGGAATTTAGTCCAATTACTTCTGGTGTCAATCATCCAATTTCAACAGAAGATATGTATAAATTATTAGCTAATCTTATTCTGCCTTGTTTATCAAATGCTTTAGAACGTGATGAAAATGAAATATTTCTTGGTGGACCACCGAAACCTTTTGAAATGAATGGTAGGTTGTCATATATATATATATATATATATATATATATATATATATATATATATAGTCAACTGTTAATGAATACTGTTATAACAAGATGGGTATTGGAAACGTTGAACTTTCAGAATAGTCATACCTAAGGTTATTGCTTATATTATGGTTATATTAGTGGCAAAATACTTGAATTATCGTATTTTTGTAATCTCTTTGGTGTAGACTTTTTCGTGATACATAATCTGTTGTTATATTTGTTGTACTTTTATTAAATTACAAACCTGTTACTCAGTTTCCTCCCACTTATGACGCAGCTATATCTTCATTGTAATATCTTATTTTTGTTGATATGTGGTCGAGCTTTTCACTATATTACTTTGTGATTTTTGAGTTATGGCCGGATTGAAATCAATAGATAATCAATCTACTTCTTATCTTCGTCTTCTGATTGTCAACTGGGTTAGGAGTTGCTCGAGAACCAATGAGCGTCAAGACCATCGGTCGATATGTCAATCGATACTTAGATCACTTATCTTACTGCTAATACAAGCGAACTAATCGATAGTCAGAATTCTGATTAGACACAAAATATCACTTGATATTGATAAGTACATCAAGTCCCTTCACACAGTGTGGTAAAATGATTTCACAATGTTTATTTTATTTCTAACATCCATATATTTTAACAAGTTAATATGTGCTCAGATTATTCGAAATATTTCGCGGTGATTACAATTTTATAGTTCTGATAAAAAATCCATCTGCTCATCCCATTATCTAATTTCGTCAATACGACACTATAATTGTTTTAAAATCCCTTTTATCTTATCATTTTAGTTTAATTTACTCATACCGAAATTTTAGTATACGTTCCTCCAGCATTATTATTATTTATTAATGATTCTTTGCATAACGTTTAGTGACTTTTTTTTCATTATGGTTTTGTGAGATCTATATGATGTAAACTTCTTAGTTCGTTACTGCTGTGTAGAATCAGTGCAAGCTAAGTTCATTTCATAGTTTTGACAGCGAATATCACTAGCTAATTTCGCATAAGTTGAATTCCAGTTGATTCACAACATTGAGAGAAAAAAACTATGTTTATGCAGTCCATACAAAGAGGTATATTTAGTTCTTTGTCTTTCACACACAAAATTTCACCATTCGATCCTCTTATAACCTTACTAGATTGTTTGTATAAAATGACAGTGGTATGCAGCTATATTCTTCTGTTTATATTAGGTTTGTCAGATTATCAAGGTTTAATTTACATTGTGCAATAATATATTCATTCTGAGTCGGTATAATTTTTATAATACTAATAATTTTGAACCGTATAAATTGCTTCTGTTTGCACATTGAATATCATCATTATGACTTTGTATATATATATTTTTTTTTCAGACTCTGATCTAGTACATTTGTTCGTCTCAATTTTACTACAAGATCCAGCTGTTCAAACATGTACTGAACTTCGTGTTATGTATTATCAAATGGCTAGTTTATTTGTTTATCATACACCGAATTATGTTCACATGGGAAGTGCTAAGTAAGTAGCCTTTTCTTGTTTACTTCATAACATTAAATAGTACTCTGCACTACCACCTGTTTCAGTCTAAGCCATCAAATAGTATCATTATCGATCATACTGACACTGTAACTGAATGTCAAATACATAAAACGTGTGCTTGCCAAATCACTTTTTCATCAGCAGTGCGCATCCACGACTTCTGCTCCTCGCGGGATTCGCGCGAAATCCCTAGATCAATCAGAGTTAGACATTAAAACCGTTGGATGCCGGTCCAGTGGTAAGGCATTTGCCTACAATGCCGAAGGTCCCGGGCTCGAATCCTGTGAGGTGCAGGAGTCGTGGATGCGCCGTCCGTCTTTCAGGTTTCTGATGGTGGTCTAACAATAATTGATTGATGATTTCAAATGTGTAAAAAAGGCAAACCTCCAAAACTGTGCCCCAAAAAATCACTTTCTTACTAAGCTACATTTCCAATGACTTTGAAATGAACTCAAAACACTCTGAGTGGGAAATTTCAAGATTTAACAACAATCGTTTGTTTATTATCAGTTTTCTTTCTCCCATATAATGTGAATTCCATGTATGTTTGTTTGTTTTTTTTCTTTTTTCTAATGAATTCAAAGATGAATGATCTTATTTTGTAAGGTGTAATTCTCATAGGATTTCACCATGCTAATCTATCAATAATCATCATTTTATTGGCAGTAAAGTAATGATGATACAAACTAAGTCTACTTCCTATCCGTCTATCAGTTAAGAGACTTTTTAATCGATGATTATTTTTTGTTTGATTAATTGAAACGGAACAAGAAAAATTTAGTTTATGCATCTGGGCTGCAATAGTACTTATTTTGTGTACTTGTTTATTTTTTCCATGTTAACCACATTGGACGAAAAAAAGCGCTGTATATTTTCATCGCTTTTATTAAAATACCAGGTATTAGTAATAAAATCATATATTCAGATTATTAAAAATGTAAACGTTTGCATAGATTTGATGTCAATATCTCATTATCATACTTAAAATATTATATAATTAGATGATATAATTAGATCTTGAATAATTAATACTGTAAACTAATAATTATTATAATATTTATATATTTATTATATGTCATACTAATCCAATAAACTCACATGAGTACTTCATGAAATGTGTAGTATAAAATTGTGGTGTATACTTCATGTACTAAATTTCGATACATAAACTAATAATAATAATAATAGTTTACATGATGATTACTTTTTGTTTTGTGTACATTTCTCAGTGAAGAGAGTTATCGACTACATAAATTCACTGAATTCGCTCGGCCTTGTTTAACAAGTAGTTTAACTTTTGTGGATCTTCAAGAAAAATATACTGGGCTTCAATTATTATCACATTTAATTGCAAAATTCAATGTATTACGAACATCCACTGTACAATTGTTTCAATGTTTAGCAAAAGGTGCACATACAGAAACAAAGAAAATTGTTAATCCTGCATTAGATATTCTCATTCCAGCTTGGATACAAGGACCAGATGATCAGGTAAAATGGAAAGAAAACAAACAACCAAACTAATAATTATTTCTAAAAAGTATTCTCTTTTTTGTTGTTGTTAATTTTCACTCTCACCGGCCATGTTTCACATCCGTACGGCATTGCTCGTATATCCTGGGACAATCGAGTAAGCGATGCTATAGTTATGAATCGAGTACTAGGTGGGGATGGCAGATCAATTGATGAAGTAATGGAACTCCATCAGTTGATGTAGTTGGGACATGCCGAACCACCAACTTCCTTGACGAGTAATGTTTTGTGGTGTAGGAGTAGATTAGAAGAAATCTAGGGGCACAAATCCATGAAATCACTAACAAGTGGACTGAGTCATGTTGGTAGATGTAGGCTAACTGGTTGGGGTCCGCGAGATGAATGTCACCAATGGTTAGAGACCTTGAACGACATGGCTCAAAATCGTTTGCAATGGCGTAGGTGCATCAACTCTTTGTATTCTCTCAAACTCTAATTTGAATTTCTCATCACCTCTACCTTTCTCGTTCTAAATTTATCTCACTGAATTATACTTCTCGAATCATATCTTCGTTCCCTAATCTTCTCCATTACTGCTAATACGTCCTCTATCGCTATTACTCTTGTATTTGAAACGACAGTTGCGACTCTGTGCTGATGTGGTATGGCAACCTGAACTGTTATACGTACGTACATACGAAGTTCTACGTTATAACTGACTAATTGTGATTGTTCAATATCTTTTACTAAGTAGTTATAATGAAATAAATTGTTTTTTTTGTTTTAATTATCTAACATAACAAACTAGCACAGCTAGACAAACAGCGACAACAATAATAATGATGATGATCTCATATTACATTCATGTAAGATACATTTTAGTATAACCGAAAGAAATATCTGTTACAAAAATTTCAGACTGATAAAACTATCAATTAAATAAATATAATACAGAAATTAGTAATCTATTTCTATACCAATAAAACCTTTCTTCAAGATCAAAAAAGATCGATAAATTGCTTCTGTTTCTTTTCTTCTAATTCATGATTCCTTCGTTTTGCTCAATAAAAACAGTTTTTCATGAAATGTGATTTTTAATGTTCAGAATATAAAAGCCGACAACTGTGATGATAATGAACGTTTTTGCTTTTTTCAATGTGTTAATTGTTGTCTGTGTTAGTAAGATTTTATGAGTTGTATTGATTGAATTATTCATTACTGATTGTAATCTATTCCAGTTGATTGTTTGATGATTTTCATTTGTTTTTTTTAAATTAACATTCAATTGCATTGTTGTTTTCATAGTAGTAGTAAGTAAGTAAGTCATTATCTGAGTTTTACACAACAGTAGAGCTAACGATTAATTTCCATTCTTCTTGAGTCAGCAAAAGCGACGATTTACTTAAGTTACTTTTCGTAGTCTGTTCAGAAGATGCAACGTTACATATTTTTGTTGTTCTTGGTGAATAACTTTCCTTGCGTGTAACGATAGCCACGATAAAATATTTCCGATTCATATCTTATTAATGACCTTTGGCTATTATTTGCTTGGCTGTCTTCTTCTTTCTTAGTTTAATAATTCTACTGTGTTCGAAGATTATGTCCTATTACTATGTATCCAGAATTGTTTGATTTCAAATTTAATTTTCATGCTTTTCTGATTCCTCTTTGTCTTCCATCGCGTTACGGAACTGTCGAAGCACTGTGTGGTTGGTTAGCTGTCCAGTTTGTGGAGTTCCTGCAGACCTATATTTTAACGTTGAAAGAATATCTCCATTGTTTGTAATAAGTAGAAATTAGCTTAGACATTCTTGGGATTTAACATAGTCATAATTATGAAATGCTCGATTTCGAAAAGTAGATAATGTTTTCGATTGTTTTCTTTTGTTTCGTATTCTAGGAAGCACTTGCATCAGCAACTAAAAAAATTATACTAGAAGACCATGGTATTCAATCATGTGTGCATATTCTGTAAGTTCGTTTTCTTTTCGATGCCAGCTTTCATTGGTTTGTGTACTTTGGTGTTTTATAGAGGTATTTGTATAGTTTAAAGACCGGTTTTGAGAAAAAGTATTTTCTAACCTCAATATTACTATCGAACTTAAAGATTATCAGATTACTATTATCCGATAGTTTGGTTTTCTTATCACTGTATACTCACGGCCTCATATGTCTGTCAGTCAGTCAGTCAGTACAACGTAGAACTTCGTATGTACGTACATCAGTTCATGTTGCCATACCATATTAGCACAGAAAAATCGAATCGTCTATTCAAATCCCATAGTAGTATAGGTAGTAGAAGAATTAGCAATAATCGGGAAGATTAACGTTCTAAGAAATTATTCAAGAAGTATAATCCAGTGAAATAAATTTAAAAAGGGAGAAAAGGTCATGAGGAATCCAGAAGATTCGAATTTGAGAGGAGACGAAGAGTGAATTTATCTGCTCCATAGCAAACGATTTTGAGCCATATCATTCAAAGTCTTTGATCATCAGTTACTTTTATCTCATGGAACCCAACAAGTCAGTCTACACCTACCAACATGGCCTCATATGTAATCCAGCTGAAATACATTTCAGCCACCAAGTTAATATTAATTGGTCTTCATTTTCAACTTTATTTACTAAGTGGTATATCACAATGCATAACCAACGTTGTTGATGAGCTGTTGTCCTACTTCTGAATTGATTAACTTGACTGATTATCATTTCACATTAGAAATTTGGGAAATCAGCTTGTAGAGATTAGTGGAAAAAAGGTACTATTCTCCAATAATAAACTTCTTTTAATAATTTAAAACTGATTGGAATCTCGATTTGAACAAGTAAACAGTAACAGCATTCATGCAGTAAAATTCAACTTTGAAGTGAATACACAAATTTTCCCTTTAATTACTGTTTAAATATTTAATTACTTATAATTGTGAAAATTAAGGATATTCTTAGACTACCAATATTCTGTCATGTATGCCTTCAAAGCATTTTTCGCATATGCTTTTCTTAACAAATTCATATTGGAGTGTGACAGTGTATAAGTAAGTAATGCACATATATGCCAGGCTCCCCGCTACCTATCGTTGACTGACTAACGGACAATTATATATTTCACAACTGTATTTATTCCTTCTCAAATCATATTGTTTATTCTTAATCTTTTTTCATGTTAAAATCTCACTTTTGCCACGATCGCTTTAACGTTCATTCTGATAATACCATCTCTCTGTATTTTCACTGTCTGGCAAAATGACGGATCAATGTTTTTATGTGATCAGGTTGTAAATCGCCTCTGACCGATTGACAAATCTGTTTTCGCCTGATCACATTAATCAATATACACAATGTTGATATCAATTATTCTGATTTACTCATTTTAACTTTCCACTTCGTAGGTTGTTTACATTCAAATACCGATTTTTTTCTACTACATTAACTTTTTTTTGTTTTACTTATTAAAGAGGAATCATCGTTCGACATTCCGATTTGTATTATCCAATACGCCATCAAATATTACAGCATATTATTGTAATCATTTCTCGATTGTCAGTTCAACAGGTAAGTGAATTAATTAAATTTACAGTTTTGAAAAATTTAATTTTGGAACTTGTTATAATTCTTTCTTATTACAACCCAGCTATTTCTAATGCTTGGTTTTCTTGGACACCAATTCACTCGAGATGTTCTCGCACATCAGAACACGGCTGAACAAGAAATAGATTATATTCCAATAACAAGGTTAGATGGAATACAGGAGGTTCAAAGTATAAAGACGTTAGTATATTTATAGTTTTCTTACATGAGAAGATTCTAGAATGTTCCCTCAGTATCGGCTAGCGCTGATTGGATACGAAAGAGCCTATCACCCTACACTAACGCAATCATGCTTTCATCCAATCTATGTTCCACTAACAGGACTGTTCTATTTTGAAAAGTTAGATCCAGATGGAATGTACATATTTGATGAAAACACATGTTGATGGAATAAATGTTTCAAAGTTTATTAAGTAAACCTCAATTGCATTGTTTTATAATAGTTTTGAACTGTTCATGTAAAATTATTCAGTCAGTAAGTCCGAAAACGTAGTAAGAATCAAGCTCAAATATGTATCCTCTCAGATTACTAAATTATATCAACACAAACTGATAAAAATGTTTGTACCACTTGATCCCAATAGCTTATTCTGATTCTTTAAGTGTTCAAATAGCTTTTCTTTTTATATTATTTCTTTAGTTACCTGTTGAACAACGTCGATTAGCTTTAGATGTAATCTATACTACAGCTCAATGGGATGTTCGGTGTCGTCGTGAACTAACTGAAAATGATTCAAAGGTAAAAACTGATGATACGAATCCTGATGACAATAATAATAATAATCTATCATCAACAGAAAATTTGAATATCCATCCTTCAACCGAAGTAAGTATTATATACGTCTTTGGAATTTTTGATATATTTCAATTTAAACTAATAGGTTTGAGAGTGAAGCTTAACGTTTTCATTAACTTCGATTTCAAATTTAGAAATAGTGCACAGACTCGAAATTAATTACATACATCTGTACTTGATTATTGGTCTATATTAAATAGTTTTTAAAATTGTCTTATTTGACCTGAAGAAATAGATTTTTTGCAGATTAATACGTCTATATTTCTGACTCACTAATTACCGGGCATTACTCTGTATGATAAATCTGAATTGCTGTCATATGTTTGAATATTTATCGACTATTTGTTTACAAATCGATTAACTATATTCTCATCGTTTTTACTGATACACAGATTGCTAAAACCGTAGTCTTAATTCACCACTTTTGTTTGTTATGTTTTTATGTTAACGTTTGTATCAATCGGAAGACGTGAATGCGAAATCCCACGCTAGCTATCCATTAAAATAGCAACATATTACTTAATCAAAATCCGGTAGTTTGATGTTAACCATTGTACATTTGATTGCTTTGCGTTTTTACTTACACTCTACTACTGTATTTTTGTTTGTTACCGATATTTGATTGTTATTTTCTAAAACATCATTACAGACAGAACCAAATAACCCCCCTATGGATAAACCCCAACGTGATCAACTTGTAAATCTTTTAATTCGTTTTGCCTGTCAAGTAAGTTTTGCCATATTGTTTTTCTATGATATGTTGATTAATGAAACAATATTCGTTATCGAAGTAAATGGATTATGGATAGTCGTGAAGGAGCTTTTCGTTGTACTTTGGACTCATCAATCTGATATACATTCTAGTGTTAATTATTAGTACATCTAGACTCGAACCCAATACCTATCATTTCAAACAATGATTGTTTATCCTTTGAGCTGCTGATTGATTTAAAATGTCTTACATCGAATCTTATCAGTAACTAAATAAGTTGAATGAAAATTCTAAATACAGTAAATGGTTGATGGCATGAAAGTTGATAATGATGTCCAAAGTCGATAGATTATAAAAACATTAGTACTTCTCTGTGTACCCTAGGAAGAAAATTTCGAAGTATTACAGTTATTTTCCGATTCAAATGTATACTTGTAAATATCAATCGTACTCATCCGATAATTTTTGTTATTTATTAGGCTATTGATGCTAGTCAAAGCGGAAGTCTGTCTGAGCAGTCTGTATCCCGAACACTTGCTCAATTAGAATTCGCTCTTCGTTCTGATGTATGGGGTGGCGAAACCTGTGAACTTCGACTTGCATTTATTGATCGTTATTTCACTTTGGATGATTCATCGTCTTCGCATTCGACGTCCAATGCACCATCTGGAGGAGTTACAGCTGGTAGTCTCAATCAACACGGAATACACATGAGTGGGCCATCAAACACTACACCGGCATCTACTACTTCCGGATCCCATACAAATACACCATCTGCTAGTGCACTCGGTGCAACACAAGCCACCAGTTTGTTAATGACTTTGGAAGTTCTTCGTGTCCTATTCTCAACGTTGGTATGTTCTTTATGTTCTTTCGATCACTGTATTATTTTTCTCGTATCTAATACTCATAGATATAAATTTAGGCTTTTTGACGCTTCATAGTGTAAACCGAGTTTCTCCGGAAGTCAGGAGGCTGATTCCCCTTCTAACAACCAGAGCAACAGCTGATATAAGTACATGGGATGTTCGCACAATATGGGAGATCGGAATAACCATTCATCTCTATACATCAACTGCTTTAACTACAAGAAAGCATTTAACAGCGTGGACAAAAGAACAACAGTAGGTCTCAGCAAACATATGTAAAAAGTAAGACCCTTAGTTGCAACAACACAACATGCGCCATGGAGAAACTTTGGAATATGTGCAAACTTTTACATACCCGGACAGTATCTTCGGTAAACATGATGTGTCTGACGCAAATTTTAAGACATGGATTGGCAAAATAAGGGCAATATTCCTATTAGTGGAGAACATTTGAAACGTAAAACAACTGTCAACCAACATCATAGTCACGATTCTCAGTACGAACATCAAAACAGTTATATTGTATGAAACAGAAACGTAGAGAACTACAGAAGTCATTATCCAAACGATATTAACAGTTTCTCCTTAAGGTACTGTGGATCCGTTGTCCAGACACCATCAGTAACAACCTACTGTGGGAGAGAACGAGTGAGATTCGAGCTGAGAAATAAATCAGAAAACGTGCCAGAAGTGTATATGGCACACATTTTGAACATCACTCAACGGTGTTACGAGGCAAGCCCTAACTTGAAACCCTGATGACTAAAAGGAAATTGATAGATCGAAGGACACTGTGCGCCGAGAATTTGAGATTGACATGAAAAGAATGAATCACTTTTAAGAATAACAGAAAAGGAACTAACAGAGTTAGTTGGAGACTGCTTGTCGTCAACCAATTCTCCTTGAGGAGTAACTGGTAAAACTAAGTATAGCTTGAGCAAATAATGTCATCAAACAGAAATTTTTTCGCCGAACTGTTTTTAAATTCTACGCAGTTAATTTCCAATAAATTGATTTGTATTGGATTCTGTTAGCATTTCTATTTAACATATATTTACCCATCTGTAAAAACATCAATTACTTTTACCAAATATTTTCTTTTTTACACTTTAGGAAAGTCCAACTTTATTAATCAATGTAAAACATTTTAGTGCTGGATTATGTAATGTATTAACACGACAATTGACTAATGTTCGTTTGATTCGTTCTTGTGCTGGTCTATTACGTGCTATGCTTGAACGTTATCCAGCTGAAGCATCACATCGTCAAAAAATTACTGCCTATCCTGAATTATTTGATATCTATTCAGCAACTTTAAAATCAATACAGGATTCATTTACAATGTTTAGTGAAAAGTAATTATATTAAATAACTATTTATTATTTATAGTCATTTTATCAAAAATACACTTGTAAATATTCAGTTATTATTTGTTTCCATGATACTTCAAGCATGCTTTTCAGGAGTGGACGTCCTACAAGGAGACACGGTTACGGACTTGGAGTATGCTGATGACATAGTTCTATTCGGCGAAGACGCTGACAAAATGCAGAGTCTTCTGACCACCCTAAGCAACAATGCAAGCATGTTCGTGATTCAGTTTTCCCCCTCTGTTGTAACGGTTGCTTTCAGTTGGTTAGTATGACGTACCCAAACTTCTGAGCCAACTGACACCTCATAAATCACATTCCCTTTCTTTTTTAAATTCCGACCAGCTGTCCGTGCAGGATGTTTTCCATGATAGTCCATAGCAAGTACTTCTTGACCCACTGTGAATGATCGTCTTTTTGCCCCATGGTGTCGATTGAACCGCTTCTCCATCGACAGGTTTCGCTCAGGCTCAAGAGCTGGTGTAGGACGGATGACATCAAAATGTGTTCGTAATTTTCTACTAAGTAGAGCTTCCGCAGGTGAGACTCCGTCAATCGTCTGAGGGTTCGGTATAGAGCGATAAATAAGCAGGAACCTCTCTAAGATCCCATCGGTGGTCCCCTCCCCTTTAGATTTTTTTAGAGCCTTCTTTGCCTTGGCTTTCGCCATCACCTCCGGCTTCTTATTCCTTGCTATTTTGGAATATAATCTTTCCTGTTCGAACCGTGTTTTGACTTTGGGGGACTTGTTCAGTGTTTTGTGTCAATAATACTAAGCAATAAGATTTAGCCGGGAATTATCCAAGTTACCGTTACAAAACCCTTGAAATGAAAAATGTTGCTTCAAGATTGGCCTGCGACGGCATCTGATCTAGTGATAGGGAGTGAAGTAGTCGAGCGTGTAGATCACTTCACTTATCTGGGGAGTCTCATTAGTGCTGACGGTCTGGTGACTGACGAAATCTCAGCTCGGATACAGAAAGCTCGATTGGCTTTTGCCAAGTTGCGTCACTTATGGCGTAGGTGTGATATCCGTTCGCTAACCAAAGGGCGGGTGTACTGCGCAGCAGTTCGTTCCGTTCTCTTATATGGCTGTGAAACATGGCCGTTAAGAGTAGAAGATGTTCGTAGGTTACTAGTATTCGATCATAGATGTTTAAGAAGCATTGCTCGTATATCGTGGGACAGCCGAGTAAGCAATGCTGTCGTTAGGAAACGAGTACTAGGTAAGGATGGCAGATCAATAGATGAAGTGGTGAAACTCCATCAGTTGAGGTGGTTGGGACATGTGTTACGTATGCCTAACCACCGACTGCTTCAAAGAGCTATGTTTTGTGGTGTTGGAGTAGGTTGGAAGAAAGTTACGGGCGGCCAGACCGAAACGTGGCAGAAATCCAAGAAGTCACTGACAGGTGGATTGAGTCATGTTGGTAGATGTAGGCTACTTGTTTGGGGTACGCGAGACGAAAGTCACCGATGGTTAGAGACCAAAAACAGTATTGTTAAAATTTAAATGAATAATTTCAAATTAGTCGAACATAAAATTTATGGATAATATCATGAAGGAAACAGAAATCTCTTTATCTGAAGTAAGAAATAACTGAATTTTCATTGAGATCAAAGCTTCTCCAGGGAAGTCTACGAAACCATTTACAACTTGACTGATCCATGTTACTAGGTGCAGACTGCCCGATTCGGATCATCGTGATAATCGTAAACAGTCGCTAGAGACTGAATGACAGTTCAAAATCTTTTCTTAATGACCTAGGTACATCCACTCTTTGTCTTCCTTCAGAATCTGAGTCTTGAAATCTCATTATACGTTTTCTTCTCTTCATAATCGCTTCTACTACTACTGACGCTATTACTACTTCTGCGCCACTGAGATTCGTCATGAAACAATTTATCACGTTGATTTGATGCTCTATGTTGCGTATCATTCAGTGACTAACGTAATCGTCTATAGATAAGATTCGTTTCAACCTTGCCATTCAGTCAGCTACCACGTAGAACTTCGTACTTGTGTACATCAGTTCAAGTTGCCGCACTACATAAGCACAAGGAAAAGAGTATGTAGCAGTATTAGCAGTAATGGAACAGATTAGGGATCGAAGGTCTGAGTATCCCAGTGGAATACATTTAAAAGAGAAAAACGGTCATGTGGAATTCAGAGGATTAGAATTTAAGAGAAGACAAACAGTGTATGCATATATGACATTGCAAACGATTTTGACCCATGTCGTTCAAGCTCTTTAGCCATCGGTTTCTATTGTCTCGGGTACTCAACCTGATAGTCTACATCTACCGACATGACTCAGTCCACTTGTCACTGACTTTGTGCCATGTTTTTATTTGACCGCCCCTAGCTCTCTTCCAGCCTACTGCTACATCAAACACCGCTCGTCAAGGTAGCCGGTAGTTAGTTTCAATCATGTCAGGAAGTTAATCTCATTCACTTCATATAGCTCTAAGCTAAATTTATGAATAAATTTAACTATTATAACTAATTTTCTTTCTTACTCTTGTTTAATAACAATCTTTAATTACTTTTTTTTATTTAGTGTTTCCAAAGCAACCTTATTAACACGATTACAATCAGCATTTCTTCTATTTACATCAACACAAGTTCAATCGAATCCACATGCATTTGTTGATCGATGTATTGTACAGTTAGTGAAACTTGTTAATCGTCTTATACAAGATTTAGTAGTTACATCAAATTGTAATTCTTCAAATATGCAAGAATCTGGTACATCAGCACGTAAGTAATGTTTGGTTGAATCTTTCTTATTTTAATCATAATAATAATCATCATTTTTAATTTCGGTTTTTTTTTCAATTAGTTATCATTGTTACAACGCTGAAATTGACTAGTTTTCTATTTAACAACTACTTGTTACAATTGTCCTAACCACTTCCTCCTAAAATGCTCAGACTATATCTACACTTGGATTTGAAAAATTGAAAAAAATTGCGCAAAATCTGAATATAATCTTTATTACAAGATTTAGTTGATGTGCAGGAATTTGAGTTTATTTATAAATTTTCAAGTGATGTTGATCTTCGAAAAAGTTTTGTAAACATTCTCTAAATATCATAACATCATCAGTAGGTATAGTCGATTAGTCGAGACTAGTCTTCCAATTAATGTTATAACCACTACTTCTTAAACTAAAGTAGATTCCAGGCAAATTAGAACTCTGAGTGAAATAATGATTTTGATAGTAGTTGTGTGTTCTTAAACTATTGAATCATTTTTTTCCCAATGGTAATAAATGTCGTTCATTTAATTTATTGTACTTGCCACGTGTATGTTTATTAGACTTGTGGTGTTTTTGTGAAATATAGCAATGTTCAATTTATTTTTTAATTATCATTGAATTTGTCGATTTATTGAAATATTCACATTTTGTTGTTGAACTTGATTTATTTCAGTGGTTGAAATTATAGTTATAATGTATAGACAGTTTCAGTTATATCCATGTGGGTTAAGCTTAAAGAAACATATTTGGTTTCTACTAACTGCTATAATATACCGTGTCTTAGATCTAAATACAATCTATACTAATCCCCCAAAACTGATTACTTGCTTGAAAAAGGCAAAGAGCAGAAGAGAAAATTTGTTTTTCTAACGAATAATCTTTTCAAATACTCGTCTGCATAGATTTATTCCACCTCCTTAAAAAAACTGAAGCCATTTCTTGATCCTTTATGGCATAATCTGATAGTCATCAAATGACCTTCCTATTTCATCACTTCTAGTTGGTTCACTATACCACTCACTAATTGTTGGAGTTAATTTTCTTCATTTTACGGTTTCATTAATAAGCATTACTTGCTGCAACGAAATTTTCATTTAATCAGTAACAAAAAGCTCGATCTGTAGTGTTTTAGAATGATATTCAAATGACACAAATAAATGAATAACCGGAATTTTTTTTATTGGAGCTAGTTACTTTTAACATTTCCCAATCTCTCGTTTCATAGTTCGGTATTGGTTGTTACTCAAGCAGTGTATGCCATTGAAAATCGTAGAATGCTCATTAACTCCATATTGAATGTTATATCTCACATTTTACATGATCTAATTGTAATAATAACAATTGATTTATCGATTATTCTAATAGAGCTTACTGATTTATTAATTATGGGTCTTGAAATGATCAAGTCACGTTTGAATGTTGTTAGTCATGAAATGCGTAAAACTGTCTTTGGACCAGATTTATGCTTAATTATGGATAGAGCTCGAGATCCTCGTTTATTCTGTGCTGTTCTACAAGTTTTACGTGACTGGATAAATGTACCAAAATCGGAAGAACATTTTGCTCCAACGGCTCGTGAAAAAGTCAACTTTTTCTATAGACTTTGGCAAGCTTATCCACGCTGGATTGACAATTCACCTGATGTTGCCAAAGAAATTCTTGAATGCGTGTACGATGTAGGTTGTTGTTGGTTTTTTTTTCTTATGAATAGATATTTTTGATCCGCTTTAGACCTAGATTTTAACTTATTATATTTTCTTACCATGGTTTTTTTTGATTATTGTATTTCTATTTATTACTTATTTGATATATGTGCTTCAAATTAAAGTGATTATATACTGTAATTTTCAACTGTAAGCAAAGTATTGAAATCTGTACGATATTAAAAATATCTATTTAAAGGTAAATCTGTTAACAGGTTACTCTTTCCAGCTAAATAAATCAAAAGTTGATGATAAATTATCAGTTCACATGTACTGTACAACAAAAAATCTTCACACGTATACTTGTTAAGTCATTTTATATGAAGATTAGTAAGAGGTCAATTAAATAAAAGTTCAAATAGGCATAAGGTGATAATTGTAAATAAAGGGTCTAATTGTTTGAAAAATCTTCATTTACTTTTAATATTTCACCCATCTCAACAAACATCCTTGTATTGTTTATGTGAGTTATTGTTATAACAGTTGAATTTCTGCTTATTCTGACGGATAATGCTTATACAATTCACTCATACTAGATATCAGACTTCAACGCAACTCAGATTACGAACACTTGATTTACCTGATAGGAATCACTCTTAGTCTGACAATTATTAATCATACAAGAGTTAAAGAAATGTGTATGATACATCAAATACCCGTTAGACAGACTACCAACCAGTTTGTCTAATATAATGATGATGTTGTTCAGAAGAACAAAGAAAGCTCCACAATCAAAACAACCAGCTCAGAGAACAAAACACCACCACAATCATCCACCTGAGCTACAATTTTTCTCCACCATCTCATAAACAACCAATCACAATTTCCCCTCGCTCACACAGCAGTTATTGTCGGCTGTTTCTTCAAGCAGTTTTACAGTTATTACATAATCCATCTTATCAATTTTCTAGTTTTACATGATTCCTGTCTAATTATTGTAAGGTGTGAGACAAAAAATGGTTGTTTCATTGCACTAATTTTTATGCGAAATTCTTGATATCACTCTTGAAATAATCTTATGTAAATACCACTTTATTAATAATATTTTTCATTTCAAATGGTTACAATATGCAGTTTTGATTATGTGACTTTATTTTATCCTACATTCGTTTAATGATATTTTGTTAATTTTATGAAAGCTTTAGTTGGACACGCGTTCGTTGTGATTGTCTCATTTCCAGGCACAGTCTAACTGAGAATAAAAATGTAAACTATTAGGTTCTAGCTCATTGATTTGAAGGTCATGCACTCGGTACAAGTCTAGGACATATTGAATTTCAGTCGGAAGTATGACTTTAGGTGCACATTGCTAAAGAAGTCCCTTGATGGAACAAAACAACCGTCTGTCCTGTGCTCTTCCTGGCTGTCAAATAATTGCCTAGCACAGGGTAATTCATTATGTAAAACTACGAAAGTTATTTTTTTCCCTATGTCGATACATTCAGTATATAGTATAGCCTTATTGTTTTTGTTTATTTCTCGCATAGATACATCTTTTTTCACGTTCGAGTTTCTTTTCCTTTATTTTTTCTTCTTATAGGTTTATACTAGTACAAGTGTATTTAAAAATCATGATCTTTATGCAAAATTAGAACAAGCATTTTGTTGTGGTCTATTATCACCATTTCCTGAGATTAATGAACGTTTTATTGCTTTGTATTTGGAAGCATCACAAATTCGTTATTCAATTAATAGTTATTCACGTAAAACAGATAATAATCATAATAATAATAATAATTTATCTAATCATGAAACTAATCCTTTAATCACATCTACTGATCCAGTGGATTCTTATGTAGTAGATAAAGAAATGTCATCGCATGATCAATTAATTACATCAAATTATTCTTGTGCTTCATTGTTAATTCGATTATTATTTCTTCTTGTATCTAACACATGGGATGAAGCACATTTTCGTGATGGATTTTGGTTATCAATATTTTTAGATGTAAGTTATTGATTGTTGATTATTTTGTTTTTCACTTATTGAAATTTGTTTAATTTTGCAAATGAGCTCATTTGAATTTAAACACTTTAGGCTATTAGAATAGAATTTTGTCGGGAATAAACATATGATATATTATCCAACGTAAATAGTATACTCAAGTTGTGTATAAATGTTTTATTACTTTTTCTCAAACTATCATTGTTTTATTGAGCGATTTGTTTAGAGAAAATATTTTTGATGAACTTATCTGGTTATTATTATAATAGTAAATACATTACGGGATTGCGAAGATTGTTAAGTTAGTCATTGAAATCATGAATCAATCAATGTTAGACCACCATTAGAAAGTAGGAAGCACTGGACGTGAGTTGATCGAAGTTAGACATTAACAATGTTAGATACCGGCTCAGTGGTCCAGAGGTTAGGAGTTCGCGTGCAAGACCGTAGGTCCTGGGTCCGAACCCTGTGAGGTGCAGAAGTCGTGCATGCACACTGCTGATGAGTCCCATACTAGAACAAAACGGCCGTTCAGTTCTTCCAGGTTTCTAATGGTGGGTTAACATTGGTCGACTCATGATTTTAATAATAGTAAATAGGTAATGAAAAATGTCTTTTTTTATCACGATATTTTTAACAAGTCAGTTAACAGTGTGATAATGGAACATATCTTGTTTCCTATGGACATCAGTAAAGATTCATAATGTTCATGTTTTGTTTTTTTCATTCATACTATGATGAACTTTGTTATCACTAGCAAATGTTTCTTTTTTTCCAAATAGTTTTTTGCTTTTAAGCATTTACTTAAAGATTTTATGATGTAAATGAACGATAGTTGCGTTGTTTCACCTTTGAAATTGATATATTTTGACTGTCGTGTGTTGAACCTATTTCGTATGCGTCTACTTTATCTCTTTCTCATTAATACTTACCTTAGATCTTCATTTCTGTTTCACTGGTATATTCAGTCAATCAGTCAACAAAAACATAGAACTTCGTACGTACGTACGTCAGTTCAAGTTGCCATACCACATTAGCACAGAGATGTAATTGTCAATTCAAATTCCATAGTAGTGAAAGTAAAGGTCTTATCAGTAATCGGAGAGATTAGGGTCAAATTATCATTGTTTTTTTATTGAGTGATTTTTGATTTGATTTGATGAAATTATCTGGTTATTCAAGGTCTCTAACCATCGTTTACTAACATCTCGCAGACTAATATTTTCTTTCACTTTCAATGTATTTTCTCCCGACTCCTAAGGTATTGTTATGTGATGTGGACACAACCGCTTCACCAATGCTATCCATCAATTCTCAATGCTTTAATAATATTTTCAATTATTTTTCAATACTACCGAATGTTTCAATAAATGAAATGTCCATTGATCATGTAAGCCATCAACAAATTACCACTGAACAATCATGTGATCCAACGCAACTTAATGAATTTAAAGGCCTTATCGAATCACAAATTAAAAGTCTGCATGAATTACATAAAGTAGGTTTAATTGTTTCAGTTCAAACATTTTTAAATGCTTTATTTATTTATTTTCTTTTTGTTGGTATCTTAACATGAGATTTTCAAAAATAATTTATTGACATCACTTTTTCAGCATTGTCTACTATTGGAATTCAACATATTCCCACTTAATCTAATACTATTGTATTAAGGATTTAAAAATAGTTTTTATGCTTTCATAAGGAAACACTGAATAAATGGTAATTTAGAAAATTCATCTTTTTCCTGTAATATTAGTGGTAGATTTTACTAAAAAGATAACAGTTCATACATTATATTATGCTATAATCTTATAATACCATTGAGAATTTCAGTGCATCAAATTTAAGTATATGTTACATCAAAAATATCAGTTTCAACTTGTAATACTTAAATTTCCATAGTTTACTTATTAATTTTATCTTTTCTAAGTAACTTAGCTGTTTTAAAACTCCTTTGAACCGTTTGCTTTAACTAGAAGAGTTTTAAATGATGGTGAGGTTTTCTTTTGCGCTACTTCCTTCTTTTTGGGTTTGATCTTCTGGGATTGTGCTAGAGCGTTGTGGATGTTCGTTGCCGTATTTTGGCGTTCTCAATAGATTCCATTTGTATTACCACATTATCTTAGACCGAATAGAACAAATCTCGCAATACAACTGTTATCATGTTAAAGTTATATGAAGAATAGTTTATCAAATGTTCACATATTTCTTTCATAAAATAATTCCTAATCATTTTCTAACGGATTAATTCGATAACCGTTGAAACTACTCTTGATGAAAGCTTATATAATCAGCTCCGTTGAGAAATGATAGTTTTCTAGACAATTATGTAATTAGTCTAGAGTTGTCTATGTGATTCATCATTACTGAAAATTTAATCTACAATTGACAAATTTCCACTCACAACTTATTCACTTGCACCTTTTTAAAACGCAGCTCTACAAGTATTCAAAGAAACTATAGATGATTACTGTTGAGTTAGAAATGATTTCTTTAGAGATAAAGTTAAGTATACTGTCATATTTTTTGAATACTGATGTATAACTTTTAAGTTGTTATTGATAGTATCTGGTATCATTTATTATAAAGTAATGCCAAATCTTTAGAACATGGTATATTCTACGCTTTGAAAATATTGTACTTTTTTATTATCACAAATGCAGTTTATGTGTATCGATGTAATGTCTAGCCCCTCTATCACTTTCATGTTTTCTGTGTATTATTATTTCCTAAACTGTAGCTCTCAATTGGTCCAGGACTACGAGGTATGTTATGTCTGGCTCACAAACGCCCAGCCCTAGCTAGCAATATTTTTCAACAACTTTGGCCCCAATTATGGGATCGTTTACTACTGCAACAATCAGAAACTCAATGTTCTTCATCTGAATTTAAACCAGCAGAACATTCCGAAACACATTCATCGATTCAAGAACATTCTAACACAGTACAATCGTCCGTCGCACATGATTCACTTCAAACTGGCTGCTTAGAATCGACAATATCAGATAACCCTGCAATGACTGGTCATAATTTGTCACCAAATGAAGTTCGGGGTTTCGTTATTCCTCAGTTGATTCGTTTCTTAACTTCAGATCAACATGTACATCCAGCCGAACCTCAACCAAGTTCTCTTGGAGCTTTTTTCAATGGTTTGGCTTCATGCCCAGATACTCTGCTGATTCATTTACCCTTACCAGCAGTCACTGTAAGTCATTTTTTAAATGTTCCAGTAGAAAATCAGTCTAGTAACCAATTCTTAATATAATTTGTTGAAAATACCCAATACTTTTATGTAATTTATGCATATTTTTGTATTTTTTTAGTATCTAGGACAAGCTCACAACCAATGGTATACAGTTGTTCTATTTCTTGAATCAATGTGTCATCAAGCATCTAAATTTAATGGTCAGTGTATTTTAAACGATTTGATCTACTCAATCGATCCACCTTCCAATGAACTGACTGACTCTGTTCTTCCTAAAATAAAACCCCATGAATTCCCATTTGGAGCTGCAACTCTATCACTCCTTTCATTATATAATGAAATGAATGATATTGACTTTTTAACTTCCGCTTGGTGGTATCGATTATCTTTGCACCAGCAAAACCAAAAGTCATCAGTCGAAAACACAAATGATTCTGCACGATCATCGTCAATACTCACATGTTTAGAATTTGCTCAGCATGGCTACCTTTTACGATCTTTGGATTATGCTATGGATAATCTTTCAGTTAATCAAGTTCTAAGTACTCCAGGTTCACTAGAAGCATCATCAGGCGTGGGTAGTTCAGCATCACTAAACCGTGCAGCCGCTGCTGCAGCTGCATCATCGTCTAACTCGTCTCCTGCCAGTCGTACAAATATTCTCACAGATCCTTCACTACAGTTGGGAGAACTTGTTAATCGTGCACGTCTTCGTGATTTCTGTGTCTTGTAAGATATAATATTTCTTTCGATTGATAACCTGCTTTTAGTTTCGATTATTTATTAAAATAATGGATTTTTTAAAAGCTCGTAAATTTTCTCGACCCGAAATTCCAGAGTCCTTTTTCGAACTTATTATAGAGGTATTTAGGCGAATCGAAATTGATGGGGTACAATTATGTCATGTAACCGTCAACTTCTGAAAACGAATTGTGTTCGACGGAATGCTATAAATAACAACCGAGTAAGCAATGCTGTTGTTAGGAAACGGGTCCCAGGTAAGGATGGCGGGTCAATAGATGAAATATTGAAACTTCATCAGTTGAGGCAGTTGGGAACATGTGCTACGTATGCCTGACCACCGAATGCCTCGAAGAGCTTTGTTTTATAGTGTAGGAGTAGGTTGGAAGAAAGTAAGGGGCGGCCAGACCGAAACATGGCAGAAATCCAAGAAGTCACTGACAGGTGGATTGAGTCATGTTGGTAGATGTAAGCTACCAGGTTAGGGTCTGCGAGATGATAATAATAGATGGTTAGAGACCTTGAATGACATGGCTTAGGGTCGTTTGCAATGGCGCAGGTGCATCCACTCTTTATGTTCTCACAAATCCTAATCTTCTGGATTCTTCAACACCTCTAGTTTTGTCTTTCTAAACTTATCTCACTGAATTATACTTCTTCAATTATATCTTGTAACCCTAATCCTCTCTATTACCAGTAGTACTTCTACTATCTCTAACACTATGGGATTTGAATTGAAAATTGTGTCTCTGTGCTAATGTGGTATGACAACTTGAACTGCTGTACTTACGTTCTACGTTGCTGTTGATGATGATAAGTAACTTTAAAATCTGGATTTATATCAGTGTGGTGACCAGTATCAACGTGATACTCCATACATAATAGAGCTTCTGATTGTTTAAGTTTGTAGTCGTCTTGTCAACCATGAGAATTGATGTTCACATTTCGAGGATTTGTAATCATATTGAAAATTTAATGATTTGATCGATTGAAAGCACTTTAGTAGTTATTTTAAACAGTCTCAAAATATTCATGGTTTTCTAGTTTTCGCTAACCATTTCTAGGTATAACAGATTGCTGTGTAATCTTTATAAAAACTAGAATACTGATATCTAAATTATATGTGCCATTGTGTTACTTCTTCTCATGTTTACTATATTGTTGTTTTTGTATATTTACTCTTAAAATCTAGCCAATTAAAACAACTTGGTCAATGGGAAAGTTTAGATTCTTTAGCATCCTCTGTTCAATCTACCAATCATATGACTAGTTCATTCGGTTCTAATTCAACTTCTGGTGGAAATGCAAACACTACCGGTGTTGTTAATTTAAACAATTCTGGTGGTTCCAGTTATTGGGGTTTAAAAGCAGATGCGGCATGGCGACGAAGTGATTGGTCTGAAGTGTACTATGATTTAGCTAGAGTAAGTGGTAATACATACATGGTAATTTTAAACAACCTTTTCATATTCACAATGAAGTATTATATATATATATATATATATATATATATATATATATATATATATATATATATATATATATAATTGTAATAATAGGATTTATTTTCAAAAATTGACTATTGATACTTCTAGGTAGTTATTATAAATTCATTATACTGTACATTTATTTATTTACATTTTGTTTTAGTGAACTATTATTTAAATCTTCAATGTTTACTTATGTAAATTATGTATGATTTGAAAGAATTCATTTTTCCTGTTACCTCTCGCTTGTTTTTCTCCTTGAAAAAAATAGTTGGCTAATGAATGTCCTCGTAGTGAATTACCAAGATATACTCTTATTCAAGCTGCAGCTTGTATAGCAGGACGTCGAGCATCTGGATTAGGAACACTTATTAATCCAAATGTAGATGTTATTGATTCGTACAGTACAAATTTTAATTCAAATGATATATCTACTGGATCAACAACTACCGGTCTTACTGGTTCATCTGTTTCAAATAATACTAATTCAACAAATGTCACATCAACTCCTCCTCCGTCTACTTCACTACATTCCAATACTGGATCTGCATCACCTATGAACAATATTGTCACTATGATTCATGCATCCGAACAAGAAAGTCATCGTGTAGTAACTGTTACACTTAGTGAATGGAGACGTTTACCTCTTATTGTTACGCATCAACATGTACCTTTACTTCAGGTAATTTATTTTCATTGATAATAGAATTTTATAGATGGTTTAAATTATAGGATTATTACATTTATTTTAAAGATTTCTCTAGGTAGTCTTTTGTTTTTGGTTAATTATCTATTTGTCTCAATATTTGCTTTTTATTTAATTACATATAGATTGCTCATCGTGCAGTGGAAATAACTGAAGGTAATAGTTTATTAGCACAATATTGTGGTCATGTACTGGGTGGTTCATCTCTTGCTTCTGGTGTGTCTAATTCTACTTATTCTAGTCCTAGTCAAACTAGTTCTGGTTCATCCACACCAGTACCACAACCAAATTCAATTTCTACAACATCCACATCATCGTCAGTGAATATACGTTTACCTTTCAATCAAGCACTGCATGATTATAAAACTGTATTTAAAGCATGGCAGTAAGTTGTCTATTTTGCTTCTTTACTGTTTAGTTTAAACGCTGTATTTTCTTGTTTCATTTGTTCTTCAAATATTTTAATTGAATTATATGTAGTCAATGTGAATGATTCATGTTGTAATCCTTTTCGGTTATCCTATTCAGTGTTAAACATATCGTTTTCTATAGTCCCTTATGATTTTGCAAATAGTTTCGTCCAATTAATAATTCACTGAGCAGAAAAACTAACTTACCACTTTCTGTATACTTGAATATACATTAGTTATCCTATATGGAATATACGTTTACCTTTCGATCAAGCCCTGCATGATTATGAAACTGTGCTTGAAGCATGGGAGTAAGTTGTCTATTTTGCTTCGTTACTGTTTAGTTTAAACGCTGTATTTTCTTGTTTCATTTGTTCTTCAAATATTTTAATTGAATTATATGTAGTCAATATCCTATTCAGTGTTAAACATATCGTTTTCTATAGTCCCTTATGATTTTGCAAATAGTTTCATCCAAATAATAATTCAATGAGCAGAAAAACTAACTTACCACTTTCTGTATACTTGAATATAAATTAGTTATCCTATATGGAATATACGTTTACCTTTCGATCAAGCACTGTATGATTATAAAACTGTGTTTAAAGCATGGGAGTAAGTTGTCTATTTTGCTTCGTTGCTGTTTAGTTTAAACGCTGTATTTTCTTGTTTCATTTGTTCTTCAAATATTTTAATTGAATTATATGTAGTCAATGTGAATGATTCATGTTGTAATCCTTTTCGGTTATCCTATTCAGTGTTAAACATATCGTTTTCTATAGTCCCTTATGATTTTGCAAATAGTTTCGTCCAATTAATAATTCACTGAGCAGAAAAACTAACTTACCACTTTCTGTATACTTGAATATATACATTAGTTATCCTATTTGGAAAAATTGTTATCTAACATTCAATTAATTTATTGTTTAGTCACTTGACATTTAGTTTTTTTTCCATATTTCTTCACTGTATTATGACTTCATTATATTAATTTCAAATGTTTTCGTTTGGAATGTTCAATTATTTCAATTTCATTGAGTAATTCTACTGTTTCAGTTATCTAGTCAAAAACATTTGAAATTTCTGAATTATTATTACTGTGTTGGAAATTTTTTATTTGATCATTATTATTTCAGAAGTCGACCATGTTCAATTGGAGATGATTTAGGATTTTGGCATGATCTTTATTCATGGAGACAAGTAGTTGAAGAGTGCATTATAAGCTGTCATCCATTTTCTCAAAAGTTAAAATCTGAAAATGTAAGTTATGTCCAATTGATTATTTTTTAAAAACAATTAGTCCCTTTTATAAATTTTGATAAAACAGCGAGAAGACGTAATTGATCTGGAAACTGATATGTATTTGCGCTATACACTTCGAACAATCTGGTCACTCATATACTTCTTGTCAAGGCATTTTATATGAAGATTCATAAAAGGTCAATTAAATAAAAGTTCAAATAGACATAAGGTGATAATTGTAAATAAAGGAGAGAGAAAAATAACGTAATATAGACAGAATAAGAAAGGGTAGGAAAATTATCACATTACCCTAGGCTTAAAGATTACCAAGGTAAATTCAATGTTATAACAAATTGTTTCTGTACACATAACGGGGGTTTTAATTTGTTGCGAATAGCCAACGCCTCCATAAACCTCAAAATTCGTCCCTCAACATTTCTATTCAATGTTTTAAGGGCTGTCTTAATGCCTCAGTTATATGTTTTGCGATCGATGAACATGGTTTTCTGTTTCCCACGCTAATCGGCTCATCTTATGTTAACTGATTTTGAAGTACATGTTCCATAACCCTTGATTGCAAAGTTCGAGTACTCCTCCCTATGTATGTGTGTCCACACAAACATGCAAATTGATAAATGCAGTGCGAACAGATTGTTCGAAATGTGTAGCGCAACTACATCACATTTTTCAGATCAATTACGTCCTCCCATTGTTTATTTGTTGTTGTTGTTGTTGTTGATTGATTGATTGATTAGAATTCTATATGTACATTATTCAATACTGTCTCATTAATCTGAAGGCTGTACACTCAGTGCCTTCGTTGTTGTGAAAAGTCATATACTAGAACAAAACAGCTGTTCAATACTTTTTGATTTTCAGTAATGATCCAGCTACGATCAGGTCGTGATCTAAACTATGCGAATTCTTTTCGATTTTTTTTACAAAAGCCCTATACTAATATAAAGAATATTGATTATTTTTTTCTGTTGCATTTACTTTGTTAGTTTTCTTTTGAATAGTTCTATTATAATTTTGAATATCTGTTCTGCCTAATGCTGTGTATGCTTGTTTATTCACAAATTTATTACTGAACATCGGTTAAAGAAGGAAAGAAGGAAACTCTACAAGTTTTATAAAGTCTGTTTAGGATAACTAGAAATTAAAATCACTTGTTACATTGTTGTGATCGGAATTTTTTTATCAATTCGTTCGGTTTGTTAATAATGATAGGTTTTGATTTTGTTTTTTTTTTTGATTAGTGAAAAGATCTTAATCAGATAGTTGTTATATTTGTACTTACAAATATAATTCAGTCTAACAGTCGATCAACTTCAATTGTATATGAATTTTTCAAAACTTTAATGATTATGTGTGTGACTAACTTCTAAAGCAGCTAGTTTAGTTCATTGTTGAATCTCTTTTACCATCAGTTTTTTTTAAAAAATCAATAACAGGAAAATGTCATATAAAAATTATTATCAATGGCTTACTTAACTAACTTCTTGGTTTTGTAGGCTTAATTCAAGTTAGGGGTTTATTTTTTTTTTAGTAATCGAATTACCTTTGTTTTCTAAAATGTGAAATACACAGTATATTCATTAACTTAAATGAAGAACCATGCCAAGAATGCTTATTTGTAAAACTGTGTATCTTAGTAGTTTAACTACTAGTCAGTCAGTCAGTTACAACGTCGAACTTCGTACATGAGTACATCAGTTCTGGTTACCATACCCCATCAGCACAGAGACGTAACTGTCAGTTCAAATCCTATAGTGAAAGATATAGTAGAAGTATTAGTAGTAATCGGAGAGATTAGGGTTCGAAGATATGATTCAAGAAGTATAATTTAGTGAGATAACTTAAGAAAGAGAAAGATGGAGATGATGAGGAATTCAGAAGGTTAGAATTTGAGAGAACACAATGAATGAACTACTAAGCTTGAAGTCTATATATTGCAAATGTGAATTCTCTTCCTGCTATATTTTTATAGACAGTTAAATAAAGCTTTTAGTTATCACATAATCAATAGACATTATTCAATGCTCACTTAACAAATCTATATTTTACCATTCATTTTTTGTTTTGTTTTCAATACTGTTCGGATATTTTATTTCAGTGTTTGAGTGTATATTACCACAATCCACAATTGTATCATTGGTCATTACTTTTAAATTAGACTTGCTAAATATTCAGTAAAACTGTTCAATTGTTCTCTGTGTGTACATTTTGACTGAGTGAAAAAAAGGAGAATTCTTAAAGAGTTTTTAAAAAAAAATTATTTTTTGCAGAGCAATTTACTTGCATTATGTCAACGTGAACTAGCACTAAGCCAATTACAACTTGCTCGTGGTGCACGTAAATATCGTTTCCCAAGTATTGCTCAACAACATTTAGACAGGTAAGTTATATCTATTTTTCCTTAATTACATAAACAATTAGAAGTATCAATCATGTAATGCAATAGCTGTTCACCGTAGCCTAGCTATTTACCTACATCTACAATTGTTAAGTAAACAGGTTACGTGACTGAAATTTGAAAAAAATTCCCATGAGTTAAACACATACTGGTTCTTGATTATATATGTATGCACTAAGCTCAATACAGAAACTTTACGATTGGAAACTTAGTCACTGGTCATCTACAATATATTGGATTACATATTATATTGAGCACAAACAGTAGCTAATTAACAATAAGCTAAAATTTGTGCGAATGTGCTGCCGTGGTACAACCAAGAGAGGGGATAATTCGCTATCCCTCTCGAAATTCATAACCATGCACAGATAATCACTGCCAGAAAAGTCCTACTAATTGCCTTCTCGCGGCGGGGGGGGGGGTTGTTTATGAAATTAAGGGGATAAGAAGCGAATATCTGCTGCGTAAGCCAAGTCGATCGATACGGGAGATCCAGCCATGAGAGTTAGTAAACCCTGATTACATAGGCCCAAGGATCCTAAAGGAACAAATAGTGCATGGTCACCGGTTACCATGGGACTCCATTTTCGAATGTTTCTCCACTGTCTTTTAGATTAGATCTTCGGGTTTAAGTCTCGAGCAGTGACTCTCTAAGAAAACTACCTACTTCGATTTGGGCAACCTGATATTATCCCAGCCGCAGATATATTTGTACTAACATTTATGTACTTAAATAATAATGATAAGTTTATTCAATAAATTAATACTTTATAACTACGTAACATGTTTATTTTTCCATACAATTATTGTTAGCGTATATATTAACATTTTTATCTAAATTAGATATACACGTATGAATCTACCACCACTGTTTGAAAAAACTAAACAAGAAATCAAGTTAAAATTAGCTGATCTGCGTAAAGATGAACTTTTAGAGGTGAGTTTAAAAAATATTATAACACAAATACTTTTTCACTGTTTTATTATTTAGCTTCACATTGTGTTATTGTTTTTATCTTTTCTACTACAGTTATACTTAAAATGTCTCTTGCTTTTAACGGAATGTAGATAATCCAAATCGAGGTTGAGCTTAAAATGGCTACATCTTCAACTGTGATTGTAATTCAATTGAGTTTAGGGGGTTTGGATTATTCATTTATACATGTTTCTGGTTAAATTTTGATTAGTCTTAGTTGGCTTATGTGCATTCTTTGTGGATTCCTGTGATATACTCACTGTCAAAGGCTTTTATGGAACGGAGGGAATGTTGCTACCAGTGGAATCTAGCATCATAATCGTTTTACAGGCTAGTGGCTATCTGCTTTCGGTAGCTCAGCAGACATCATGTTCGGCGTTTGAACATCAACGCTCACGTGTTGCCACATCATACTAGCGAGTCAAAAATAAGGCAAAACATACTTCCTGCATTTCAGTGGTAGCCACATTTCATCAGTTCATTAACTCTCTTCACGAAACCATGTATTTGTTTGAGGTGTCAAGTTACTATTATCTACTCAGATTTATATTCTTGTTGAAGAAATAGGATGAAGTTGGACTATCTTTTCATTTTGTTATGCTTTCTATTTGAAGTCTGACAACTCAGACTGATGCATAACTCATGTCATACACTTATTACTGAAAGAAAAAAATAACAAATTCTATGTTTATTATGCTGTGGTACCAATGAAATGTAAACACATGTTCACAAATTGTATGTAAATTAAAAACTTGGAATTTCTCTTCTATCTAATGATTTCATCATAGATTAAAACACTGAGTATTTATATAAGTGTACACTAAACACTAACTAATAATATCAACATACTAATTCAATGAAAAAGAGCTTTACTTATGTATGTATTAACGAACGGTTGTGTATACAGACACAATCAGTCAATCAACAGCAACGTAGAACTTCGTAAGTACGCACGTATAATGGTCCAGGTTTCCATAACACATTAGCACAGAGATGTAATTGTCAATTCAAATCCAATAGTAGGAGAGATAGTAAAGGCATTAGAAGTAATCGGAGAGGTTAGGATTAGAAGATATTATTCAAGAAGTATGATTCAGTGAGATAAGTTTAGAAAGACAAAACGGCTTTGAGCCATGTCATTCAAGGTCTCTAACCATCGATTATTCTCATCTTGCGGACCCCAACCAGATAGTCGACATCTACCGACATGACTCAGTCCACTTGTCAGTGACTTCATGGATTTCTGCCATGTTTCTGGTTGTTGTAAACGCGGCTACGTAAATCTTCAGTCCTAACGGCGTCCAATTCAAATATCACAAAACGACCCAAAGGCTTTCCCAAATCTCCTAGAAATCAGAACGTAACACCGTGGCAGGAAGATGTTTATTGGGTCGTAAACAGAAGAAGTAGGCAGGGGAAACGGAATTATTAAGTCTTCCAGATAGCGCGTATTTATACACTAAGGTCAAATGAGAAAAAGCATCAACGTCCGTGACATTGACAAATTAGGACGACCAATAGAAAAGAACATTTGAATGACATTGACCGTCCAGATGACCAATAAGAGGTAACATTGAAGTATTTGACCCTGACGGTAAGAACGATCAAAATTTCGGCCAATAGAATTCGACCAATAGGATTGCAGTTCTAAAAATAGTATTCTTAGGATATTTGGTGAATATCCTAACACCTCCCTCTGAAAAGAAAAGAAATTAATAGCGATGCAGCCGAGGATTTATCTGAATTTTCTTTGGTTGTTTTCGTTTGCGATCCGAACACCTTCTAGATACCAACTCTGAACTTGGAGGATGTTCTGCTTGAGTAGATGACTCAGTAGTCTCTGTTGGAGTTATTGTCGGAAGTTGAAAAGTATCCAACAGTAAGTCGAGTGAGAGGCGTTTCGTAATGTCACCCTTTTTATCAGCTTCCCTTGGCCTTAGTTGATTATGGTGCCTGGTCCAAATATCTCGGCTCACCCTGACATCATACATTACGTTCCCATGTTTCTTAGTGACTTCACCCTCTATCCATCTATCATATCCGTGTCTGTAGTCCCGCGCATACACTTTCGCACCAACTTCATAAGGCATTCGCGTCGTCTGCATTCGAGGTCTTTGTTGGGCCAATCGCTTAGGTGTCATCGCACTATGAACTGTTCGTAGCTTCCGTCCCATGAGCATCTCAGCAGGGGATTTGTAGTTTGGTAATAAGTCATGTGGGGTCGTCCGATACACGAAAAGGAATTTTTCTATGATGTCGTATGTGGTCCCCTCCCCTCTTGCTTTAAACATGGCTCGTTTAAATGTGTCAACGAACCTTTCGGCTTGTCCATTAGATTGCGGGTGATATGGCGGAGAACGGACATGCTTGATCGAATTTTGCAGGCAAAACTCTTGGAATTGACTGGATGTGAACTGCGAACCATTGTCTGTTACTATTGTTTCTGGAAGACCATGCTGACTGAAGATCTGCTTAAGAAGTTTGATGGTTCGAGTTGTAGATGGTGGGGAAACCGGCAATATCTCCGGCCATCTGGAGAAAGAGTCAACCAGTATCAGATATGTGGTACCATCTAGGGGTCCGGCGAAATCAATGTGCACTCGTGACCAGGGTTTTTCTGACTTTGGCCAGGGTACTGAAAGTAACTTGGGATTTTTCGCAGCTGTTTGACACTGTGAACATCTTCTGACGAAATCGACAATGTGCCTATCCATGTTTGGCCAATATGCATAGCTCCGAGCGATGGATTTCATACGGTTTATCCCTGGGTGTCCAGAGTGAAATTGGCGTAGGACCTTGGGACGTAGGGTTGTTGGAATTACTACACGGTCACCGAACATCAGACAGTCGTTAACAACACATAGAGCACTGCGACGATTCGCTAGATGTTTCATATCACCACTTAGCTGCTTAACTGGCCATCGGCTCTGAACATACGTGATCGCTTCTTGAATAAACGGGTCGTCCCTGGTAGCTTTTTGAATATCTCCAGCGGTTACAGGCATTGCTCGAATGGCATTCGCTAAGAGTGTAGCACTGGGATCCTCTTCTGCTAATATTGTAGCTATGACGGTGTCATCATCAGTGGTGGAGTGGCTACTGATAAGTCTGGACAGCGCATCAGCTTGGCCGAAATCTTCGGAACGTCGATACTGGATGTCGAAGTCGTACCCCAGTAATGCCAACGCCCAACGTTGAAGACGATTAGCAGAATGGGCGGGGATGCCCTTCTTTGATCCAAATATTGATAACAATGGCTTATGGTCTGTGAGCAATGTGAAACGGCGCCCATAAATTAGTTTGTGGAATCGCCGGACAGCAAAAATTATGGCTAACGCTTCCTTCTCGATTTGGCCGTAACGTTTTTCAGCAGGTGTCAGTGTTCTGGAAGCATGTACCACCGCTTTCTCTGAGCCGTCGGGAAAAACATGTAAGAGTACAGCACCCAGTCCATGTGTTGAAGCGTCAGCGGCAACCACAATGGGTAGTTTCGGATTGTAGTGGGTTAGGAGTAGTTTGGAGCTTAGCATGGCTTTAAGCTTCGAAAAAGCTGACTCACATTGAGAAGACCAATTCCAAGTGGCATTCTTTTCTAGCAGATGATTTAAAGGATAACGTACGTCATGCAATGCTGGGAGAAAAGCTGAATAGTAGCTAACCATCCCCAAAAATGATCGCAGTGAGGAGACATCAGTGGGAGCCGGCATTTGTTGAATTGCATGAGTATTTTGAGGATCAGGATGACGTCCGGAAGCATCGAAAATAAACCCTAGGTATTTAACGGAACGTAAGAAAAATTTGCATTTCTCTGGACGAAGGCGAAAACCATTATCCTGAAGGCGTTGCAGAACTGAGTGTGTTCTGGTATACAATTCATCAGCAGTTGAGCCGACAATGAGGACATCGTCAAGGTAAGTAGCAACACCAGGAACATCTGCCAGAATAGTATCCATAATCTGCTGGAAGATCGCTGGAGCAGTTTTGATACCAAAGGGTAACCGGGTATACTGAAAAAGTCCTCGGTGAGTGTTAATTGTCAACAACTCTCTCGATTCAGGAGCGACAGGAATTTGAAGGTAAGCATCTGCTAGGTCTAGCTTAGCGAAGTATGTACCACCATTTAAAATAGTAAATAAGTCATCTGGAATCGGCAGCGGATAGTGATGCTGTTGTAGTACCGCATTTAGTCCTGTGGAGAAGTCTGCACAGATGCGTATGGAACCATTGGCTTTCTTTACAACCACAATCGGTGCCGCCCATGATGAGTAAGAGACAGGCACAAGAACACCTTCCGTTTCCAGCCGTTGCAGTTCAGCGTCAACCAGAGGAAGAGATGCGTATGGGACTGGGCGTTTTGGACGAAAAACTGGCGTAGCTTCTGGTTGCAGTCTCAAAATAGCTTCCGCTGTGAAACAAAATCCGAGACCAGGCTGAAAGAGTTTTGTGAATTGTTTTTGAAGATCTGCAGCATGTTGTTGTGTAGTCACAGGAGTTTTCACTTGATTGCAAATAGTACTGATGGGAAGATCGGCAAGACCAAGTTCTTCGAACCAATCTAACCCCAGAAGGTTTAGAGGAGACTTGGTGATGTAGCATGTTCCATCGAAGGTTGTACCTCTGAACGAAACACAGCAATGAAGTTTACCACGAAGACGAAGGTGGCCCCCACAGGCACTGACAGCTGTCTGCGACGATGGTTTGATGCGTGGTTGACCCAAGGTTCGCCAAGTCTCTTCTGAAAGAATAGTGATATCTGATGCAGTATCCAACTGCAACCGAACCAGCTGACCATTGATCGAGAGGGTCAGAAATTTGCGTCGAGTAGAAGCATCGGTGTGGAAGACTGCTGCTAAACTCCTAGATGCAGCAACCGGCTTTTTGGAATAACGACGCTGCGTCTGTGAATTTCGCCGGCCAGTGAATTTGTTTGATTGGCAAAAACCGCTTTTATGACCAATTTTCTGACAGCGATTGCACACATGCTGCTTGAATGGACAAAATTTCACGTAATGCCAGTCTCCACAGTGCCAACATGGTGAGGGGGGCTTCTTATGCGTTGATTTTGAGTGATTAGAAACAGAACTGGCATTCGAACGACCAAAGGTTTTCGATCTAGAAGATTTGTTCTGCTGCTGAACAACGTGAACTTCGGAACCACTCTGGCTCCCAGACTGAACCAAAGTGGTGTCACACTGTAAGTTGGTGATGCGTTGATACTCATCAGCGATAGCATCGAGTGTCAGTGTTGGGTCTTGTTCGAGGCGGTTAAGCAATCGAGTTCTGATGTCGGAGAATTTGGGTGATTGTAGACTGCATATGAATATGAGTGATTTGAATTGGTCATCAGTAAGGGATCTGTGTTTGAACCGTTCACACTCGCGGTTGACAATACCAACATGAGTCAAGAAGTCATCGGACTCATTCATGACTAGTTTTAAACAACGATAACGTGTATTGAAAATAGAATGCTGATCCCCAAAAAGTTTGCTCAGGGACTGAACCGTAGCATCGAATGATCTGTCACGTGGGTTCTGCGGTAGGATGTAGTTGCGATACTTGTCCAGTTCTGACGGACCAAGTTTTCGAAGGAGAAGACGCACCTTCCAGGAATCATCTTTATCAGCAAAATCAACTTTGAAAAGATCTTCATAACGCATGAACCAAGTATCAAATGTAATATTGGCGTCAGGATCATACAGAAACTCAGAAATACTACTGGTCATACCATCAACTGACTGAGGAATTGTTGGTGTAGATGAGACTTGAGAAGAGATATGCGTCTGAGTAAGCATCTCCATCAGCTTCAGCTGCTGTGCAAACAATTTTTCTAATGTAGCTGGATCCATATTTAGTCACCAACCCGTCGCCAAATTTGTTGTAAACGCGGCTACGTAAATCTTCAGTCCTAACGGCGTCCAATTCAAATATCACAAAACGACCCAAAGGCTTTCCCAAATCTCCTAGAAATCAGAACGTAACACCGTGGCAGGAAGATGTTTATTGGGTCGTAAACAGAAGAAGTAGGCAGGGGAAACGGAATTATTAAGTCTTCCAGATAGCGCGTATTTATACACTAAGGTCAAATGAGAAAAAGCATCAACGTCCGTGACATTGACAAATTAGGACGACCAATAGAAAAGAACATTTGAATGACATTGACCGTCCAGATGACCAATAAGAGGTAACATTGAAGTATTTGACCCTGACGGTAAGAACGATCAAAATTTCGGCCAATAGAATTCGACCAATAGGATTGCAGTTCTAAAAATAGTATTCTTAGGATATTTGGTGAATATCCTAACACTGGTTCAGTCAGTCAGTCAGATGCAACGTAGAACTTCGTACGTAAGTACATCAGTTCATGCTGCCATACCACATCAGCACAAAGATGTAATTGTCAATTCAAATCCAATAGTAGTAAAGGTAATAAGGGAATTAGAAGTAATCGGGGAGGTTAGGATGAGATGATATTATTCAAGATGTATGATTCAGTGAGAAAAGTTTAGAGAGTCGAAACTAGAGGTGTTGAAGAATCCAGAAGATTAGGATTTGAGAGAACACAAAGAATAAATGCACCGGCGCCATTGCGAACGATTTTGAGCCATGTCATTCAAGGTCTCTAACCATCTATTATTATCATCTCGCAGACCCTAACCTGGTAGCTTACATCTACCAACATGACTCGATCCACCTGTCAGTGACTTCTTGGATTTCTGCCATGTTTCGGTCTGGCCGCCCCTTACTTTCTTCCAACCTACTCCTACACTATAAAACAGAGCTCTTCGAGGCAGTCGGTGGTCAGTCATACGTAACACATGTCCCAACCACCTCAACTGATGAAGTTTCACCACTTCATCTATTAATCTGCCATTCTTACCTAGCACCCGATTCCTAATAACAGCGTTGCTCACTCGGGTGTCCCACGATATACGAGTAATGCTTCGAAGACACCTATGATCGAAAACCAATAACTGACGAATATCTTCTACTCTCAGTGGCCATGTTTCACAGCCATAAAGTAAGACGGAGCGAACCACTGCACAGCACACTCGTCCTTTAGTCACCAAACAGATACCTCGCCTTCGCCATAAGTGACGCAGGTTGACAAAAGCCAATCGAGCCTTCTGTATCCGGGCTGAGATTTAGTCAGTCACCAGGGCATCGGCACTGATGAGACTCCCAAGATAAGTGAAGCGGTCAATACGCTCGACTACTTCACTCCCTGTCACTAGTTCCGGTCTCGATGCAACCCAATCTTGAAGCAACATTTTGCATTTCTAGGTGGAGAATCGCATACGAAGCCAATCGAGCCTTCTGTATCTGGGCTGAGATTTTGTTACACACCAGGCCATCAGCACTGACGTGACTCCCGACACATTACTCAATTAATATTTTTTTAATGTAAAATGCATTTTCTAAATAGAAATATCTTTGTTTATCTGTCTACTTGTAACGTCCAATATTTGTAATGTATTCATATAATAATACTTCCACGCCTTTTTTCGAATAAACAATTTTTAGGGTTTGGAATTGATGGAGAAAACTAATATTCAACAGTTTGAAAAGAAAGATCGAGCTAAATTCTTCTGTTACAAGGCTGTTTTCTTCTCGCATTTTAATAAGTAATTTTTTTAATTATTTTATTTTATTTTATTTTAACATGTATCAGGATATGTAAATGATTTGTTTTTTTACTCAATAACATGAAGATCATCTTTATATGAGATTTACTACATAAGATGAGTAATTCTATTTTCAATCAAGAAAGAACCTTTTTAGTTAGTGTTAATCAAATAAATTCTACTTACATTATGAAACAGCATCAACTGATCGATCACCTTGAAAAAATTCAATTAGCCATTAGGAAATATTATTCTCACAAACATTCACATATCATTCATTCATCATCTGTATTCCCCCTAGTAAAATCTAATGATTTCAAAACTTTGGTGATTTATCATTGTGTATTTTCTTTTATTAAAAAAAAATTCAACGAAAACTAAGACTTGGGAAGTGTCCAAGATTCGGATTTTCAGTTGTCTTCCAGTTCGTACCATTTTCAATGAAGTTTGAAAATGTTTATACTATTTCAAGTTTTATGTTTTACCAGTAATCATGGTTTATGAGTTTGTTTTTTTTTCATAAATTAATTTGATTAATCTCTGTTGACATATACACATATACGTATGCACATTTTCTTTCTTTCTCTCCCTCTCTATTCATATAGAGGCGATGAAGCAACAAAAAATTTCGGTTACGCAACCCAAATGCAAGATAATCTACATAAAGTTTGGTCAATTTATGGTGATTTCTTGGAAAATGTTTATTCTAGTTATCCATCTGCGTATGTTCTTTTTTTGTCCAGTTCATTATTTAGTTAATTGTTTTCTACTAATCAATGTATTTTAAGTAGTATGTTTAAAATGTGATAATATTTACTCACTTAATATATAGTTTCATTGTTGATGCATCATCGGTTTTGTCTTATTAGTTGGTTGGGATATCGTATTATCATTATCTACCTAATTCTATTGACTCTTTTCAGGAAACGAGAAGTTGCTGTTTCAACAACTGGCATTTTTGCTATGCAAGCGCTTATGGAAGCTGCTAGTGTTTCTGGTAGTGTTGAACGAAAAAGTCGAGGTGATATTGCTAAGTGTTTATGGTTATTAACACTTGATGATGTAAATGGTCAACAACGCTTGGCACATACTTTTGAAGCTAGAGCCAGTCGAGTTGAACCAGAAGTTTTCTTACCATGGCTTCCAGACCTTGTAGCATCGCTTTTACGTCCTGAAGGACGTTTTATCGTTTCTGCTTTACGTAGAGTAATAATTGCTTATCCTACAGTTCTTTATGGTTATTTAAAAGGTTTTCAGCATCAATTAGCTACAGAGGTTATTAATGATCGAAAATTGGCTGAAATTATTCATAATCCTGAAAATAAAAATGATCCTTCTATTATTGCTATTCAAAATCGTATAACATCAACAATAGGCTCAGAAAAAGAATCATTAATAAAATGTGGTAATTTATCTTGGTCGTTGAATCGTGGAACTGGTACATTTGATATTACTCATTCTACTGGACGATCAAGTTACAGTCATAATAATAATATCGATCAATCATTTTCCTTATCATCATCTAATACTTCTAAAATTGATGCTAATAATAATGTCAACACCATCTATCCTAATCCTTGTGGAGTTAATTCATCCAATTCCAGTGCTTTGAATAATTCAAAGAAAAAGAAACGTGTAATTGTTGTTATGCGAGGTGTTGAAGGTGAACGATTGAATACATCACCGAGTTCTTCACCACCACCACCACAACAACAACCAGCAACAAAACAACAACAAAATTCTGATGTAATTGGACAATCATCATCATCATCTCGTTTAAATAACCACCCGAAAACTGTTGCGATTCGTGGATCAGATGTAGATTCGACAACACCTACTAATCAGGACAATGAACAAATGGATTATTTAAGTGAAGATGCTGAAATGACAGAATTAGAAGAAGATACCGATATGACTGATGCTGATCGTGATGACGAAGATGAGGATTTCACTGGAAATGACGACACCGGATTATATGAAACTGATATGAATGCTAAAAATGTTGTGACCAATGATTTAGAGCCAAAAGTTGTACTGTCAGATATTGATGATAATACTGTTAGTGGTGATACTGTCACTGGTGTGGCCACTTCAACTGATTCAGTTGAACAAACAGTAGAGATTGGCTATGGAAATTCAGTAACTGGTTGTTTATCTAATCCAGTCGTTCATGGTCTTCACTATGCAAATATTCTAATTAATCAAGTAAGTCACTTGTCTTCTTTGATCTATGATGTTTCATTTCAATGAATTCTTTTGGTATGTTTGGTATTTGACAAACAGAAAAATATAACACAAATTGTTAGTGTATCGACTAAAAGTACAATCTATTTTACGATTGTATATCATAAAAAAAACATGATATCATCACTTCATTGTAGAAATAATAAATCTTATTCCATATGCTTAGTCAGTCTTTTCTACTTTCATTGATACATTGCTACTTCTTTTTATTCACCTTGATAATCTTATCTCTCTCTCTCTCTCATCGCGCTAAAAGCTTTATAGTGAATCGTAAATCGTTAAATCCATGTTCGAATTTTGTTTAGTTAAACAATTTTATCATACTATCAGTATGTTCATTTTTGTATTCATTAATTTTATTTGTATTTCTGTATTTTTGTACAACTTTTGTGTAGTTTGCTTAATTCCTAACAAATCCTTTTTTTTCTAGCTTAAACGTAAACATCCATCTCGTTTATATGCAGTAGATTTATTCACAAATGAAGTTGGTGGTCGGTTAAGACCTTCATGGTCTGAACAGTTTTTATCGCAATTATGCTCAGTGCTGGATTATCTTCAACGTCTTGGATACGCTCATTTACATCCTGGTAGACGGTGGAAGTTTAAAAATTTAGAAACTCAAACTATTCCATTTTGGTTGGCTACTGAATTGAAGCAAATGGCCCGTGATTGTGGCCTACCAAGCAATACATTTTGGTCATCGCCTATAACAGAAAATACAACATCTCACAATTCAGTCAAACTTGATTCAACCTCTCAACGTTTTATGTTTACCGATTCTCGAAAAGATGATAAAGAAAAGTTGAAATCGCCACAATCTAAATTAACTAACCGAACATCCGATTGTATCAAACCTGAAAACAATAGCGATATTGCTTCTGAACGAGATGACTTTAAATTATCCAGTGAGCCACAAAAACAATCCATTTTTCTGCCAAACATGCCAGCTTTTCAAGAAGTTAGTCGAATATCATCGGAAGTTTTGTTTGCAGAATGTGAAAAGGATCCATTTTTCAAACACCTTCGTGATACACTGTCTACTGAAATGATGAATCTGCAAAATGAGAGTATATTGGTAAGTGACAAAATACTCGATAGGTTTAAACCATATATTACAGCGAAACAGTTGTATCTAAACATTTCTTAGGAAAAAACTCTAATATGCAGTATCGGTTGAATATATTGATTTTTGTAGGATATCTGTGCATGTAAACATGTTCTTTCAATTTCTTTGACGAATTCTACGAATAACTGTATGTGTCATCACTTCTTTTTTTCCTGTAGTCTCTTATCAAAAAACTAACACTACGTTGGATTCCAATGGTTGAGCAGCATGTATCTAAATTACCTGTTCGTACTCATATTTCTAGATACGGAGCAAATCGTCTGTTAGAACTGCCTAATATGGTTTCTCCTGTGAGTACGCCTATTACGCCATCAAAAACAAATGTATCAAACGCACAACAAGTATATTCTGTTTTCTCTTCAATCTCGACAGTTCCTTGTCTAGAACTTCCTGGTGAATCAGGACTTCTCCAGTCATCTGGAGTAAATTTAGGCTCAATCGTCAATCCACATCATTCTCAAAATGAATCTAGTCAACAAATAGGTGGCTACATCAATAATATTCCTTTATATCTTCATGTAGCTGAAATTATGCCACATGTAGAACGTATTCGTTGTTCATCGGGTACATTAGCTCCACCTGCTCGTCGTATAGGGATTCGAGCTACTAATGGAAGACTATTTTTTTATGATTTACCATGTGCAAATACTCCTCCAGTTACGGATCTGGCTATCATGCAAATCGATGCATTGAACGGTGCGAAATGTCATGAACTTCTCAATGCTATTTCTATTAATGAATCTACTAATCTTGAACATTTAACTGGGAAGGAATTTTGCCCATCAGCTTATATTAACTGGAGACAAACTGGACCTCTTCAACTATTCCAAATGATTAACTCTGTATTACTTGGACAACCAGAAACAGCTAAAAGAAATATTTCACTATACGTTTCAAGGTAATGATATCTTATTTTCTCTTTCTAATTTTGCCCTTGGTTAGTTTTTATTTTAAGTAGATAAATATCATATATCAATAAAATAGTGCGCTTCATATGTCACACTTAAAGGTGGCGTATGACTAATATACTCTTGATTTAAAAATGAAGTTGACTAAACTTCATTCATTAACTTCTAGCAAGTTCTCCTTTTCATAACTCTTATCTAATCTGATATATTTCACTACTCATAACTTGGTTAAATCTATTCGCTCATCTCTTACTGATTTAGGAGATAAAGTTGCTTATCTTAAGTAAAAGTTTAGAATATTTTTAGTTTCGTGAAGATACAAATTCTATCTGGGATTCATCGTCTAGATGTAAATGCATTTCACGGTAGTGATATTCTCTTGATGACTCTAACACAGTGTACTCTTAGTGGGTATCTAAGACTTCATTGCCAGATTTCTTTACTAATAACTGTTCATATACCATTAGGAACATTTGAACATTTTCACACAATATTACTAGATCGTCATATAATTAAATGTAGTGACACACACAACTGAGTATCCTGTTATTCTGACATTAGATACGATAAAATACATTTAATTAGATGAGTTGTAGTACGCTTTAATCATTTTTCAAGACTACACCCTAGTGACTAATGTAACATCATTCAATTTCTTTCCTATAATCTACGACTGGATGTTCGTTTTTCAAATTTCTCACCAGATTTTCTTGTGAAAATCTTGTTTTACTTTTTGCTTATGATTAATTCTTTGCTTTTTCGTTAAAATTTGTTTTCATTTATATTAATTGCTATCGTTTTAATGAATTTAGTTCCAAAAACTCTAGAAAATTAATGCATTAAGATTTTACAAAATATCCCGTTTAATTTCGATTTCCATGGATTGATAGAATCTCTTTACGTATACTCGTTAGTTTTACTGAAATATGTATTTGACTATAATTGCGCTTAATCAAATTATTTTTCTGTATTTCTCATTGGTCGATTCATAACTTCAATGAAACTCAACAATCTCCACAACCCCTATATTAATAATGTCACTTATCGTTATGCACGGTCAACAATTCTATGTTAGAAATACGAAATTATTTTGAATCAATGACATGTTAGCTATCGATTCTACTTTATTTTTACTTCATTAGGCGAATGGAAGTTGGTCCCAATGGACTACACTTGATTCAAGTTGGATCATCTGTATCGGCAGCGGATGTTATTATAGCCAGTGCATGTCCTCTACCATCGGCAAATGTAGTCAATAATCCTAGACTAACAGCTTTAGCAAGACCACCTTCTGGTGGGTCAAGTATTTGGTCGAATTCCACGGATGAAAATTCAAATAATCATTCTTCACCATTAACACCATTCTGTGAAGAAGCTTACAAACAATATTCTTGGTCTTTATCTTTTGCCGAATCCCATTCAACTCCACAGAATATTGATAAACATCAATTACCTACTGAAGGAATGTTGAAATCTTTAAAGGTAAGTTATCTACGCTCTTTTTTTAAAAATATTCAAGATTCGCATAGTGAATATTAGTTTACCACATGTAAGTAAACTATATCGTTTTCGATTAGATTGTCATCGGGCTTTACTCTATGATAATACATGAATATCTGTATGAAAATATTAAACAAATCAAGGTGATTTATGAGTCAATAGTCCCAATGAAATAGATTACATAACTACACATAATAGGTAAAAGTACGAGTTGATCTGGAAAGCGTCACAGAGAAAGACAGATACAACGCAGAACTTCGTACATGAATACATCAGTTCAGGTTGCCATACCACGTCAGCACAGAGACGTAACTGATAGCGATAGTAGAATTATTAGCAGTAATGGAGAAGATTAGGGAACGAAGATATGATTTGAAAAGTATAATTCATTGAGATAAATTTAGAAGGAGAAAGATAGAGATTATGAGGAATTCAGAAGGTTAGAATTAAAGAGAATACAAAGAGTGGATGCACCTGCGCCATTGTAAACGATTCTGAGCCATGTCGTTCAAGGTCTCTAACCATCGGTGACCCCAAACAGATAGCCTACTTCTACCAACATGACTCAGTCCACTTGTCAGTGACTTCATGCATTTCTGCCATGTTTTAGTCTGGCCGCCCCTAGCTTTCTTCCAACCTACTTCTACACCACAAAACATATCTTGTCACGGCAGTCGATGGTTCGGCATACGTAACACATGTCCCAACCACATCAACTGACCAAGTTTCACTACTTCATCTATTGATTAGCCATCCTTACCTAGAACTCGTTTCCTAACGACAGCATTGCTTACTCGGTCGTCCCACGATACACGAGCAAAGCTTCTGAGGCACCCATGATCGAAAACTACTGACCTACGAATGTCCTCTACTCTTAACGGCCATGTTTCACAACCAAATAGTAGGATGGAGCGAACTACTGCTCAGTACACTCGTCCTTTAGTCACCAAACAGATACCTCGCCTTCGCCATAAGTGACGCAGGATGGCAAAAGCCAATCGAGCCTTCTGTATCCGGGCTGAGATTTAGTCAGTCACCAGGCCATCAGCAATGATGAGATTCCCAAGATAAGTGAAGTGATCAACACGCTCGACTACTTCATTCCCTATTACTAATTCAGGTGCCGATGCAACCCAATCTTGAAGCAACATTTTGCATTTCGACGGGGAAAACCGTATCCTGAACATGCTTGGATTGTTGCTTAGGGTAGTCAGAAAACTCTGCATTTTGTCAGCGTCTTCACCAAGTGGGACTATGTCATCGGCATATTCTAAGTCTATAAGCGAGCCTCCTTGTAAAAGGTCTACTCCTGAAAATTCAGACCAGGATAAGATTATTTCTAGGAGCATGTCTATGATAAAATTAAACAAGAATGGAGAGATTGGACATCCCTGACGGACACCACTTGAAGTAAAGAATCTCGATGACGGTTCGCGATAGGCTATCACCCGACCAGTGGTGTTCGAGTAGAGAGCTTGTATGAGGTTAATGTACTTATTTGGTACACCTTTCAATGACAGACACTGCCACAGAACCTCACGATCCACTGCGTCAAATGCCACCTTATGGTCCAGGAAGACAAATACCTTCGGACTCCTAAATGTGTGTCTGTGTTCCAGGACCTGTCGTAGTGTGAAGATGTGGTCTATACAACCACGTCCAGGTCGAAAACCAGACTGGTTCTCACGAGTCTGCTCTTCACGAGCTTTCGTTAAGCGTCGAGGTATTATTGAGGCGAATATTTTAGATACTACTTATTCCCCTGTGTTTATCACAAGAAGACTTGTGTCATTTCTGGAAAGCGTCAGATAAAGACAGTACACCTGATTGAAAATGGTTGTACACTGAATCATTTCGGGTGATCCATCGCATACTTCTATCATTTCCCAACGGGGTTCGATCCCGTCTCCTACATATACCAGAGGGATCCGAACCTGTAGTCCCACAGTTGGTGTGCACAGAATAAATTCTTGATACTCCCGCCCCTTCCTTGTCGTTTACTTGAGTTTGAAGAAAATGTGTTACTTTAGATTCTTATCTTGTTTACGACTTACTGGGCGTAAGAAAATACCGCATGAAAACCTTTTAGGGTTCTACCTAATGATTTATATACTATACCTACAATCGATTTTTAGAAAAGATACATTTTAAACTCAATATCACTAGTCTGACCAGAATTTTAATAACTCCAATTACCTATTCTCAAAAGTCATAAAATTTATTACACATCAGCAATAGGTCATTTTCCTAATACATAATTATTTTGCCTAAAGTGGTGTATGTTAAATATAGTTTTCGTTTTTCTTAAATTAAATTTAAATTTAGAAAAATAAAATCTAACTCATGTTTTCCTCTTATCCATTTTGTTTAAAACTTTTAAAGGATAAAATTCGTATCCCATCTCCACCACCTGGACCTTTACCGAATTTAATCACAACTGTTCAATCAACCAATTTAATAAATCAATCAACAATTGTTGGAAGTGCTGCATTAGCTTCTGAGGCTATTGGACGTCCAGCTGGTTTAGATGCTGGTTGTCGTTGTGTTTGTAATACAGTTTTTGGTATTTTAGAAAAATGTACTTGTACCTGGATGTTTCATTCAAATTTTAAACAAAAATACAAATCTAATGATATATTACAATGTATGAAATTAGAACAACAACAACAAGAAGTTAAATTTAAAACTAAATCTTTTTATAAAGTTAAATATTCAATGAATTCTTCTCTTCTCTCCGGTAATAATAACCCGATTGGTTGTCGAAACTTAATTTATTTATTTTATGAATATATTTCAAAAATACCCAATCAGAATGAAATTACAAGTCAAGATTTATTTAAAATATTTCTTGATATTTCATTGAGAATTCCACAAACTCTCAATGTTCATGATCCATTATTTTCAAAGTAAGTTAATGATATCATTTGAATAGAAGGTCGTTTTTTTACAGTCACATTGAGATAATAATGTTTATTGTGTTCTACTTTTTAATACATTTCACTTTGTGTACATTTTAGCTTTGGAATGTTTAGTAATGACGATGATGATAATGTCAATTTAGAGTCTTTAAAAAATCAATTAGAATTTCCACGTGGTAAACTTCTTCAATTCTGGGCAAAAAATCAAATGCTCGATTCGGAAAGTTACTGGTTGTTACGTCGAAGTCTAGCACGTAATCTTGGAACTTATGGGCTTATGGAACGATTGTTTCATTTAACACCTCTTCATCCAGGCTGTTTGGTGATTGATCCACGCTCTGGTCATATTGAAACACATCATGTTTGTTTTGGATTGCCAGGAGATAATTATGCATCAGAACAATCTAATTCGTTGAATTCTGAAAGAGGATTTAATCAATCCTACTTTATTTCGTGTTTCAATCAATCTATGCTTATACAAAAACTGGATAAATCTGGTTAGTTAATATTTTTCATCTTTGTTAATTCACAGTTTGTTGCATGACACCCATATTTTCTGTAATTAATAATTTTTTTTTCACTTCAAATATTTCTAAATAGATATTTTCATAAGGTGTGAGATAATTATTGCTTTTTTTGTATACTGATTTTTGTGTAACTCCAATGAAGCACCCTTATTCAGTCAACTATATGTTTAAAGTGTACTTCTTTAATCTATCGTGAATCCGTGTATGCTTTAGAAAACAAAAGTGCATTATTAATCAATAAAGTGATTTGAAACATACAAATATTTAAAAAAATTTATTAAATTTTTTTACTTTCTGTTCAAAAATTGTTACAAAGTATGAAAATACAAATGAATTCCATTGTGGTTTCCATTAGAGATTAATGATAATGTGTGAGTTTATTATCACATGAATCATGAAGCTCACTGGTTTTAACATTGTGGCAATAGTTATTATTTCTAGAAAGTCGTTAAATTCAATTTACGTATCATCTGCGTTAAAAGTAGCAATCTAACTGTAATATTCTCATGTGGTCTTCAATGAGTGTTAGAAGTCACGACTAATAGTGTTGTCGATATTTCAGGCAATGGAATATAGTCGCACAGTCTTATGGGTCAGTTGAATTCTGATATATATATACTGGCTCCATCATCTAGACGTTAAGCATTTGCGCGCACGAGTTCTATTTCCAATGGTGGGGTCGTAGATGCGTGCTGTTGAGGTGTGCCCTATACTATGACGGAACAGTTATGTAATGCATCCTGGTTGGTTTTCACTGGTGATTTGGCTAAGATCAGTTCATAGTTTAAAGTATAATCTAGTTTTATCATTTTTTTTTCAAAAATGTGGGTTCCCTCTGAACTCACTTAATTAAATTTACCAGTTCCATTTGAGTGAGAAGCATATCTGTATCTCTCTCTCTCTCTCTGTCTCTACCATCACTTGTTATATCACACTGATTCATGTTTATCTACTGAAGTATAGTTAATTGTTCTAAACATTTTTATTTTTGGATCACAACTTCATTATAAAAAGTGGAAATTCGAAAACATCTTATTCTTTAAATAAAAAAATGCATATTGTTTATTGACATTATTTGTTCTCAAATATCATTAACATATTAATTTTCAGGTAAGAAACAATCATCCAATGTTCCAATGTTATCTTCTAACATTTCAACTGATTCACCTACCACTGATAATATTAACGATAAATGGTTAAGTTACTGTCGTCCAGTACCATTTCGTTTAACTCCACATTTAGCTGGTCTTGTTTGTTTACCTGGTGCACCAGCAAAAATTGGTCCTTTAGCAGCCAGTTTCACTACAACTGCACAAGCTTTAATGAATGCACAATATAATCATAATTTAACTAGTCTTTATCGAACAATTCTACGTCGTGATTATATTTTATGGCATCGAGGTAGACAATCGTCTATTTATGCTTATCAATTACTTATGAGTGAACCAAATGCTACAATTCCACAAACATCATCAACATCATTAGAAACTGGTCAACCTGTATCATCATCATCATGTTCCGATGAGAATGAATCTTCAACATTGAATTATTTTTGTTATTCATCATCATCACCACCGACTCTTGTGCCAGATTTAACTAATGAACAATTAATTGCATTAATCAATTGTACAATGGATTCAATGAATAATAAATTAAAAGGTAATTTCAATTTGATTTGATTCTTCGCTTTTTCTATCATTTTTCTTATTCATTTCTATTAGTGGATGTTGAAACAGTAGAACTCGACAAGTCAAATGAATCTTCACAGCACATCTTCAAATAAACTATGATATGCAGTTTATTATTGACATTATGATTTTCTTGAAGTTCCAGCGGGAATAAGTGATTGATGTGGTTTAAACTATCTTGGAATGAAACACTTATGAGCCGGGGTGTTTGATAAACCCTTCGTTCTACAGTTTAAATCGATTCAGATTGAAATTTCACCAATGACCAGTTAGTTAGTCAGTTGCAACTTAGAACTTGATACGTACGTACATCAGTTAAGGTTGCCACACCACATTAGCACAAAAAGATGAAATAGTCAGTCAGTCAGTCAGCAACAGTATTAGTTGTAATAAAAAAGATTAATGATCGAAGTAAATATAAACTAGTGAAATAAATAATTACGAGGACGGAGACTCGGCACTTCTGTCTCTTAAACGTTTACCTGAGGAAGCTCCTAGACCCACTCTCCGATGGAGTGGTTGTTGTGCTCTGCTGTAGAGTTCTTTTTTTCGTCTGTTTTTGGTAGTACCTCAAACGAGAACAATCTGTGATGAATATTGGAAATATTCCTACATTTTTTGTGTTTAACAACTTTTAATCCAATCATTTAGTTATGATGATGGTATACACAAAAGATTATCACTAATATGTTTCTTTTCATTCATCACTAACCATATCAATGTATTATGATTGTTAATTATTGATTGTTGATTTTTTTCTTACTAATTGATCTCTGAGATCGAATTTTATTGGTTTCCATTATTGTATAATGTTTTCGAATGATTGTTTTCATACTACATTATACTTATTAGTCAATGAGTTCATCTAACTGACTAATGATCAATAGGATAAAACATACATTCTTGTTTCCATTGGTAATCTTAAGCATGAAATGGTATTAATTTTATTAATTTAAGCAATTAATGTTATTATCGATATTAGGGCTGTGGAGATTGTTGAATTCTATTAAGATCACGAATTGAATCACTTAAAATCTGGAAGTACAGACTACCTATTTTGTTTTAGTATGAGACTACTTGACAATGTACATTCACGATCCCATTACATGAAATCAAACTGAAGACCGTTGGTCTCGTGTACGAATGCTTCACTTCTAGACCATTGAACTTGACATCCATTCGTGTATCAGTTTTACTTCAATCAATTCTTAATATTGTCTATAGTCTACATTATCATTATCAAAGACTTCTGAAGCATATGTTCAGTTGTCAAAATGTTCTGCTTTCAGCTACTAAATTCCACTCTACTGACCTCACTTTAAGTGACTGGCTCGTATAGTTAGCCGTCATGCTCATACCACCGATATCTAAGTACTTGGTAAATAATCTAATCTCATTTGATTATAATTCCAATTACTACTTAACTATACACTTATGTAAATGTTTATTGTACTCATTTTCATAGTTGCTTCGGACTACTCAGGAACTGAACCAAAATCATGGAAACTTATCGATGAAGCTACAAAACCTTCAAATTTAATTCATATGAATCCTACTTTATTACCTTGGTTGTAAACAATGCTTCGTCTTTTTATTCTCATTGTATCTTATTTTGCCTTTGCATTTTACTTTTTTTGTGTGTAACAAATATAGAAAGAAAAATTTTCTGTTTTTTCCTTTATTGTTCATTTTTCTATTTTTGGTTACTTGTAGTAAAAATTTTGAGATTTTCTTGTCTATTTCATGATTATTATTATTGTTATTATTATTATGACTATCGTTTGTTTTTTAATTCTGTGCTGTTTGTTTGTTTTCTATATCAATATTCTCTCATGTTAATAATGTTCATTGTCAATGTGAAAATAGTAAATGTTAATGCATTTGAATTCCCTTTTTTTTAAAAAAATACAGTATTCATTTGATGTAAGAATGCCTTTTCATTTTCTGCACTGTGTCTCAATCTGTTCACACTAGTTATCGTGTATTTTTATATGAATTTAAGCGTTACATCATAGTTAATCCGATGAGAAGTTTGTTGACAAATCTAGTTACTTTCAGGATAACTGTATGATGTTTATATCTTCGCGACACCAAGAATCATAGTTCAACGGCTTGTTTGTAGTTGTACAAATTTATCGCCCAGCAAACATCTGTGTGATCATGTGAGCTTTCTAATTGAGGTTATTTCGTATTCAAACACTTCTTCATAACATTAAATGTTCATTCAAGATAAACTTCAACGGGATAAAACATTTTTCAATCCACTCAGTTCAGTCGGTCAATCAGTTACAACGTAGAACTTCGTACGTAAGTACATCAGTTCAGGTTGCCATACCACATTAGCTTAGAGAGGTAATTGTCATTTCAAGTCCCATAGTGGAAGAGATAGAAGTATTACCGATAATGGAGAATGTTGGGGTTCGAAGATATTATTCAAAAAGTATAATACAGTGAGATAAATTTAGAAAGACAAAGGTAGAGGTGAAGACGAATTCAGAAGATTAGAATTTTCATAGAACACAATGAGTGGATACACCAGCCAGACAGACAGATACAACACAGAACTTCGTACATGAGTACATCAGTTCAGGTTGCCATACCACGTCAGCACAGAGACGTAACTGTCAGTTGAAATCCAAGAGTGATAGCGATAGTAGAATTATTAGTAGTAATGGAGAAGATTAGGGAACGAAGATATGATTCGAAAAGTATAATTCATTGAGATGAATTTAGAAGAAGAAAGATAGAGATTATGAGGAATTCAGAAGGTTAGAATTAAAGAGAATACAAAGAGTGGATGCACCTGCGCCATTGTAAACGATTCTGAGTCATGTCGTTCAAGGCCTCTAACCATTGGTGACTTTCGTCTCGCGACCCACAACCAGATAGCCTACTTCTACCAACATGACTCAGTCCACTGGAAGGACTTTTGACTCTTCATATCACTATGGCATTCAGAATCCTCTTTTCTGATAAGACGATGTTTCCACTGAAACATTCTTTGATTCACATAGAGAGGAAGATTTTTACACATTCGTGAACTCAAATCTAGTGTTTAAAAGCTGTCAGTTAAATGAAAATTGAAACCAGTCATCTTACCTATTATTCTTGAAGTGTTTTTGAATATCCCTAAACACTGTCAATGCAATGTAAACAGTACAAAATTAAGTGATGGCTTACGATTACAACGGCGAATTTACTGTCTAAACATGCATGCATGAGTGAACACTATTCTCTTCAGTAAATTTCCATCAATTTTTAGAGTTTTTAACTCCGAACTAAAGTTTAAAGCAGTGTCAGCTTTTGAGGCAACCGTTTTTTCTGAAAAAACGCAATGGATGGTGGATAAGCTCATTAAAATTTAAATACTAGAGAGCACTGTAGAAATTAGAACTTCAGCCACTCGTATGGCATACTGCTAGCTAAGCTAACCAACGAATAAATAAACAAACAGCTTGATTTATGAAGGGCTAAATGCAGCTCTACCTTGACAAATCTGTTTCTAAATGCTTATTTTGTCAATGGAAAGAAATTATTTTGATTGGTCTACCATACATCTTCATGTGTTTCCAATAGGTTTCAACCTCGTGCCCTACATATAATAGAAGCCTATAGGGATCCAAACCCATAACCCTAGTTTATATGTCCAGAACAGATACGGATACTGATATCTCTTCCTTAGTTGGATATGGTATGACGTGAGGAAACCATTAATTTTCTTCACATCCCGTCTTCGTTTGCTATTCTTCACCCCTTTGTGTCTATATTTTGCACTTTCTGATTGGTCACTTAGTTTGTATTACGTATTTCTAGTAATTATTTATTCAAGTGTGACCTACTTCGTGTGTCGAACTGTTAACTAGAACTTTTGTTATCTTATTATTCTTATCACTACTGCTAGTACGTCCGTCTCCTTACTATGACTGCAATTTCTATCTACCATAATTAGCCATGTAACCTGTTTCATTGTGATCATCGATCCATAGATTGCTTTGATTGGTTTCATAAATTCACATAGATGTTTAAGCATGACAGAATAAATCCTGACGAACGATCTAATTGGAGACAGCGTGGGTTTCAAAAGCGGTACCCATCCGCCACTTGCAGGATTCGAACCCATGACATCTGGCTTTGCAAGCGAACGCTTAACCTCTGGACCACTGAGCCGGCACCCAGTGACGTTAATGTATAACTCTGATCAATCTAAGGATTTCGCGCAACCTCATTCGTTGTCTTCAGTAGTTACTGCCTATACTCGACAGGGTTGAACTCCACTAGTTACGTCTTCTCTCTAGAACTCTGTGAATTTTATCACGAAACTAGTCACTAGTGAGCACATTTTATGGCTTTCATATTGCAGAATTGTGGATATCGTTAGAAACCTGAAGGCACGTGAAAGACGTTTCATCCATTTATAGGACTCACAGGAGTTCAAACCTTTTGGGTGTAGGCCGTAACTACCAAACACAATGGATGAAATTGCGCAAAATTCTTAAATCGACCAGAGTTAGACATTAACACCAGTAGATCCTGGCTCAGTGGTCCAGAGGTTAATCGTTCGTATGCAAGGCCGAAGATCCTGGACTCGATTCCTGTAAGTAACAGGAGTCGTGGATGCGCACTTCTGATGGATGCCATACCTGAACGAAACAGTTGTTCACTGCTTCCAGATTTCTAATGGTGGTGGTCTAATGATAAATAAATCACGATTTCGATGTAAAATAACTATCTTCATAATTCTGTAATGAAAAAGAATAGACTTATAAGTTCCGTTTCGTAAATGTTCTAAAATCCAATCAAATATTAACGTAGAATTAATTTAAATCAGTTTGTCAACTAAATTAGATTTTCAAATTAATAATCCTCATTTGTATTTTAATTATTTTCGCTCCTAACTTTAGAAATAACCCGCTTAGTTATCATATAATTTATTTAACGTCCTAGATTATTGAAATAACTAACAAAGTGTTTACGTGCGTGCGTAAAAAATGGTGTTCCAGATTATCATCTGGAATGATAACTCCTAGTAAGTAAAGATCAGAAACATGTGCAAAACAAATATTCTAATTCAATCTTCAACATTGACATGATCACCCATTTAATTTCCCAAAGTCTTCTTTAACTGCTAATAAGATTACATAATTATTAGATTCTATCATTATCACTGATTGCTCCTCTTTTTAACTTAAAATTAGTCAACTAAACAAACAATTACCTGTATTATTTCTCATACGTGAATACTTTCCATTTTGATGAGACTCACAAGCGTAGTACATTGTAGATAAAGTTGGAGAATAAGTAAAATCTAAATGCTATCGTAGTAGAAAAAGGATCTGAGCAGAGTGCGAACAGCGAAGAATGAATAGTGAGGATGTCAGTTACTGAGTTTACCTTGCTCCTCACGACGATAAATCTTTCATAAACTTAGGAATAGTAACACTAGAGTTGTTGATTCACATTTTGTACAGAAAATAATTTCATAAATTATCGTGATTTTATATTATATTGAAAATAACCGAGTCTAATTCTCGTCTGTCCACCAAATGACCACTCACAATTATTAATATCTTCAGTTTACTAATAGCTGTGTGTACATTTTATATAAAAAAAGCTTTCTAGTTAAGATAATGTAGATATAAAATAGAAATATTACTTTATGGGACTATATGTTCCCAGTTGTATCTTTTTTCTGACTTCTGTTTCATGAAACTGATACAAAGCTAACAACTTATGTGTATTATGATGCAATTTAGCTGTTTCTATATACATTCCTACTGTTGTTTTTCGAAATAGCCCATCATTTTTAATATTCTGATCAATGAAATTGAATAAACCATGTATTAAAATTGTCATACATTTAAGGTTTATTGATAGCATGTTTTGTTAGTTCATTATTGAAATAGGTCAACTAAAACCCAATCTAAATAACAAAATTATTCAAATATAGATTTGAATTTTTCATATTCCGGTCAGTCTGTTAGTGTATCTAAACCTCCAGGTCTTGGAATTTAAATAAAACGCTTTAAGATTATGCGATTTTCGAACAAAATTTTGGCTATCATTCCTTTTGAGTACATTGAGTATACACTGATAAAGGACAGCAGGTTAGCTGATCTTTAGTAATTAGCAAGTATTTTTTTTCTTGGAAGGTTTTACTGATACCATTTGTTTAGGTAGGCAGTTCATATCAGTTACCTTTGAATAATCAGTTTGTCATTCGCAACATAGTAATTGATACGTATGTACATCACTTCAAGTTTTCAAACCACATTAGCACTCACAGATAGAATTGTCAATTCAAATCCCTAGTAGTGAAGGTTGTAGCAGAAGTAATGGAGAAGATTAGAGATAGGAGATATGATTCGAGTATTAGAATTCAGTGAAATCTAAAAAGCGGAAAAAAAGCTTAATGGGGTCAGAAGACTTCATTTAACCTTTTCCAAACAAAACTATATCATATGTATCTTCTAAGTTAGCAAGTGAACCTCCTGGTAGAGGGCTAACCCCTGATAAGTTAGATGACGAAGGTGTTAAGTTTAACAGCATGTCGATGACGAAGTTAAATGAGCGAATCGGCAAATGAAATGAAGTGTCACTCGCATGTCTGTGGTCTGCTGTTCTAATTGAGATGTGTGAGGATAAACGTATCCAACCCTTCATGTTTACCTTCTGATTTATAAACCGTCAGGCATTATTTAGTAACGATTGTCTGGACGAGTAAATTACGAGATCTAAGAATACATTGCTCACCACAGTCTCATATTAGGACGAAACATCCGTCCAACGCTTTCAGGTTTTTCACTGGTAGTCCAACACAGGTCAGTTCGTGATTTCAATGAAACTCAAAAATCTTTGCAACCATCATACTGATACATACTAGATTTTTTTACCAATTGGTAATATAGTAATATTAACCAAAAATATCATTCAACTTTGTTGGCAAAGTTATTCATTTTTTATTTCGTTCACGTGACAAGGCAATCTTCTAATAAAAAACAACACTTACCTGTTACTCTCTTGAATATTGTTACATTTTATTCATTCCCTTTTTTAAATTAATATCTATATATCGATATTAAATTCCGATTTTTTCAACTCAACCAATCCTAGGTCAGTTAACCGAGATCAATCCTTTTGTGTATATTATTAAATGTTTGGTAATGAGTACAAATAAAACTTATAAAACCATACTGTGTTTGTTCAACTGACATTGAACAACGAACTACGTGTGTGGCTGTATGTTGTAATATTATTGTATATTAATATTTGATTTTTTTCATTAGCTATTAGTGCATTACCGAAATTATGGGAGAACAAGCTGTCACCACACAACCTAAATCAAGTGTAAGTTTGTTAAACTGTTTAATTTACTTAGTTTTCAAACTTTAAAATTCATAATTTACGTGCACTGAATTCAAGCTTTAACTCGACTTATTCACCTACAAGATTTCAGTAAAAAGTAGTATTGATAGCAATTATCAAACTTAATACCCTAGTGGCGTTAAAAGCTTGGCTTCCTGTCATTTACTTGCATAGTCAAACATCCCACCCCATATTTCAACCTAGGCAATTATTCCCAATACTCAACCTGCCTTTTATTAAATTGATATATATTCACGTACTGAGTAACCTAGCTAAAAAGTCTGTATCATAAAATTACAATTTTCAGATGAATTATTTGCATGTAAACAATTACAATTGTATTATGATAACAAAATCACATACTAGACATTTTTCTGAATGCAACGTTTGTAACGAAACGCCTCTTTCTTGAACCTGCATATTTAAGTTAGGAGAAAAGTTCTAACATCTGAATAAAGTCTGCAAAAATTTGTGATTTTACCTGTGTTACTTATTGCTGCTTACTGTTAGTATGAAGTCAGAGTGATAATTCCGACATATGTATGGAGTTGTGCATATGTATCTATTCCTTATATTCTTTTAAGCCGTAAGCCTTCATAGTATTTCACACGATTCATTTCTCTATTTGATTGAATCGTATTGTGTTGATTTCTTTATACTATCAATCAATCTGATGATCAGTTCAATAGGTAGGTATCGGACAGTATTAACATTTTTCATATTTATTTTTATGTATCATGATTCTTTCTTGTGCTGATTGTGAAATGTCACAAGTTGGCAAAATACACATTGTATGCAATTTATAAATGAATAATTGACAAAGTAGAAATAAGTTTATATTATTGAAAACAATAGTTTGATTGGAAAACAATCCCTTGGCATTTATGTTCATTATATATTGAGTATAAGAATAAATGTTATACGAATATAGATTCCCATTTTGTTTTTTCAGTTGTATTTCTTTTGGTGACAAAATATAGTAATTCATTATTTAAATTTAAATAAAATATAAATTTACTACTTATTTTGAGATTAGTAGTTTTTTCATTGATGCACAGAATTCATATTATGTAGTCCATGGATATAAATGTTTCACAATAAATGCATTGCTTTTTATCACTTTTGATCTCGATTAAATGTCCACTAGCAAATGTGTATAAAACAGTAGTTTAGTTAACATCAAACAAGCATGTATGATATGTATATGTGTAAAGCGTTAAAAAGCATATCATACTGGTAATCAAAATAAATGATGATAAAAATTGATTCTTCGATACGAATTGAAATCAATTCCATACGACATTAATGTTTCATAAGGATGTTTATGCTACTTGGTCTGAAACAAGCTTCATCATATCTATTAGATTTTTTTCACTAGTTTTGAAGGAGTAAACATCTGGAGAGAAGAGTTCAACATTACTGTTTGGCGAAGTTCTGCTATTTTAAAAAACAAAGTTGATATTAGAAGACACTGAACATTGTGTGTCACCGTAATTGATTTTATGTTTTCCTTGAGTATATTAAAAACTCCCATTTTCATCAAAATGAATATCAAATATAGTTTAATTAGTTAACTGTTAGAATCCAGGAAGTAATGAATATCTTTTTTTTGTCGTATTATGAAATTCCTTAACATTAACTATGAATAACCTTAATAGAGTAATGGAACAAAAGACCTTGTTATCTAGCTCCCGTGGAGCACTTAACTTTGAAACCATTGAGTCTGGATCCAATGAAATATCTTGTTTCGATTTATTATTTCACATTACGATTACTTGTGTCAAATAAGAGATTCAATTCTTGACAAATTATTTTTAGTAAGGTAGATCATAAAATTATTAAGTTTATCCTAATGGTTGATGAGAGGAATATGCTCTAAGACAGAATTGTTGAAAAATGTAAGCATGAACCTGTAAAATTAAAACGTAACTTTATTATATTTGTCAATGTAACTTACTTCACAGAATCAGTTGAAGTGATAGATAAGTGAATTCTATTAAAATCTATTTCTGAACTTCAAAATTCCTATGTGGATAAGAAACATGGATATATTAAATAATACAGTATAGCCAATGAATTTTTATCAGAGACATATTAAAAATACTTGTTTCTGAAACTTCTTTACTTTTCATGAGAATTAGCTGTCATTCATATCAGTGTCCATTGTTTATCAGTTAACGTTCGTTTCATTCATTGTATGAATTAAAAACTCATTCATCATTAATCCTAATCCATAATTGTAGCAACGGTAATGACTATCTAAGTCAAAACCTTGTCATTCCTTTGACGCTTTCTTAGTTAATTCAAATTATCCAGTAGCGAATAATAACTAATTACTTAATAATAATAATAATAATAATAATAATAATAATAATAATAATTCATTTGAAACGTTTTCTGTTTCAATTTAATTTGTGTTTTGTCAAATTTAATTAAAATGCTTGCTAATTATCTATTAAACATTATAGAAAATCGTTAAAATTATTGTTTTTCCTTGTTCTTCATAAAAGAAAAAAAAAAGGTGTTTCATTCAAAGCACTAATTAAAATTAATAATTTATCGTAACCGGATCGTTTCATTGACATTTTTTCCTTTTTAATCGATTTCTTATTTTCCTCACCCCTTTCTATTCAAATTCAACATACATACACAAATACAAATATAAGTTTACCGATTGCTTTGTCCAAATTTTCAACACTTTAAAATCAATTTTCTGTTGTGTTGGTTTTCTTTTTTCCATATGGGTCAAATCTATAAGAGTGTGTTATACGAAATAGTTAAAAGAAATGCATACTATACGTACACTTTTAGATTAATTTTTTTTTTGTAATTCTTATTGTTTTATGTTCATTTATTATGTATAGTGTCATATAACACCTTTCAGAAATATTTGACTTAATGTAAAAATCATTACTCATTTAATAATTATTGTTATTATTTATGATTATCAATTAATTTGACTTTAAATGCTTTTGATTAATTGAAATAACAGTTGAATATAGAAAATAATAACTATTCACATACTGTATGTAAAGTTCTAAAGATATTTTTACAAAAATATAATTAATGTTTTATCAATGAAATATTATTCCTTTTTAAATTATCACAATTATTGACATCAATTTCAAAATAATTTCAAATATATTTATCCCATTCGATTGATTGATACAATTTTTTATCATTTTGATGGCATTTCTTCTATGTATTTCGGTTTGTTTAAAATATTCGTGTTCAGATCATTTTGTAAACTTAATAAGTTACTTAGTAAAATAATTATTTCGGTAACAGATTAAATTTTTTAAAATATTTGAAATGAGAAAAAATGATTTAGTCCTGAGTTGCTGTTTGTTGGTTGGTTTGTTTATTTGTACTGATAATAATAATAATAATAATTGATCAATGAAATTAGTGCTCCTTATTTCATTTTTCTTTCTACGTAGTCTTAATGAATTTCAGCATAGAGTAAATCATTTTTATTGTTTATAAAACTGTATATTATCAGTGTGTACAAAATACTTGAGAGTGAAGACATTGCTTTCAATACCATAGTGTTTAAATGTATAGTCTTTAAACTTATCTGCATGCACAAATATAAAACAACTCAAAATTGATGCAATCTAGTATATTTCAGTATGTTTGTAAGGGAGATTTTTCAAAAAAGTTACATAGAAATTGTATATGTGAACTTTTTTAGTGTTTGAATTTTATTAACACTCATTAACCACTGAACAAAAGTATTTTATCGTATCTTCGTGTCTTTATGAATAATAGAGATATGATTTTTTTTTTTTACTAGATCTATTGATTAATTCACACTACCCACTGAAATTTTTAGGTATATGTAATTGACAAGTCAACAAACAGGATAAGGTAAAGTGAGCTAAAATTATCCTAACTCAGGTTAAAAAAAGCATTGACTGAAGTTTGCATTTCTAACACTTTTTTGTCTATGAATGAGGTTATATTCCTATTATATACTTTAGTTTCATGACTGACAGTTCACGAGACTACATTGATCTCTTTTCCCTAATATTTACCTCTATCAATCATACATTTGTAGTTTATAAATAACACTTAAACATTGTAAATAAAATCACATGGGTTATTCGTTCTTATACTAATACTCATAATGGTTCAAATTCTCCAAGATGTATTACTGCTGAACATTTAATCACTATATACTAATCGCATTAGTATGAAAGTGTATTATTATTATTATTATTACCATTATTATTATTAATTCATTTCCAGCTGACATCTCTGTGCGTAAAATGATCTATAGAAAGAGTATCAGACTTTAAACAACAATCTGAAAACAGATATCTTCTTTCCTTACAAGGTGTATTCTGCAGTTGCCGAAAATGGACTATTGTTATAGGTTAAACTTATTGATATACAATACTGTTATTAATAAGTAGTAAAATTTTTAGAATATAAAATTATACTGAACTTTAGAAGCTTAAGATGGAGTGTTTGAATTACTCATTAAATAACACAATCGTATTCATTGACAGATTTTCAAAACTGAATGACTGATTTATTTTTCTCTAGTAAAACAATAGATAAAAATTATTGAAGGCTGTTTGTGAATATTAGTTTGATTAACTTATCTTTACAACATTGTATCTGTTAATAATGAATGTCTGTAAGAGAGAAAAAGGCTAATTTGAGTGTCTGTTTCAATGTCTTTTAATTTACTGAACATCACGTCTTATGTTCTTCAGTGACGGCCAGTTTACTATGAAATGTAGTATCAAATCTTTGTTCTACTGATGGGAATACAAGTTACTAGTTGAATACTTTTTGTGTTTGTATTAGTTGATATGATCACTGTCAATTACTTTAATATATTTTTCCAGAAAATTGAAGAGAGCAGAGAATGGGAATCAGGCTTGTTTCAGTGTACAAATGACATTACTAGTTGTAAGTTTGTTACAAACTGATAAATTTGTTTCATGATAATTATTTTAGCAAAATATGTTGGATTTGTCAAAAGAATATCTTAGGGCTGTTTTTTGTTGAGATCACAAACAGATCTAGGTTAGAACACCTTTGAAAACTAAAAAGCATCACACAGATGAACTTCTCGGAAGCATAATCGAACTAATGGTTTTCGATCTCACATAAGAACGCTTATCCTCTAGACGACCGAGACGGCACTAAATAGTTTTAAAGTCTGCTTTAGGATATTACACGATCATCTTTTATTATTCGAGATTAAAATTATTGGGTTTTTTATTAACAACTGTGGGGTCACGTATGAGATGATGAGAAGTCCTACACTAAAATAAATATCCCGTGCATCTAGATTTTCCATGGTCTTTTACCTTGAACCAGTTTGCGGTTTTAATAAAATTAGGCAATTTTTGCAGACAGACAGACAGATACAACACAGAACTTCGTATGTATGTACATCAGTTCAGGTTGCCATACCACATCAGCACAGAGACGTAACTGTCAGTTCAAATGCAACAGTGATAGCGATAGTAGAATTATTAGCAGCAATGGAGAAGATTAGGGAGAGAAGATATGATATAAATCAGTGAGATAAGTTTAGAAGGAGAAAGAGATTATGAGGAATTCAGAAGGTTAGAATAAGAGAGAACACAAAGAGTGGATGCACCTGTGCCATTGCAAACGATTCTGAGCCATGTCGTTCAAGGCCTCTAACCATTGGTGACTTTCGTCTCGCGGACCCCAACCAGATAGCCTACGACTACCAACATGACTCAGTCCACTTGTCAGTGACTTCATGGATTTCTGCCATATTTTGGTCTGGCCGCCACTAGCTTTCTTCCAACCTATTCCTACACCACAAAACATAGCTCGACGAGGCAGTCGGTGGTTAGGCATACGCAACACATGTCCCAACCACCTCAACTGATGAAGCTTCAATGCTTCATCTATTGATTCGCCATCCTTACCTAGAACTTGTTTCCTAACGATAGCATTTCTTATGCAGTTGTCCCAGGATATACAAGCAATGCTTTGGAGACACCGATGATCGAAGACTAGTAACCTACGAATGTCCTCTACTCTTAACGGCCATGTTTCGGATCCATATAGTAGGACGGAGCGAACTGCTACTTCTACTTCACGTTCAAGAATTTTTCACAATTTAAAATCACAGTTATCTGTTCAAAAACTGCTTGATGGTAATCGATGAACAATACATTTTAAGCATTTTGAAGGTCAGGCAATTACTTAACAATGGGATTAGGTGTTGATTATGTATTATCGCTAATCCATTAAAGTTACAAATTTAAATCATAGGAAACCAGATCAGCTGTCTATACTGTTGGGAACGTTAGATACCCAGAACTCGCTTGATTAATGCCTTATCTTGGATTTCTTGTTTGCGGGCATGGGCTGATCAGTTGACCTTGAGATTTCATTTCCCACGAGTAAAATCTTTGGCTGTGATTGACTGCTGTGTATTTTAGTGTGCTATTTTTGTGACTGTCCCAAGGACGTTTCTATGATGTATAAATAAACGAGTGTTGTGTGCTTAATTTCATTGTGATTGCCGGGTGTTGTTGAATATACTTTCTACGCTTATCAATACTTCTGTTTTGCAGTTGGGATTCAAGGTAGCCTACCTGGACGCTGGTTCATTGTCTCGTTCGTGTTTATCGACTAAGGTGAACTCGTAATAACTTCAAGCGTACCTAGTGAAGAACGTAACATATACTTAGACACTTTCTACGTATACTCAAGGTACTTGGTGAATTCTCTATTAAGCTTATGAATAGTCACTGCTGAAGAGTGATATAATAGGATGAAACAACTGTCTAGAACCTAACAGATTTTAATGATTGTCTGACTAAGGTCAGTTAGTGAGATAAACTGCAAAACTCTGTGTTTGTCAAAGCCACAAGTGTATGGTATTTTCATTAATCTCATTCTCTTGATAACAATTCTGAACAAATCATTACTAATAAAAAGCTGAAAATACATAGCGAGTATTAAAAAAAACAGGGATTTTTTTATATGACTGAATTTAATTAAAAAAACTGATACTGCATTTGGAAAATATTAGAGATTGTTAATTTAATAACGACGTTGATGATTTTAAAAGTTGATTCAGACTTGGCAGTTTTAAGGAATATAGTAAAAAAAGTAAAACGTTGTAATGCATTTGTATTTTTCATAGTTATTAATCTATAAGGGATTCTTTGTTACAATTTCTAGCAAACAGATTTAGTAAACTTGATAACAAATGTACACAAATGTTTCAAAGTTAAACAACTTTTCTTTAAATAATCTGAAAGAAACTTCCTGAGACGTTTAATGCTTAAAAACCATAATCATACTATTCAATTAGTGAGTTATCATTAGTTTTATGCTGTCGAATACATAACAACGATTTAATTTTATCCATCAAGTTGGAATGCTATCAATTATCTCCATGTCACAACATCATGATGTCAATCACCTTCGTACAATTAGATAAATAATTGGCAAAACGTAATGAACTTTGTTGTCCATTAATTAAAACTCGTCAAAAAAGTACATCTCAGCTTTACAAGTTTGTTGCAACCTGAGAAGCTCATGAGCAGTCTCTAGCTATGACAGTGAATGGTGCTAGTTCGAATCTAATAATGTGCTTTATTTCTCAACAAGTTACATGCTCTCCCTTCCTGACAAGTGCTAACTAACACAAATCCTAAGCTATGCACTTTACTATAATTGCATCTCATCACTTTACATTAAATCTTATTAACCTTTACAGTCAAATATGTTTTTAGTCAGACTTAGAAACTTATCCTAGTCAACTTTGAATATGGTTGGTTAAATGTAAACAAGTATTCCAACAGTTGGATTTAGCTTGACGCTATCTACATCAATATTTGTCTGTTTATTAAAAACCCAAGTTATTAGTAAAACTATGAGAATAGCATTATGCTTAACGTCACCTTCATATGTAAAGTTAAGTTAAGTTCTTGATTTTTATTACTAAAATAACCTAAATGTTCAATGAACTGGTTATCCAGTCTACTTTTTAACAAGTGATTGTATGTATATATTGTAAGATTATAGCGGAACCACAGAATGATCCACTATACATATTACTCTTGCATATTGTGTTTCATGATAATCAATTCAGTTTAGTTAAAAATCTCTATAGAAAATTCAAAAATGACAAATTTCCAACTGAATAAACTGTTTATCATCATATTCAGGCTTTGCTTTTAGAAATCAATAAATATCATAGTCAATGCTAAGAACAGAGAGACAAAAGTTTAACAAGAATCAGTCGATTTTATAAATCGCACACAATAAAATTCTATGTATTTGAATTGAAACAATTCATTTAACAATTAATAATGTATATCTCTTTCTCTTCAATTTATAAAACCTAGGTATTTTGTCATTGTTTTGCCCGTGCCCATATTTATGCTATTTATATTCATATGCCAATGAACCATGTTGGTTACCTTGCATTGGAGCTGGAACTGGTCCACTTAGAATGCGTCAACGTTATAGGCATAATATTAAAGTATGAGTTAATATTATTCTAGAGTTTTTTTTCTAAGTTTTATATAATTATTAATATTCATAAGAAGTAAATTAAATAATTATAAAGAAAACAATCATTTTAGTAAGCATAACTCTGTTAATCAGTATGATGAATGCAATCGAATAAAATGGTTCACTTCAGTTTACAATATATTTTATGTTGAGGAAGTGTGTAGATTATTGGATTAAAAGAAAATAGTGTTTGATAAAAGAGTACTGATTGATTTCTTGACAGAACATGATTTAAGGCAACTTTAAACCATAGAGGCTTTAAGCAATATTACATAACGTAGTCTTTAACCTAGAAAGTTCTGGGAAGTATAAATGAGGCAACAAAAATCGGAGTTTACAAGAATAGATAAACTGAACTTTTCAATTATAAGCTAGCTTAACTGCTAATGTTTTTTGGTCAAAACACAAGTGCATAGAAGAATCTGAGTGTACTTATATGTTTGGCTACGTGGCTTGTCCTAGTTTTTGGACAAACTAACATACCCATTCTCTTCGAATTATGATTCACATATGTTTTGACTTTGTTAATTATCCTCTTTTATCCTTAGTTGTTTTAATTTGTGTGTGTGTATATACACTGCTTACTTCGCTTATCACATGTCTAGCTTATTTTTGTCTGACTACAACTAATTAGTCGTGCCTCATCACATTCGATTGGTCCATTCACTCCGCTCTTACGCTTTGCGTTTTTGTCTTTCTGCTCACTTAAGAAAATCGAATAACTCTATTCAGCTTAAATCGTTTTGAGCTTTTAATTGCACTAACAGGGTTCGCCTAAGAATAATATACAGACATTAGATGGAAGATTTATTTCATTAGCATATTTAACCATTCATCCGAAACGGAATCAGATCTCGGGCCACTAAAAGAGATTGGGGAGAAACGTTACACCAAGTTAAATAATATTTTATTCACCATTTATCCCTGGTGATGAGACGTAATCTGCGTTCCTTACTGTTTTCTCTCTCTAAAGCTAAAGTTAGCAGTATATCTTTTCAAAATGAACTTGAGGCTAGCTACTAGAGAAAATTATTCGAAGTTTGTTAATAAAACATTCATTTTACTGAAAATCAAAGAAATATATTCTATATTTCACTTACGACTCTCATTTCTGTTCATTTCAGTTTACCAATTGAGCAAACATGCTTTTCTAAGTCTTCTGATCGGTTATGAATGAATGAATTTGATTAGTCCAAACTAACCTCAAACTAATAACTGATCACCCATTTTTAATAAACTACCAAGTTGATAGTAATCTACTAAAAGCCATCGTTCTAAATTCGCTGGAAACAGACAAACTAACTCAATTTACGATTCTCAAGTAGACGGTATGCAGAAATAACATTTAGTTTGTAGTGCCTCCACATATATTCGAATTCGCTCATATTTAATTTGGTTAAGTCTTTTGATTAACTTGTTTAACCAAGCGGTTGACATAGCAACAACTTATATTACCATTGGCTTTTACTATTGTCTGGTTTGTATGAGCTGGTATGCCTCGACATTGCTGCATACGCGAATATTTATCCTACTCGCCTTAACGTTAACCTCTTAAATATTTCGATGACTCAGACATTTTCCTATGTATAAATATATGCACATTTTTGTCTTATTGACTAACACACCAATTCGCTGACTCTCTAACTTGCTTGCCCTTCTCTGTGTGCTTGTGGTCTGCTGGTTCATTGTGGTGTGCCAAAATAAACGTATTCAACACTTCGTATTCGCCTTCTGATTTATAAACCGTGTAGCCCTATTTAATAACGGTTGTCTGGACGAACAAATTACGAAGTCTAAGAACAAGTTGGATACCGACCGTTTCGAAACTCGTGATGCACTGGCCAACATAAGTTCTCGAGATAGTCGTATCATAAAGCCCTTATTTTTTAAAGTTTACTGTACATCAGTCTCATCTTCTTCAAATTACTGTCAAGTTGTAACAAATTATTTGTATTATTTAAAATGTCCCTCGAATTCCTCAGAAGTTTGTCTCTTCAGTTGCCTTCTTGCTGAGTGCCTTATTGTCTCCTTATTGATCCAAAGTACAGATGGCCTTTCTCAATTCGGTCCATGGTCTTTAATCACCTTAAAAGGAAATTCGCGATACAGAACGAGCACCGACATAAGAAATCAGTGGTAGTTATCTTCAAAATTATATCATTTCCATATAGTTCGCAACCTTAATTCAAATACTGATGTGCTCAAAAAGAACTTTGCAACAGGCTTAAACATTTTTTCCATGTTTGCAGAAAAACGTTATTTGCCCAGTTACCTTCTTGAATTCAAAGAAATGGCATTCTTTGAAAAGCATCACCATTTGAATTTAGTTTGATTTATCATTTTACCTGTTGATGCTCAATCTTCTCAATAATGAAAATTTTTTTCTGATCTAAATGTATCGAAAGAACTGTAAATAGTACATCATCAATCAATAGAAATACAACTACGTTATGTATTCGTTTCAGCACCATATTTTCCAGTTGGAGAAGTCAAAAGTCTCCATAATTATATCGTTCGCCATTCTATCAATAAACCATATCAATGTTGGATTTTGTGGTGATGATAACATTTTTATAGACTTTTAATCACAAATGGATCTTAGTTACACCACTCAAATGAAAACCTGCAGTTTGACCGAGCAAATCTTAACTAAAAATTTTGATCAGTTTTGACCACCCATTAACTTAAAAACATAAATATCAGATATTTATAGAAATGATGAATTAGTATTAACACTTCAAAAATGCCTTAATCACTTACAACAACACAAAAAATATCATTTCTAAGTTTTTTTTGTAACTGATGTGAATGTTAGTAATGCAATTAATATTCAGATCTTAATTTCATTAGTGAGTGATATTCACAACACACATCCTACGATCATTTACTGTATTAGGTACCTCTTAATCATACAGTTTTGTATTTCAATTGTTTATATAGAGATGTTAACTGATTCTATGAGAATAACATTATTTGTTAGACAATTGTGTTAAAATTCTATTACCCTCTGGTATCAGTTCATTTAAGAGGCCTAAATCAATAATTTCATGATTAATTATCTATTAACTATTTTATATAATTGAACATGATTTCTATGCAACGATTTAACTACCAAAACATGTTAATAAAAATTTTCTCTCATAACATAGTGTTTTGAATTAAATTCCGATCTTATATCTGCGTAAATATACCCCTACAATGAGTCACATAATTATCGATGTTCTATACATTTAATCTTTACACCGAAGAAAATTGGGTGAGGTCGAGCAAAAATCCCTAGATCAATCAGAGGTAGACATTAACACCGTTGGCTGACGGCCCAGTGGTCCAATGGTTGGGCCTTCGCGCACAATACCGAAGGTCCATGGTTCGAACCCTGCGAGGTGCAAGATTCGTGGATGCGCACTGCTGATGAGTCTCATACTAGGACGAAACGGCCGTCCAGTGTTTCCAGGTTTCTAATGGTGGTCTAACAATGATTGATTGATGATTTCAAATGTGTAAAAACACTAATCTCTATAAAGCTAATTGAAAATATTTAATCTTTGGCTTAATTTGAACTATTTTCTTTTTAGGGTTCAATAACGAATGACTTTTTACTATCATGTATATGTACACCATGTGTTATGTGTCAGTTAAAAAGAGATATGGATTATGTGATTAAAAATAATGAAGATGTTTAAAATGTCTACATAAAAAATTCAAGCTATTTATATATATCAACCAAAAATCGAAATCATTTGTGTCAAAGTGCATCAAGTATCATTATTTTGAGCGAGAAAAAAAAAGTGTTGACAATTTACAATATCTTTCCACCTTAAAAAATTATCTAACTAAATATTGAATTATATGATTATGATTGATGGTAATGGTTTTTTATTACTGTCCCTGGATTAACTTATTTATGAATAAATTCATTGAATTATCCTGATACTTTTCTCACTGTACTCCATTTTGTTTGTCAAACTCATTTATTGCTCCTAGTGGGTCATAAGAATGAAGAAACAATAAGACAAATAGATCATATTCATATGATAGTGACATCAGATGCAGTATCTATTTACATTCTACACAAATAACCGTTAATATTAAGAGTAATAAATTTCCTCTCACCTGGTGATGAACTTTGGCAGGAAGATGTTAGGCTCAATGCATTGGTACTGGATCTAGGAACAGGCTTCTTAGCACTTCTGGATCGCTTTGGCTTTTTCTGTAGGCAAAAGCCATCTTTATGACCGATGACTTTACACTTCCTGCATCTATGCTGCCTAAATGGGCAGTTCCGTACATAGTGCCATGAACCGCAGTGCCAGCAAGCAGAAGGTGGATTCATTTTGGGTTTTTGGGCCGAATTGGAATTTTTCTTTTCACTAATGGAATGCACGTATGATGAGAGGCCCTTGTTTTCGACCATGGAGGTATCATGCTTCAAGTTTACTAATCTCTGGCACTCTGCAGTTATTTCTTGAAGCGAGATGTTTGGGCACTGTTCAATTTTACTTAGGATTCTGGTTCTTATATCAGCATCGTCGGGAGATTGTAAGCTGCACACAAACACAAGGCACTTAAACTGATCTTCCGTCATTGATTATAATTTAAATCGTTCGCATTAACTATTTACTAAGCCAGCATGCTTTACCCAGTCATCTTCATTTGACTTGATTATTTTGAGGCATTGATAACGAATATTAAAGAGAGATGACTGTTCAGAGAAGATTTGCGACAGCGTATCAATTGTAGCATCAAAAGAGAAATCTCGTGGGTTCTTTGGGAGGATGAAATTACTATAACGTTCGTGTTCGATTGTGCCGAGCTTTCTCAAAAGGATTCTGAGTTTGGTGGCGTCATCAAGATTGTTGAGGTCGACCTTGAACAAATCCTCATACTTCTTAAACCAAGACTCGAAAGTCACACCAGCAAGGCCATCAAAATGAAATTCATGAATGGAATTTACTATCGAGTCTGTATGCGGATTATATGAATCATCGGCAAAACCTCTGTGATTCAAATTCATTTGTTTCATTAACAGCTCCAACATACGTTCCTGGAACTGTTCATATCGTTTACCTTGACGTTCCAGTAAAGATTCTAACTGTTCAAGATTAATTGACATTGTGAATTGTGAGCCCCGTCGCCACTGATATGTTCGGCACTTAGGATGCTTGATGCTATTACGAGTTTACCTTAGTCGATAAACGCGAACGATGCTTTTACCAGCTTCCAGGGAGGCTACCTTGAATCCAACGGTAAAACAGAAGTCTTGGTAAGCGTAGAAAGTATATTCTACAAACACCCAGCAATCACACAACAACCAAGCATACAACTCTCGTTTATTTATACAACATAACAACGTCCTTGAGACAGTTAAGAAAATAGCATACTAAAATACACAGCAGCCAATCACAGCCATGGATTTTCCTGGTGGGAATAGAAATCTCAATGTCATTTGATCAGCCCCTGCTGGCGCACGTGAAAAACCGAAATACGGCATTATCAAGTGAATTTTGGGGATCTAACATCCCCAACAATTTTACACTTCATGAACTTCTATCATATCGAAAGGAGATGATTAAAATATGAATTTGAAGCTGAAGTTGTTGATAAAGGACAAGTAGAGATCGTTAGTAAAATAAATAGTTAGGTTGTCTATTTTCATTAAACAAGGTAGTTTCGAGTTAGATAGATGGGACATCTATGTAGATGGTTCTTAGTTAGCATTGTACCATGTATGTACGAGTTCATTGATCTGTACAACTCTTTAGAGTTCCTTAAAGAATTCTTAGAAAGTTGCAACAAGTCTGACAATACTTCAACCAATCATCGCTGAATAGAAACACTGGAGAATGCTAGGTAAACGATGCAGTATATGTCATATTGGAATTGGTTAATTACGGATTTTTCTACCAATTTGAACTTGCCTTCAACAGCTGTTAGAGCACTAAGATCATGCATAAACACATAAATATCTTTATTACTGTACCTGAACAGATCTCCTAAGGCATCTTTCGACTCCGTCAGAACTTGTCACTAAGGCGTTTGAAAGCCTTCTCAACGTTAGTTACTGTTGAATACCTGAAAGGTATTTGTCTAACTGAACAAAATTTGATGTGGTACATTTAATTATTGTTGATTTTTTGTGCACAGAAAATATGAATTACTATTTATTATTACCGATACTTAATTTTTCCTCCTAGAATTTCATTGAGTATGTTATTCGTACTTGTTTCTACTGTGACACATTGTCCATTTGCTTCAACTTTTATCCCAACTTGTGAATTTCGTTCTGATGATGTTATTTATAAGAACAATGAAAACCTCACAACGAAACCATCCAACTCCGAGAACGAAAGTCAATCAAACTACAGACATTTATATAAACTATTATCTCACCTTTCCAAGTGATTCATCTGATGTCTTATCTAAATAGCTTTCCTAATGATGTTATTCTAAATTAAAAGCTTGCACAAATTCGAATTTCACAAAGTAGTCGATTGGTTAATTTTGGAGACTGGTTACGTAATTAACAGACGGAAATGAACAACAGAGGTGTGATCTTGATAATGAGCTAGTGGCTATCGTATACATTGAGGCTATTTTAACATTTTTGAACACTATGATTAAGTTTATCTACGTGATTTTCAGTTACTGTAAAGAGCGAAATTAGGAATAGTGTGGATGTTGGATGGACTTAATTTGTATAGATCTAATGACTAATGTCGATTGAGTGTGTAAGTAGATTTTCTTATTGTTCTTTACCATTTAATAATCTTCATAGAATATTGTAAGGAGAATGTAGTAAAATAGATTGTTTCAATCACTGTGGTATAAAAGTTACAGACGATAAAGGTGAATATATTTTTCTATTAGTAACCACATATCGAGTTCCACGTATTCTCGAATGAAGAGATTAGCACATGTAAAAAGTATTTGAAATTGCTTAAATATTGTATCTTTGGGTTGACCGTGTTTCAAACAACTATTATGATTTATTCTGACTTGGATTTCCTATTGGACAGGATCATTTTATGAACTAAACTGGTAGATTTTCATAAGAGATGACAAATACAGTATTCTCATAATATTGAACCGAATTTTAATTGAAAATGCATTCAGTGAAAGTGAGTTTAACTAATAAATAAAATAATTCACTAATCGTCATCCTTATGTGGTGTATCATAAACACCAATATAGTTTGAATCTCACATAATAAAGATTTTCTTGATATGTTATTATTGTCTAGTCTCTAAAGGGGAACCGTCATGAACTAGGGTCTCTTGGTTGTTTATTTTTTTCTTATTATTGAAGTGCCGTCATAACATTTTGCACGAATACAAAACTCCGGAGGCTGAATAGATCTCTTCTAAATATATAAGTTAGGTTTCCTGGAGTGGATCCAGATGGCTCCAGCTGGGCCAAGGAGTCGTAACCTAGCTTCTTTTAGGTAGATTGTTCGGAATTTGATGTACGAGACAGAAGGCTTCACCTATTTTAAAATGATGTTCACCAAGTGAGAAAAGATCTTACTGTGAATAGATTTGGTTACTGCTTATCCTAACCATGCCAATACACGTTCACGAGTATGCAACAATAAACCTCTCTGAGTACGGCCTATTTAACTAGCTCCGCAGAACTAGTTAAATCGAAATACATACAAAAATGATATATTCAGCCTCTCTGTCTATCTTGGTCCACGACAAGATCATTTGAATTCTAAACTATGTTATAAACCTCTCTCCTTCTATCTCCTTTTATGTTTATGTTTTTCTTAATCCACACATTTATCTTTCCCAAGTCACAAGAATTTTCATTTTTTATTTTTATCATATCTACTTCTACTACAGCGCTTGTATTACAAATTATCGTCACAACGTTATTATTATTATTATCACTATTATTATCTTGATTGTCCAGACAAAATTTCTCCTACCACGCATTTTATTCACATGATCTGTTGTACTATTGATAACAACTTGACATCTTACTTTGAATTCTTATGACCTTTATTAAATGACCTGTCCAATTTACAAATAACACAATCTTGAAGTACTTATACTGTGACAGATCCAAACTTCCACCATTTTTAACACACAACATTGTCTAATACATTAATGCATGCTTTGTTTTGGTCTTCGTAAATAACACAATAATTATGGACTTAAAACTGAAGAGCCTGATGGCGAGGTAATTGAAAACAATTGTTTACTAAAATATTCTTTGCTTTTTGAATATTCCATGGGGATTTTAACTCACTCAGCTAATCTACAGTGAATAAATCTACTTACTTACATAATTAATTAATTACGCCTGTTAACCCGAATGGTGCATCGACCGCCAACCAGTATTCTCCAACCTGCTCTGTCCTGGCCTTCCCTTTCTTTTTCTATCCAATGGCTATTCATTCTTCTCATGTCTGTCTCCATTTCTCGGTGTAATGCGTTCTTTAGTCTTCCTCATTTCTTGTGGTCTTGAGGATGCGAAGTGAGTTCTTGTCTCGTGACGCAGTTGGGTGCTTTGCTCAATGTGTGTCCAACCCACCTCCAATGATATCTTCTCATTTCTCCCTCAGATGGAATCTGGTTTGTGCTCTCCCACACCAGGTTGTTGCTGGTGCTTATGCAATGAGTTCTTTAAAATGAATAGCTATACATGTTTTGTGCTGGTGTTTAACTTCAATTCGTTGTCCATGTATCCCAAACTTGACCTCGTAATTCAATCGGATGCATCACGTCAACACGTCAAATAGTGTAAACTCAAATATTCAGTATGAAGACAGGCACTTAGTAAAATGATTGGTGTGCAGACACACATGTCGTGTTGTATCGGAGGAAATGCTGCCCTCGCTTTTCTTATCGTTTCAGTTGATCCGTGCTTCAGATGCTGCTGCTTCACTGTTCGTCTTCTCTTGGATTAATTGCTGGATTTCTTGTTTTGTGTGAGATAGGGTGACTAGGTACTCTAGGGGAGATTGTCCAGTTGCATTCTAGCTCTCCACTGTATTCCATGATTTCCCTGGGATACTGAGGTTTTCCTTTTCTATTCTACCGTCAGCAGAAAATTTTAATGAATATACAAAGTAATAATATCATGTCGTAATGTAATCTATTATCTAAAATTTGTTCATTGATTACTTCTTCCCATTTCACGCATTTACATATATATATATATATATATATATATTCACTATCAAGTTGGGCAGCCCAAGCCTGCAGCACACAACACAAAAGCCTCGCACAGCATGTGGTAATTATCTTCGTCTGTTAGGACAATTGGAATGTAAAGTTGCTTTCCGGGATTCGTCGTTTACTGGGGTATGCTATATAACGCCAGCTGATCTAAATTTACTTGGTTTAGATTGGTTCGACCAGCTAAAATTGGCTGATGTCCCGCTAAATACCATATGCAACCTGGTATCACAACGACATGACCCAGAAGCGTATACGAAGAAGCTGATGACAGAGTTTTCAACCATTTTTGAACCTGGATTAGGTCGGTGCACTGCTATGAAAGCAACACTTCGGTTGAAACATGGGGCTAAGCCTGCTTTTCGTCCAAAGAGACCTGTACCGTATGCTACATTAGCAACAGTAGATGAAGAGCTGGATCGCCTTCAACGACAAGGAGTTATTACTCCCGTTTCTTACTCCAGTTGGGCAGCACCTATAGTCGTTATCAAGAAGGCCAACGGAACGATACGTATATGTGCTGACTTCTCTACAGGTCTCAACGCAGCTCTAGAACAGCATCATTATCCTCTGCCAGTTCCAGCAGATCTGTTCACTATGCTGAATGGGGGAAAGTTCTTCGCAAAGCTTGACCTAGCTGATGCTTATTTGCAAGTGGAAGTCGATGAAGCATCTAAAGAGCTGCTTACTATCAACACTCATCGCGGTTTGTTTCAGTATAACCGTCTACCTTTTGGAGTTAAGACTGCCCCATCTATCTTCCAACAACTAATGGATACTATCCTGTCAGATATCTCAGGGGTTGCAGCTTATCTCGATGATATCTTGATTGTTGCGAAGACGTTAGAACAGCTACGGGAACGCACGACATTGGTACTACAACGCATCAGTGACAATGGTTTCCGGTTACGCCCAGAAAAATGCCAGTTTCTATTGCAGTCGGTAAAGTATTTGGGATTCATCTTTGATGCCGACGGTCGCAGACCGGATCCTGAAAACATCCGAGCTATCAAACTGATGCCCACTCCCACTAATGTTTCCGAATTACGATCTTTTCTCGGTTTGATCAGTTATTATTCAGCTTTTGTTCCCTCGATGCATGATATTCGCGCTCCATTGAATTGTCTACTGCAGAAGCATAGCACATGGAACTGGACTAAAGAGTGTGACGCGGCTTTTGGTAAACTCAAGTCTATAATTAGCTCGGAATTGTTATTAACACACTACGATCCATCCATGCCGATCATCGTAGCAGCAGACGCTTCAGCATATGGCCTAGGTGCTGTTATTTCACATCAGTTTCCAGACGCGTCGGAAAAAGCCGTTATGCATGCATCCCGTACACTGACCCCAGCAGAAAAGAAGTATAGCCAGATAGAGAAAGAAGCTCTTGCCTTTGTGTTTGCTGTTTGCCGTTTCCATAAGTTTCTGTACGGTCGAAGATTCACGCTTCTCACAGATCACAAGCCTCTGTTAGCAATATTTGGTTCAAAGTCTGGCATTCCAGCCCATTCTGCAAATCGTCTTCAGCGATGGGCCTTGGTACTTTTGGGGTATGATTTCGAAATCCAATATCGACGCACTCTACAATTCGGTCAAGCAGACGCTTTGTCACGACTCATTAATGATCAAGTGGCGGCTGAGGAAAACATGGTGATCGCATCTCTGTCAGTAGAAGACCACGCAGAATGTTATCTGACAACCGCAGTTCGCGCATTACCGGTGTCTGCAACAGACATACAAAATGCTTCTAGAAACGACCCCATCATCAAGATGACGATGAAATATGTCACTAAAAGTTGGCCGTCGAAAAAGTTTGAAGGTGACATCAAGCAACTGTATCAGCGGCGGGATTCACTATGCATCGTGAACGATTGTCTCATGTTTGGTGAAAGAGTAGTGGTTCCAGAATCCCTTCGTGCAAAAGTGCTGAGACAGTTCCATCTTGGTCATCCTGGGATTAAACGAATGAAGTCCATAGCCAGGAGTTATGCATACTGGCCTCACATGGATCAACATGTCACAGCGTTGGTTGAAAAATGCATCCGGTGTCAGCAGGCGGCAAAGATGAATGCCTAAATTCCGCCGGTTTCATGGCCCAAACCTGAGCATCCTTGGTCCAGGATACATGTCGACTTCGCTGGCCCAATAAATGGAACTATGTATTTAATTGTCGTCGACGCCTTTTCTAAATGGCCGGAAATCAGCCCCGTTATGCCGCCCACTACAACTAAGACTATACAGCTCCTAACTGAAATTTTCTCACGAAATGGCATACCAGATGTGATCGTATCCGACAATGGCTCTCAATTCACCTCTTCCCAATTCCAGAATTTCTGTCAACGGCTAGCTATTAAACACTTACGCTCGCCACCATACCACCCGCAATCGAATGGGCAGGCGGAAAGGTTTGTGGATACGTTTAAAAGAGCACTGCTCAAGTCAAAAGGGGAGGGGACGCCAGCCGAAACGTTACAAAATTTCTTGTACGTCTATCGGACAACACCAAATGAATTGTTACCGGAGCAAAAGTCCCCAGCTGAAATCCTGATGGGAAGAAGATTGAAAACGATTCACAGCCTGATGCATCCGACCAATGCACCCTCATCAGTAGAGACAAAGCAGCAAAGACAATCCGCTTACGAGGTGGGATGCCCTGTGTTTGCCCGCGACTACAGAACGAACCATGGTCCTTGGGTAGAAGCGAGAGTGGTCAGAAGGGTTGGTCGAGTTATGTACGAAGTAGAGGTAGGAGGTGATAAATGGTCACGTCATCGGAATCAGATACGCAGACGGCTAGCCCCAGATCGCCCATCAAGAGCAGAAAGCCTTCCCCTTGACATCTTGCTTGATACCTTCAACCTACCGAGTGCCCCGCCACGAGAAGAAACTCAGCAGCAAACTGTTCTTCGTTCCCGAAGGTATCCCCTCAGACAGCGGCGAACAATAGTCAAGATGCAAGTCAACCACAGGAGAAAACGCTATTAAAAAGGGGAGGAGTGTTGGGGATGTTAGATCCCCAAAATTCACTTGATAATGCCGTATTTCGGTTTTTCACGTGCGCCAGCACGGGCTGATCAAACGACCTTGAGATTTCAATTCCCACCAGGAAAATCCATGGCTGTGATTGGCTGCTGTGTATTTTAGTATGCTATTTTCTTAACTGTCTCAAGGACGTTGTTATGTTGTATAAATAAACGAGAGTTGTATGCTTGGTTGTTGTGTGATTGCTGGGTGTTTGTAGAATATACTTTCTACGCTTACCAAGACTTCTGTTTTACCGTTGGATTCAAGATAGCCTCCCTGGAAGCTGGTAAAAGCATCGTTCGCGTTTATCGACTAAGGTAAACTCGTAATAGCATCAAGCATCCTAAGTGCCGAACATATCAAAAATCCACGTCATCAAAAAGCAAGATTCTTTAGAAAAAGATTGAAATATTTTATTTTCTAATTTATTGTAACAATTAATTGATCATTTAAATTGTGTTAGAGTGTTTGTCCCATTGATGCCATATATTTCATATCTCGCCTTAACTGGCATAAAACAAGACTAGGACAACAACACGTCATACAATGATCATCAATTAATGAGCCCTAACAAAATAGAAATGATTAAAATACATCATTGTTAATAATAATATTGGTAAATTTAAACAAGTGAATAACTTCATATAGCTATTGAAAATTAGTAGTCACTAGATTGCTATTTCTAACTAAAATGAGACTCCTTAGCAATGCACATTCACAGCTCCACAGGAAATTGAACAAGTGCCTAATCTCTGAACATGTTGTTGATGTATGCTAACTGAGGCGTTTCGTACTACGACGAAATGGTTGTTCACTACTTCCTGGCTTTCATTGATCGTGAAACTAAAACCAATCAGTGATATAAGCTATGATCGATCACTTAAAAATCTTCACAGACATCCTACACTCATTAAAACAGATTCGGAAATGAGTGCACTGAATGGTGACAATGAAATTCTCTGATGGTATTCGACGGAAATTATCAGATCATTTATAGTTAAGTATAACGAGGAATAACATTGTGAGAATAAGTTTAACGGATCATATCCAGAAAATGATCATATTATCCAGTGTTGTCTGGTGTCACAATCTATATATAATGTTTAATTTTTTTTTCTAGACTAAACACATACAAATTATTGATTGAATCATGATAAAATTTTCGGAACTTTGAACGCTGTAAATTTGTAATTTTCGTAATTTGAACAAGGAAAATGCGTCGAGAGTTGTCACATTGTACAGTTTATTTAAATCGCTTTTTTAAATCTTCAACTTATTTCAACTCATAATTTGACTGATTAACGTGACTAATATGTTAGCAGATAATAATAATTTAAAATGTAATTAGAATATATTAAAAAACGATGGATATAATAATAAATAATAATAATAATAATAATAATAAAATAACTGAACAGTAATCACCTTTCAGATTGAAACGACTGAAACTAGGTAGATATGCAATAACTTCCTGATTTAGATGATAAACTCATTCGGATAATCATGCAAACCTGTTGTCATCTCATCACAACTACTCAGTAATCGGTGCTCCTTCGCTTCGTATTTTATTGCTAATGTTCAAGTAGACTCAGCTGAATGAATTCCTTTTGACTAGCCAATTCATATAGACCAGCATTTATTTTTACAGTCATATTGTGCCTAATTACTCATTTTAGAGCAAAATGTTGCATTCCGTTATCACAAATAGATCTGAGAACCGAAAATGTTTGATAAACAGTATTTAAAAAGACCACAAAATCACGATGACAAAAACTAGAATCATTAATAAAACAGTAAAACGTACAGTTATGTTGTTTTTCACACGATATTTAATGCGTAGAGGGAAAACACCAACTCCTAATAAAGGAAGCCAACATGCCTCTTTTGAAATGTTATAAAGATGACAAAGATAGCAAGGGAAGCAAAATCCTCCACAAAAGCCTGTGAAAAAGAACAACATAAAAACGAGCGATTCGATTTTCTTGTTAGATTCTGTAGAATAGCGGTTGAGTTCACCTGAATAACGTACCCGGGGTCTATTAAGGGCAGAAGACTGTCTTGGTGACGCGGAAACATTTATGTATATTGTATATAAATAATATAAATATGGTTCTACAATAAGTCGTAATTAATTAAATTTAAGCTTAAATTCAACGTGATAAGACAACGACAACAGTCTTTCGTAAAACAGTCCAACATTAAAATGACGGGTTCAAGACACAGCCAATTTATCGATTAACTCAACCAGTAAAATACAAGGAAAAGGGGACGAACGCTGAATACTAATAAGTAACATAGTCATAAATAAGAATTTCACATTTCTTTTAAAGCTTACCGAATTATTGAAGGTGTTTGGTTTATTATTAATCATAGGTAGCAACTGTATTTTCAGACTGATTACCGTTCATCGATCAATTAATGTAAAACTCTCAGTTACACAGTTTGGTAGCGGTCCCACTTACTGGCTTTTAACCCTCTTCATTATGACAATAAGTAACGTGAGTAAGGAGTAGCAGTAATCATCAGCTCCCTCAGGACTCAAGGAACTCTTGGCTGGAGGTCGATCGCTAGGACGATACCCAGATCCACAGCTTCTTGTCACTTACGTTCTAGCGTCCAATGTATTATTCCCAAAGTGAACTTAGTGGTCTAAAAGTAATACACCAGTGGTGTTGACGAAAGATCCTGGATCTGTTATGAAATTGACAAGTCTCTTATTTTGGTAGTAAAATTTGCTATTACTTGTTTAGCGATTGAAGAATAAATGTGACTAAACTGTTTACCTATCAGTATCAATTTAGAAGAAATATAGTACAACGAACAAACAGAAAGCACACGTTCGATTACATTTTAAATTACCCAGTTGTTAGCGAGTACTATTGTCTTTTTGAGAAAAGACAGATTTCGAATCTCGGGTCAGCAAATAAAGCCTACTCAATGAATCGTTATTACTTACACGACCCAAAATCATCAAAACAACTACAAATTCCAGAGCTCCATTCTCTCGCTAGAAAATGTCCTCGTAGTGGTTCCACCTAAAAATGAAATTCATCGTGATGGATCAAGAATTTGAAAATGTTCAAAGCATCAAAAAAACAACTCCAACTAGTTAATTTAGAAAGTGTTTAGTTTTTTTTACGTTTGTTTGGAAACTAAACTCACTTATCTCTCTCAAAATATATAATTTGGATTGTGGATCTGTCTGACAATAAAGCAGCTGGTGTGCCCTGTTGTTTGCTTTCTATCAGGTAAGCATAATACATTTTTTACTTCATTTTAAGCCACTTAAGAACTGTTTAAATAAAATAAGACTACTAACAAGAGGAGTTAGGTTGTATGTAATTTGTCTATCATTGTTTTGTTTTTCACTGCAGAACATATAATTTAGTTCACATAATAAGACTTGTGAATTGGAAAAGATTACCTAAATGAATATACTACAGACTTCAAGGTCATAGCTTCTCACTTAATTGTTTAATCAGTCAGTCAGCTACAACGTAGAAGTTTGTACGTACGTACATCAGTTCAAGTTGCCACACCACATCAGCACACACAGATGGCCCTGTCAATAGAGACTCCATAGTAGTATAGGTATGACCCAACCAGCTAGTTAGTCTACACCTACCAACATGGCTCACAATAAATACAGGTGATTTTTTTCACTAGTTCTATTTTGACGCTGCAGGATTCTAGATTTGAAAAATAAAATTAGCATGAAGACCCGCAATATTTATCAGAATCACAATTTTAAGATATTGGTTGGTGAAAGTGGTAATCAGTCACAGGAACGTATGATTGGTATTGTAAATAGAATCAGGACATTACACAATCAAACGTTTTTCTTCACAAATACTTTTTGGAATACCTAGAATAAGTTCAGATTGTGTATTTCATTGGCTTGTGATTGAGCATTTCATTTTGTGCTTTGTTGAGATATCTAGCACCTCGATTTGTCTGGATTTTCTTTTGGAACTCATCGATGTCAACTGAACTAACAGACTATGGAGAAACTGAACCGTTATTTCTCCTTAGATCTCGAGTTATACGCATTTTTATTGCGCCATTAGGTGAAAATACTATGATCCCTCCTTCCAATATACGTTAATTGTTATTATTAACTCGACAGGTTTGTGAAAAATGTTCAATTTTTAGGTTACACCACACAATGACCTTAGCGACTTCAATTATATCGAGTGTACGACACGATTTACCAACAAGAATGGACAATTGATCATTAATATAAATAATTTGATGCCAAACCAATGGTCGGATTAATGAGGAATTACCAAAAGTCTTGAGCTCAACCCCTGGTAAATTTTTGGGTGCGTTTTCCTGAAGACATTCAAACCAGGATGTATGAATTCTCTAGTACTTATCGGTTTTCAATGATTGTCTAGCGAAACTTAGTCATTGTGGTGAATAAACTCGGTAAAATTGAGGACGAAAAACACTTGATGAAACTGAACCTGGCCACCTGTAATTTCAGAAACTCATCTGAACACCAGCTAGTGATGAGCACGAGTTATTAATTGGTTTACAAAAGTTTTGAGATCAGCGTCAGTCTTATTTGCCGCATCACTCTAGATGCATTCACCTCATTCCAGCCTGACGTTTGTACAAAACATGATGATTGCCGTTATTTCACATACTAATAAAATAGTATCTAATATTTTTGACGCATAAAGGAGATTTCACTGCTAGATTTATAAAAACAAAAATTTGCAAAAATACATATCAATATTTTCCTGCTACTTACCAATACTGGTTGAGGTTGCTGTAAAACAACAGTGGCAGGTTGGCCACTAAACTGTACTTCATCCATTAATAGTTGATTTTTGTGCAGGATATCGTTCGAGTATATATATAAATATATATGTTTAGCTATGTATATGTTTATCAATGTTTATATATGTAAGTATAAATATATTCACAAATATATACAGGCACACATGATTCATCCCAGATTTTTGACAAACCTTCATAACTAAGACAGAAGTGATGATGACTCATTTTTACCACACCAATAACTGTTCTCTGCATAGGCAATTACGACCTTCAATATATGTCGCTTCTACATTAAGTCCTACTAACTTTAATGTGTGTCTGCACACCAATCATTTTACTAAGTGCCTGTCTTCATCCTGAATATTTGAGTTTACACTATTTGACGTGTTGACGTGATGCATCCGATTGAATTACGAGGTCAAGTTTGGGATACATGGACAACGAATTGAAGTTAAACACCAGCACAAAACACGTATAGCTATTCATTTTAAAAAACTCATAGCATAAGCTGCCATCTTTGTTGCATGGAATGATATTTTATTAGTATAACCATTTTTGATTAGTAACAATGGAGTTATAGTCAGATTTCGTGTACTGAGTTCGAATGGAAAAGTAGATGTTTATAAATTTCTCAATGATATACAACACTAGACATTTTACTCATTGATTCGATATCAAAGCGTAAATGTAGTTTCAAGATATAACCAAAATACATAGACTATTAGGTTGAGATAGTTACACGAAAAGAGATATGATAAATTATTTCAATGCAAAACGTTGGAAACAACTCGGCATGGAGCAAATTTGAGGATACAACCAGTCCCAAGCCTCGATGAAGGAGTAGGGTTGGAAATGTGGCTAGCGACCACAGTCCGTAGAAAACCAACTAGCTAAAAGAACGCTAAACAGAGGAAGTCACAATATGAGGATAAGCAAAGGATATAGTAGACAGCTGGAACGTAGGAGGACTATTTGCCCTTCGAAGAGCATCCAGCTCTCCTGTACCAGATACAAAAACAAGTGCAGGAGAAGACGACAAGTGTAGCAGCAGCATCTGCAGCAGTAAGTCTTAACATACACAAGGAAAAATACAACATCCTCCAATACAACACGACATGCACCAACCAAATTTCACTTAACGGATAAACTATGGATGATGTGGAAACTTTCACATACCTGGACAGCATCATTCATAAACAAGGTTGATCTGATGCACATAAAATGGACAATATTTTATTGTGATAATTCACATTTTGTTTAGTTAGACAAATACCTTTCAGGTATTCAACAGTAACTAACGTTGAGAAGGCTTTCAAACGCCTTAGTGACAAGTTCTGACGGAGTCGAAGGATGCCTTAGGAGATCTGTTCAGGTACAGTAATAAAGATATTTATGTGTTTATGCATGATCTTAGTGCTCTAACAGCTGTTGTAGGCAAGTTCAAATTGGTAGAAAAATCCGTAATTAACCAATTCCAATATGACATATACTGCATCGTTTACCTAGCATTCTCCAGTGTTTCTATTCAGCGATGATTGGTTGAAGTATTGTCAGACTTGTTGCAACTTTCTAAGAATTCTTTAAGGAACTCTAAAGAGTTGTACAGATCAATGAACTCGTACATACATGGTACAATGCTAACTAAGAACCATCTACATAGATGTCCCATCTATCTAACTCGAAACTACCTTGTTTAATGAAAATAGACAACCTAACTATTTATTTTACTAACGATCTCTACTTGTCCTTTATCAACAACTTCAGCTTCAAATTCATATTTTAATCATCTCCTTTCGATATGATAGAAGTTCATGAAGTGTAAAATCCACGTCATCAAAAAGCAAGATTCTTTAGAAAAAGATTGAAATATTTTATTTTCTAATTTATTGTAACAATTAATTGATCATTTAAATTGTGTTAGAGTGTTTGTCCCATTGATGCCATATATTTCATATCTCGCCTTAACTGGCATAAAACAAGACTAGGACAACAACACGTCATACAATGATCATCAATTAATGAGCCCTAACAAAATAGAAATGATTAAAATACATCATTGTTAATAATAATATTGGTAAATTTAAACAAGTGAATAACTTCATATAGCTATTGAAAATTAGTAGTCACTAGATTGCTATTTCTAACTAAAATGAGACTCCTTAGCAATGCACATTCACAGCTCCACAGGAAATTGAACAAGTGCCTAATCTCTGAACATGTTGTTGATGTATGCTACTGAGGCGTTTCGTACTACGACGAAATGGTTGTTCACTACTTCCTGGCTTTCATTGATCGTGAAACTAAAACCAATCAGTGATATAAGCTATGATCGATCACTTAAAAATCTTCACAGACATCCTACACTCATTAAAACAGATTCGGAAATGAGTGCACTGAATGGTGACAATGAAATTCTCTGATGGTATTCGACGGAAATTATCAGATCATTTATAGTTAAGTATAACGAGGAATAACATTGTGAGAATAAGTTTAACGGATCATATCCAGAAAATGATCATATTATCCAGTGTTGTCTGGTGTCACAATCTATATATAATGTTTAATTTTTTTTTCTAGACTAAACACATACAAATTATTGATTGAATCATGATAAAATTTTCGGAACTTTGAACGCTGTAAATTTGTAATTTTCGTAATTTGAACAAGGAAAATGCGTCGAGAGTTGTCACATTGTACAGTTTATTTAAATCGCTTTTTTAAATCTTCAACTTATTTCAACTCATAATTTGACTGATTAACGTGACTAATATGTTAGCAGATAATAATAATTTAAAATGTAATTAGAATATATTTAAAAAACGATGGATATAATAATAATAATAATAATAATAATAATAATAATAGTAATAATAATAATAACAATAATAATATTAGTAATAAGAATTCTGGATCAATGTTGCTGAAGTGTAGACCAGTTCGTTAGGAATATGGCATGATATGTTAACTTCAATGGAATGTACGGACGGCTCAGGTTTGATGTTCTTTGTTTCCTAAGAAAAGGACACTTTTGACAATCTATATCATTGTGCAATGCAAACTGGAGACGCTGACACTAGCTGTCTCTCTTTGTGTTGTAGCGGGAAATGGCTCAGGTGCCTGGACTATAGGAATATTTAGTGAAATGCCAATAAATTTTAAGTTTTAATAGAGAACATTATGTTATTATTGATCAGTAATTGTTTTATAACCCCAAAATTACAAATAGATTACTCTTAAGATTGATCCCATGCAATGTTTACTTGAATCATTCAAGGAAATAGCTGTAAAGTGCAAGAGAAAGGAAACATACGTAGTAGTGTAGTGAATGAGAACACAGGTGGGGAAACCGAATTGTATTTAACGAAAATTACAGAGTTACTTAGTAAAATCGGAAAACCATATCGTAAATTGTTCATTTGCAAAAGATCAGTTCATCCTATGGAACTGGACTGTTCCTGTTGCCAAACATCAATCCATTGTCACTATTCATGCGTTTCATACAAATTCCATTGTTTTCTAACTCTTTCTTTCTTGATCTTCCCCACATATTATGCTACCAGACTTTACGTTGACACTCACGTTATACACTACTTATAAGTAGTTCGCACCACAGCACCACACTCTTCCCCCCTTTTAATCAGCTGTCGTCGTAGTCTTTCTGATCTCCGTACAGCCGTCTTCTTTATCAGTGTTTGTGGCTCGCCCTCTTGGCGCACTTGGAACCACCTTTGGAGTTCACTGGCATTCACGCGTTTCTGTTTGTTTCCTTTCTGGATCGTATACACTGCGCCGCGCCTCTCGGTGACGACGTACGGTCCCTCCCACTTCGGGATCAGCTTACCTGACCCTGGCCCTCTTCCTGTGGTATATTTCCGTTCTCTACACTTCACTTGGTCTCCCACTTCAAACGGTCTCCAGTTCTTTCTCTCCTGTTCTGACTTTTTCATGTCTGATGTTTGTTTCTCTCTCACATTCCTGATTGCTTGTCTCCGCTCTGTTCTCAATCTTGTTGTATTCCATCTCTGTTGTTGCGGCCAGGTTTTATCATGCGTTAGTAGTCTCGGCCGTCTGCCGTACATCAGCTGGAACGGTGACTTCCTGGTTGCTCCTTGTGCCGAGGCACGATGTGCCAGCAAGATTAATGGTAATTCTTTCTCGCAGTCACCCCCTTTAGATGCTAGCCATTCCTTTAGCGTTCGGTTATTCCTTTCCGTTAACCCATTCGTCTGTGGATGATACGGCGTTGTTCGTACTCTCTTGATACCTAACTGCTTTAGACGGGACTTGAACTCATCACTCTCGAAACAGGGACCTTGATCGGTTAATATTATCTTTGGTATCCCATGGTCCGCCACAATGTGCCGCATTACCGCTTCCGTCACCGTCCTTGCACGTTGGTCCGCCATCGGCACGGCATTTACCCATCGTGTGGCATGCTCAGTCATCACCAGCAGGTACTGGTTACCACTTGTCGTCTGCGGGAACGGTCCCATAACATCTACTGACCACAAATCACCAACTGCTGTTACTGGAATTGACTGCAATGGCGGTCGTATGCATCGATCCCCTTTCATTAGTTGACATCGCTGGCACGCTAATACATATCGTGCAACATCGTCTCTCATACCTGGCCAGTACGCACTTTGCCGCAGCAAATCAGTTGTCCGTGCAATACCTGTGTGCGCTACCTGGTGACATTCACGAATCATCTCCTGGAGCAGATCTTTTTGGATTATTGCTACCCAATTCTCGTCATCATCCCGCCAGGTCAGGACTCCATATGCGTTCACTCTCAGTCGTTCCTTTTGCTTAAGTAACATTATTACCTCCTTGTCCGTTGTTCGTTTGTCTACGTCTTCTCCTTCTTTTATCACTCTGATTACCTCTCGAAGGTTCGGGTCAGCTTTCTGTTGCCGGATGAGTTCTAATGGGTCTCCATCTAAACTATTCACCGCGTATGCTGTCACTGGAAGGTCATCTTCTATGTCTGATCTTGACAAGTAATCCGCCATTACGTTTTCTTTTCCTGGAACATGG